TCCAACGCACCTGCATTCCCACTCCCACTCCCACTCCCACCACCCCTCCCCGTAACACCCAGCACCAGCAACTTCAACCCCTCCCCCAACCCCAACCTCCTCTGCCCCCCCAAGCCATCAACATCCCACCCCCCCGCCTCCGGCGCACAAACAATCGCCGTCGCCACATCCAACGCCACAGCTCCATTCCCCAATTCACTCTGAGCTTTAACCTCTTCAAGAATCACGCCCAAAACCCTGCGCGCGCCTAGCATCTTCGTAGCGACGAGCGGCAGACGATGCGTATAACCCGTCGGAGAATTCCCCGCGGGATTCGCTGCCCAGGATATCAACTCGGCGATTTTACTCCGCAACGTGATCGCGAGCCCGCCGGCTGTCCAGGCTTCCAACTCCGTGTGGTCGGCCGCGGCTCTGCGTTCCCAGCCTAGATGCGGGCGGAGGGCGCGACTTAGCGGTTCGATATCCTGTCTGATGGGCTCGGCGCGCTGTAGCCAGCGGAGGGAGTGTTCGAGGGGTTTGGCGATGATGTTGAGGATGGCGGCGAGCATGTGGGCGGCTTCGGGGTTGGTGGGGGAGGAGGGCGGGGTGAGGAGGGCGGCGAGGATGAGCAGGACGGCCGAGGCGTCGCCGCGGGATTCCCAGAGGTGCGAGGCCAGCCAGGTGATGCCGGGGATGAGGGAGGGGAGGAGGAAGGTGTCGACGAGGAATTCGAGGCCGCCTTTGAGGGCGTCGTCAGAGAGGTTTTTGGTGGCGAAGGCGAGAACGATGTGGTGGAAGAGGGTGGGGATCAGGAGGTAGAAGTCTTGGGGGGGACAGGAGGACATGAGTTCGTCGCCTAGACCGCCGGATTCGTTGTCGAAGAGGCCGCGGATCCAACCGTCGAGGTGGGAGGATTCTTGGGGGGTGAGGTCGTCCATGGCTCGGGAGAGGTGACCTTGGTTAAGAAGTTTGGCGACGAAGGAGTCTGGCGTTCGGATTCCGAGGTCAATGGTTGATAGGCCGTAGCGATGGGTGAAGGAGAGGACTAGGAGGAGGATTGATCCAAATTCTTCGTAGACTGGTTGATATTCTCCTTGATCTTCATCATATCGCCAATTGTCTAGTACTTCACATATCGGTTGAAGTATAGTTGTTGGTTTGTCGAAGAGAAGCATGACATCGAGAGATGATGGTTTTCTCGCAAGCTGACTACAAAGCATTTTAAGCGACATGGTCTCCTTATTACTACATAACCTTCCGATGACCTGTTTTGTTAGCCTACAACACCCATAACCCATAACACACATACACAACAGCAGAGATGAAAATAAGACAACCACAGAATCTAAACTCACCTCAGTAATAGCCTGACTAACCGCCCCAACATTCCCATCCATATTCCCCAACTCCGAAATCAACGCCTCCGCCCTCCCAGGATCCGACAAACACTGCTGCACCAAATCCTGCTTAACATACCTTCCCCCAGCAGGTAAACTCTGCATCGGAATATCCCCAAGTAACGTCTCAATACTCGATTCCTCAATCAACCCATGCAAACAACATGCAAAACAGAAATCTTGGCGGACAGAATCCGAGAACATGTTGTTATTGCTCGATTCGTCAAACATGTTTGAGAGTGTGGGAAAGGCATTGGTGTCGACTCGATTGAGGGCTTCGGTGATGCAGTATTCAGCGGTAAGTGGTGGGAATAGGGTTGATGAGAGGGTGGTGAGTAGTAAGGGGATTTTGTTGATGAGGAAGGATCGGATTATGGTGATGGTCTGCCCACGTTCATTGCGTGAGGTTGCGTCTGCCAAAATGTCGAAAGCAGCAAGTATTAAATCTTCTATAGTAGATTGAGAGTCGCCCTGGTTCATTAGCACAAACACCCCAAGATCCGAAATATCATACCTGGTATCTATTATGCAAATACGCAAAAATTGCCGCATCATCAATCAAAGGCCGTCCCACAAGCTGTACCGTCAGTCTCTCACATCCATCGAACGGGTTGGTTCCCTACCAAAGAATTCAAATAAATATACAACCCCGCCCTCGAATTAACGACAGGTAACTCCACAACCACAATACCCTCCATCCCCCCCATCGCCAAATGATCATCCAAAATCTCATCAATCTCCTTCGCAGCACTCTCATCCTTCTTCCGCACCGGCTCCAACACCAACAGCGTCTGCGTCCGGAATAACTCCAACCTCGCCGCGCTCTGCGGACTACTCTGCAACAACATCGGCACGAAACTCCCCAGCACTTTACTCAGATCCTTCCCTCTCGCCCCCCGTCCCTTAGCGATCACATTCATAACGCCATCGTTCTCCAGCACGGCAATCGCGAGCGTCCCAAGCGCCATGATCTGCGCGGTTAACTCCTCCATCATGCCGCCGAGCTCGAGCATGCCTTGCGCGGCGTGGTAGGCGGAGAGGGACGTCTCCATCCATTTCACCAGGACGAGCAGTAATTCCCCCGCCTCGACGTTGCCTTTGGGCGCGAACCCACTGCTCACGAATTTCGCGATGCGGTAGAATAGCATTTCCTCCGTCGCGTAACTATTCCCCCATCGCCCCTCCTTGGCTTTGCCATCTTCCAGCTGCCCATCCTGCGCGCTCGCTCCAGCAGTAGAATACCTTAGTAACGCGCGCAGAATCGCAGGCGCGTTGACGGTTCCGAGGGTGAGCAGGATCTGGATGTATCGTGGGACTCGCGGGTCGGGGGCGAGAATGCGAGAATCGTTGGGTTCGAGGAAGATTTCGGCGATTCGAGAGGGGGGGAGAGGGTGTTGGGAGAGGAGGATGGGGATGTAGCTGGTGAAGGTGTCGTTGTCGAGACGGGATACGAGGCTGCGGGTGAGGAAGGTATGCCAGGCTGTGGAGGATTTGGCGGACATTTTCTGGGAAAGCGGAAGGGTCAATTAGGATCTTGAAGTGTTTCTGAGTAGATGATTGGCATATTTGAGAAGATTCATGGTGGTTGAGATTGACGAGGCTGGGTGTGACGAGGGATGGTTGGAGGCGACGCAGGTCCGTGAGGGATGTCGTGCAGAAATCGTAGCCTCATCGTCTCAGCCCTGTGAATGATTTACCCAGCAAACGCGACCATATTTGTTAGAAAGATACCCACCCAAGAAAAATCGAAAATAGGGCTGAGTGAATGATATTTATCTATATCGATGATATTATTGTAATACAGACCAAGTATCGCCCCTAATTTGCCTGCAGGCTTGCAACTCTAACCAGCCAATATGCATGGTTCCATCCGTTTGCTGAGCAAACTCCAAGAAAAAATATGCCGCCCAACTACCCATCCGTACCTATTCAGACAATTCATAAATCGTGCCACGTTCCATCCATGCATCCAATGATGCCCAACAATGCCTGATGTGTCCAGACGTATGTCGCTGTAAGTTCCTCAGTCTCGCAGTCCCGGTTCCCTTTTCACTCGAGGTGATTGGCCATGATTCATGCCTCTCGACGATGGCTCAAAGTCTCTTTGAAACTCTCTCGGACCCAACATCCAATCCTGCATCATCATCCATTCTCCCCACGTTGAATCGGCCGATTCCAATTCTTTCTCCGTCGCTTCTCGTAATGGCCTCAAGAATGGGATTGTCTCTTGCGGCGACATATCGTATGCATCTTTGACCTTTAACCAATTTGCGCTCTTCGCGGCAAAAAGGTAATTTCTTCGCTCAATCTCATGTAACGATCCTACTCCTCCTACCCAATCATCGCCAAAGAATCCATGCAAGACACCTGGCGAATCGTGTCCGGTCGCTACGAGACGACGTAGATATGGCGTCAGAGAGATGGCCGGTCCATGTCCTGCGGGTGGATTGTTCCCAAAAAGACCTTGCGGTCGCATCAGTCCCCCCATATCAGGCATGTGTGGTGAAGGAGCATTCGCAGACATGGTGGGATTCGGATGTTTCTGACATGGTAGTTGGATGTTGATGAACGCCGCCAACGCCTTGACCGGCTGTGTATGCTGGGCGACGTCCAGAAAGTATCGATGACAACTTAGGAATTGAGGATACCATTCTACAATATCGAATTGAGGGTTCGTGGCTCGATGATCCATGGTTGACGGACTGCCATAATTCGGGTAGGGAGAAGGATGGAAAGGTTGGTGTGAAGGGCCGGCGTGCGGGTTCCTAAAATCCATTCTGGTGCGGGTCTGGTCAGTGATTGTTCTTGGTGGAAGCTCTACGGAGCGGTAGATCTGCGAGCTAGAACCACGATTCGACGGCAATGCTGATGAAGTAGAAGCTCTCTGCGGCAACACCACTTGAACGTTGCCGTGAGAGATGCTTGGAGATGTGATATATATACATATCTCATGTATGACCAACCTTGATGGCAAGGCTGTAAAATAAGGAGTCGGCAACGTACTTGATCCCAAGAACAGAAGGGCGAATCGAGATCTAGGTGAGTAGAACTAGTAGCCTTGGTGGGGTACTGCGCTTGGACTGGTCGATGGTGGCCTCGTAGGATGATGTTGATGTTCAGGAAGGCGCATGTATGCTACCTGGATGCGTCGACCGGTATCTCTTCGCACACGAGAGGCTGACCTAGGGTTGGTGAGAGGAGGTGAAGCGTGAAGCGTGAAGCGTGAAGAGTGAAGAGTGAAGAGTGAAGAGGCGAAGATTCTCAGTGGTGACGACGAGGATCTGGTCCCGTTTGCTGAACAGAGTCGTTGGTCGAATGAAGAGCCATCGGGACCTGGCATGGTTGGGGCCAGGGTCTGGTCTTATACCTTTGTGCAAAGGTGCTCGAGTGGGTGTTCCCCAACGCAAGTGTCTAGGTTGAATGAGGGTGCAAGTGTTCGCGGGTGGAGGAGATGTGGAGGACGACGGCGGAAGATTCAAGGATGCAAGAAGCGCGGACGGGGGGGGCAGTTGAGCGTGGCGGACGTGCTGTAGCGCGCAGGTGTACTGAAGAGTAGGCGTTAGGTCCCTGGACTAGCGCAGTTCTAGGGACTAAACGCCGAGGTCCAGCCTCCAGAAGTCCCCCATCAGTGCTCCTAGGGCTCAACTGAGGCCCCTGTCGAGCATTGCTTCTCCGTCAACATCCAGCCAGGCACTTGGTCAAAGTCCACCTATCCCAACACATAATCGACCTGCTAGCTGCATTCAAGCCGCTTTTGCGCATAATAGCAATTCATCTCGTTCATGCTAGACGGCTCGATGGTTGCTACCTCTCCTACATTCTGCAATCGAGTACTGGACCGCCGCCAACCATGGCAGTTCTGATGCTGGAAACGGGTCTTCCTGGATGGGCGTCCGGTTCTCCGTTGGAATCGGATCTGAGCAGCTCGAATGCGAGACATGTTTCATAGGTATCTGGAAAGTACCTACCTAGTTACCCAACCGGACGCTCCGCTGGGCCACTGCCGTGGAGGCTGCATTCGCTACGCTCTAGTCGTTGCTGTCCAGGGCCATTTCCAAATACGTGAGCCGCGATGAAAGACTAGTACAATGGCATATCGACTAGACACTGGAGCTACGGAAATTTACTCTCTAGCGTCGACTTGTCATTACTTGACACATGAGCTACAGTACAATGTACCTAGCTCTCTTGATTAGTCCCAAGCAAGGAAACGCTCCCAATGCAGAACTTCAACGAGACGACTCCACACCAAGTCTGAGGAACACCAAAATAGAAGGTATCAGTACCGCGGCGAGAGTGGTGCGAATGACTTACTGGATGAGGTCACGACGTGCAGTCTTGACCCAACCTGAACGGGGCTCAAATACACACCATCCGGCGTCACACCAAATCTGCGTCGCTGCTCGCTGCAGGAGAGCGTGTTGGTGGCCGAATCCCACCACCGAGTTCCTGGGTTCGCCCGTAGCATCTCAATTTCGACCGCGGTTACTCGTACAACTCAATATCAACGTGCTGCCATGATCCGTCACCTGCTCATATCCGTCCCTGGTACAATCACACTCTTTGACCCAGGGCTATGGAGACGACTTCGATGTGCTCTCTTGCGGTAACCAACACGCCGAGTCCTCCATCCACCGTGCCGCGAAGTCGGGCTGAGAATTGGGGATCCGAATTGAGACACCCGTCCGTGTCATTCCCAGCTCTCCGGTGTGCGTCGGGTCGTTGCATCTAAACCCTCCTGACGATCAAGGTCTACATGTCACCCGTGAGCGGTTCGTGGTTCAATGCATGGATGACCTGCATCACGTCCAAGACCAAGCCGGATGAGGACATCGAAATTTTCAATTGCGACTGTACCCTTCACAGCTGAAACTTATCAATGGCAAAAGCTGTGGCTGAAGACGGATGTAAAATTGGTTGTTAGTTAGAGCTCGTGTAACGCCACCAATCTCGACTTGCTCCGTTGAAACCAACACAAAAGCATATCTCATGTTGCGGTCGACAGGTCGGATATCTTCCCTCATTGGACGAAAGATATCCTCGGGCAAAAGGGATATGTATGCACCACGTCAATAATGAAGCTCGATTGACTGTCAATAGTAGGTCATTATCAACGGTTGTCTTGAGAACTCTGAGACGGCCAACGCCTACAACCCGGATCAAGAGACATGTCAGTGTCAATCGGGGAATTCTTGCGAGTCTTCCCGGAAAATCTTATACCTTGTCGAAGATCAATGTCTCCAAAGCTGTCAAATACGACCAATCTGATAACATACTTTACCCCCACGTCAACGACATGCTCTCACAGTTCGCCGATTTGTCCTATGGAACCGAAGAATCAACACCGGAGGATGAGCTACGTGATATCGTAGGGCACAATTATCTTCCACGTCACAAAGTCGACAATCTGGATCGTGTGACCCCGAATAATTGAAAACGCCAAGATCGTCGTCGTGCGACTTTGTTGATCTTGAAGATGACCACTACCATCATAAAGTTGATTCTACACGACTTCAACACATTTATGCCGAGAAAAAACCATCTACCCGGGTGTTCAAAGCTCGGTCTGTGATGGTGTTCTGCAGGAGGCTGAGGTACAAAGTGAGCGTTCTTTTCCTTCCACCACACAAGATACACGCAGATCAACAGCCATGAGTCCGTCATCTATCAGCCTCACTTCTACTTGTTAAACAATACATGACTCGCGTGTTCACTAATCATGTAGATATCCTCTCGACAACCTGAACATCTATATTAGGAATCAACTCGGATTGGCAAGTATCCGGGACATATCTCACGTCTCAATAACAAGAATCAATATTCAGGAAACATTTCGAAAGTCGTGTCATCACTACAACCTCCTCCTGACCCCTCGCCTACCAAAAGAAGAACGGTCAGTTAATTGGGCCGATCTCATCCTCTTAAACCCGTTTCCCATCAATCCGGACCATCACAGCGCCTCTCCCGTCCCGCTTCCCGTCAAATGTAAGCCTCATGATCCGACACTGGTGATTCGATATCCAGGTCAGCCAGCCCTGGCTATCGTTCTTAGTATGTTAACGAATCAACTGCCCAAGACCGTGTTCAGCCCCTGGTACAACCCTGCGGCTGTGGCGTCAGAGCGACATCGCTAGCTGAGCTTTGTGTCAAGAATGATCCCCCCTTATTTCGTTTGGCACTTCCGAGTTCGCGTAGATTTTGTTTCCGCTTTTAGTGCTGTGGTGGGGGTGAGAACTGGTGGGGGTGAGAACTGGTGGGGTGATGGAGGTATGATATCGAGGCACAATTTGACAGAGAAAAGAGATGAATGAGGTAAGGTTGCTTCGCTCACAGGCACTTTATTTCAAGATCTTTCTAATTCAATTATTGATATTCTAGTCAAAAATCTACGGATGAAAAGAGCAAGTGCTCAAACTATCTGAAACTATCTATCAACGACCTTCACTCAATGCTTCGGCCATCATTACCAGTATCTCCAAGTTGGAGGACCATCCTTCAGGATCTCACTTCTCGTCAGCGACTTCTTCGCAGCTTGCTGGTGGTGGAGTGTAAGTGCCAGCTTGATGCTCTTGGCTTGCTACCGAAGGGGTTTCTTCGTCCATAGCATCTTCACAGCTTCCCGGTGGTGGTAAAACGACCTTTCTCTTGTCAGTAGCAGGAGATTTCTTGTCGATCTTGCTATTGACCTCAGTCTGCTCTGAAGTCGTAGCAGTATCTTTGGTTTCCTCTGAAGCCGTAGCATTCATCTTCCTCTCCTCCGAAGCAGCGACCGCACGATCAATCTCCCTCAACACTTTCACATACTCTCACGCCTCTCTTGCAGCCTCATTCGACTCATCCGCTCCAGCATACTTGGCCTCCAGCTCCCCAGCAATCTTGCGGGTAATTGGATCTTTAAATGTTGATTCCCAGTCCTCTGCTAGCATCCCCTCTTTATCCAACCATTCCTTTGCGGACTCTGCCTGGGTGCCAAAACCAACATACGAGTTTCCATCACCCTCCATATCCGTATCCTCGTCAGGAGTAACCTGAGAAGCGGTTTCCGTATCGTCATCTTCCTCATCCTCGTATCCCAGAAGTTCCTCGGCAGAAGAACCAGAGCCTCTGAATGGTTCGCCTGAGACGTCCATTGTATAAATTGACTTTCGAGGAGCGTTCTCGCTTTGTGGCGCAGTTGCTTCGAAGTCCGTTGACTCGGCATTTCCATCACCCTCATGACTGAACCCGCCGAATATCGCCATGGGATTTTCCATCAGCGCTTTCAAATTCCCCAATCCCACCTCAGAACTCGAAAACTCCCTGAGTATCTCTTCAACAACATAACTGCTTTCAATCAATTTTTTGTCGTTTGTTACTTCCTTGAGCCAGGCGCTGAAGCGTTCTAACGCTTCGGCTGATACTCTACCTTCTTTGCTTTGTGCGTTTTCGGCGCGCTTGAAGGGGATGTCGAGCTCTTTCATGAGGATGTCGCGTGCGCGGATGATGTCTTTGATGGCTTGCTTGAGGTCGGAGAGAGAGTTTAGGTTTGGGGCGCTGCTGAGGGTTTTGCGAGCCCATGGTGCGTCTTCCGTGGGGGTTTTGGTTTGGGGCGCGGTCTCTGTTGTTTCGGAGATGGGGGAGGCGACTTCATTCACCTCTACTCGGATCTCGTTGTCGTTGGTCGAAGTTACAGTGTTTGGACTAGCAGCTGAGCGAGTCTCTACTGCCTTCTTCACCACCTCGCTACCAAGCCTGTCCTCCACAAACTCACCAATAAGTCTCGCCGCCTTGATCCTATCCTCCAGCTTAGACCAGTCACCATGAAGGAACTTCCATCCCATCACCACGCCATCCTTTTCCCGGTTGTCAGCTGGCCATTCTCCTCTCCCGGTCACTTGACGAGCCCATTCAAGGATCTTAGCTGCAGCCTTCTCTTCGCCGGTGTGATCCGTGAAGCCTTGCTTGAGAAGCGTTTTGGCTAGTTCGTCGAGCTCGTCTTCGGAAAGGGTCGAGGTGTCTTTTGGATCGGTTGTGAGGGGTAGGAAGGTTGGGAAAGAATTCGAAGCTTCCGGTCGCCCTTGCTCGGAATGTCGTTTCTCGGTAGGGTAGTCGGCGGGGTCTGGCTGGTCACCTTTCCTATCCCAACTCTCGACTGCGAGCCAGTACGAGTAACTAACAGGAGTCTCATCCACGAATCCCCATCTCATAGTCTTAGGATTCCATGTTGGTAGCAGGTTGCGTCGAACCTTAACCCTAGGGTCTTCATTAGCTTTTTCAACATGCTCAATGAAGCGTTGACTTTTCAGCCCAAAGCCCTGCTCCTGCTGAAGCTCCCATTCAACTTGATCAGGGTCGGACGAATCGAAGTTGAATTCCTCTCCCCAGACCTCGAAACCTCTATCGTCGCGGGCATACGTAACGTAATGCCCTACGGCAGTCAAAACGTCTTGACCCCAATCGAAGCCTCCGCGTCTGTTCAGCATTCTGCAGGCATGTCGAAGGACATCTTCATGAAACAATTCGCTTCGCTCAATGAGTTCATCGTCTCGGAGAATCCGACGGATCCATTTCTTGAGATATTCTTCTTTCTGTCGGACTGGGACAGACTCCTCTTTGCTGAGAATTTGGCGAGCTACCATGCTGTGTCGCATATAAGCTGGGAACCCTCGACAGCGGTAATCAGGTACGTTGAAGAGAATACTCCGAGCACACTCGGCGTCCCTGATAGGCTTCTTGCTGTTTCGCTCAGATTGTTGATTTGGGGAGTTGCTATCAGCCTTCCATCTTGGTCTTTCCTTCTGAAGCCACGCAATATGGGCTGCGAAGATGTCGGTAAAAGGGACCCTTTCCTGTATGAAACCAGCCTTGCATCTTCTCTCTCTAATGATCACATCAGCATCCTCATCCTCCTCCCACGCAACTCCAACCTCATTCTCCTCAGGTACAGTCGCAGATTCAGGAGCCGCGAGTAGCGTCTTCTCAATCCACTCCTTCAATTTCCTGCGAATCTCCGCATTCTCATCGTTGCCTTCGATAGAGTTTCCAATGATCTTTGTGGCTAGCGCCTCGCTATTCTTTGCTTGATCGGATCCATCGTGACACCAAACTGCACCGAGTGCTCGGGTGGCCCACAAGAGCAGAGGTCGCTCTTCGCGATGTTCGGGAACACAGTTCTCCATATTTTTACCGGTGAAGCCCTCCTTGACGAGATATTTAGCGAGCTCGACGTCTTCTTCGGGAGTACTCTTTGGGATCACATATTCCGGGGATGCCGCGATGGGGAGATGAACAGACTGACGTTCCGCAGTAACAGTCTCTCGAACCTCCGATTTCGATTTCGATTTCGATGTCTCGGCTATCTCCTTTCGAGTGTGATACACCCACATCTGAAGCTCCCCTGCAATTGCCCTTCTGGTCGGGATTGACGACCGAAGAAGACCTTTCGCTAGAGCAACGCTATGGATCTCTTGGGCGTTAGTTGGCCAGTCACGTCGCTCGCTGACTTGCTGTGCCCAGGTGAGCAGTAGTCTTACAGCTTTCACTTCTCCGGTCAAGCTGGTGAAGCCTTCGGCGACGAGAGCTTTGGCCAGACGAAGTTTCTCTTCTGGTGAGAGGAGTAGTTTGAAGGGCATATCTGAGATTGTGACGGGGAGGTGGATCAGAGGCTTCGAGGATTCCGGTTGCTTGTCTGACACTTCCTCAATATCTCGTTTCGCGGACGACTCATCCTCAGCTCGTCGTCTCTCACGCCCCTCCTCATACTCCCTCAACATACTCAACACCTTCTCAGTTCTCCTCCTCGAACCCTCATCTTGCCTCATAAGCTCACCCACCTCTTTACCTATCCACACTTTGACGTCAACGCCCTCCAGGAACTCTCGCGCCTCTGGCGAAATCGCATCCCCTGAAGCGAGAAACCGCACAAACACCCCAGACTCCTCGTGCGTACGCCTCCCATTCTGACCGCGAAGCAGAATCTCCAATACCCGCTCGAAGCCTGGCGTGGCGTGGTCGTAACCGTGGAGCATGGAGGCGGCCCAGTCGATCATATCACGCTCTTGCTGGTTCAAGGGGAGGACGGAGAGGGGCGAGGGGGGGGACCAGGATCCATGGCCTTCTTCGCGGAGTGAGGATGGGTCGATTGTGGAGATGAATTTTAAGGACTCGTGGAGCTGGTTGAATGTGTTGGAGGGGTCAACGTTCTCCCCGCTGTAGACGGTGTAGATCCAGTATTTCAGGGCGGAGAGGTAGGAGAGGTGGTTTAACCCTTCGATGGGCTCGCGGCGTGCATGGTATTCTGAAATGTCATTTTCTGTATCAAACGAGCGACTGGCACCACAATCACAGCTTCCGTGTTCGGCAAGTTGAGATGTGTCTTCCTCATACGCTTGACCCTCATCATAACCGCGCATTCTGGCTCGTCGGTAGATTTCTTCTAAGGAGCTGGGATGGTCGGAGGACCCGCGCAGCTTGCATTCGATTGATTTTCAGCGGACGGAGTGCTTGACCGGGCGCTTGAGTGGGTCTTGGATATACACTTGGAATGAAGTTTTGTGATTTTCGGAATTCGGGGATTTGGGTGGGAAGGGGGAAGTTTAACAATATAGATTGAGAAAGTTGAGGACTGTGATATGTATTGTCCGCGGGGAGAGAAAGTTGGAAATGTGTTTTTGTAATGAATGGTTTTTTTGTTAGTGCGAAAGTTAAGATCTGCTTCTTAGAGCTGATAATCTGTTTCTTGAGACTTTAGCTATCTAATCTTTAATAATCAGTAATTAAATAACGAAATATCTTTTTAGTCTAGAAAGTAGTATAAGAAGTATTTTCCTCCGACGTTAAAATTATTTTAGATCTGTAATTGTTTATTAAGTAAAAGTAGCGAACTTTATTTTTAATAAATAATATACCTCTCTATACTAAAGATAATTAAAGAACCTAATTTAAATTTATTGTTAATTGTTCTAACAAGTTTAACTATTAGTATTTGTAAGTAGAGATTCCTGGTATAGATAATCGATACTATAGGGATACTTCTTAGTACTTGTCCCGACATACTGTTTCTCCGTTTATTAAATACTTACGGTAGATGTAATTTAAGTAGTTCTCTCACAAGATATGTGTGAGAACATTGACTAGGGAAGGGCTAAACAGAGAGGATATCTTAAATCGTTACTAACAGATGTTAACCGGCAGGGAGGTGCTTTCTTTCTAACGAGTTAATAAGACTTATCCTTAATCGAATAACAAAAGCTTAGATCAGGAATCTATATAATGAAACATTTCGGGCGCGAAAGATTCGATCGTGATTCTTACACTTAATCTCAACCGGCACCTACAGATTTACCTAATACATCCAACAGGAATGCTGGCTAGAAGTATATATAGTATTCTATCGTCTTTTAAGTCTGGCTTTTAACGCTCTTTTTACAGTACAATGCGAGATTTTACGTCGTAGGTATCGTGACTTGAGAAATTGTAACGTCAAAGCTTTTAATTTACATATTTACATATTATCTGAAATACTTGGCATCCAAAACGCTACGAATTTAAAACGCGACGAATTTGTTAAAACAACCTCCGAGAAAAAGTCGGTGTCTGTTACTGACCCTGTATCTGATAAAATATATTACACAAGCCTTACACGTCTCGAGAAATAAAATCGTGAGTCTGCTTGAGGGACGCTGGAGTATTATGTTCCGGTTTAGTGTCAAGTTGTTATCTATCTACATTGTCTTGCTCAACATTTTGGACTGACCAAAATAATGCCCAAGTTGGCCTATGTGAGACCGTCGACAAATGACGCCTGTAGTTCCCTAGTAACTTGATTATGGCCGCCGTTGGTAAAAGTCGTGAGAATCAAGTTGTATGTGAACGGGAATAAGTAAAGGGGTGTTTATTCTAGTAAGGATAGACAGTTCTTATTTCAAAACATTTGAAGAAGCACTAATTTCATGTGATGGGTCAATCCCAAGATTAGTTAGTTCAAAAATCACATCTGCAATATCAAAATCAATTCAATCTTAAAGCATCTAATTCCGCGCGATATCGCGTGTATAATTGTCTAAAGATCCCCACAAATCTAACCCCCACAGACCATAGGTATACAATCAATCACCACGACTCTAGATAAGCAATATACAAGTCTTCAAACCACAATCCGTTACTCCCGAATATGCACCTTTTGCACCGAACAATGCAATCCGCCTAAACGCCACCCCAAGAAAATGAAAGTGTTGAGAAATGAAATGGGTGCGGGAACACCACAACAGATCTAAGCGTGGACAGGTTGAAGATCATCGAAATCTCGACCGAATAAACCTCCAAGCTTACCCTTCTTCTTCTTGTCCTTCGGTGGGTCTGTTGGCTTCTTGTTCTTATCCTTGCCGAACAGCCCGCCCAAGAACCCCCCCTTCTTCTTCTTCTTATCCTTCTTCTTCTTGTCCTTCTTCTTATCCTTGTCTGTAGTCGTGGTGTCTTCGTCTGTGGTAGTGGTGTCTTCGTCGGTAGGTGTGGGCTTTTCGTCTTCTGGCAGGGTTTCTTCTTCTTCATCCAATGATGTATCGACCTCCTCATCCTCACCTACCTCGGTCTTATCATCTGCGAAGTCTTCATCCTCGCCTACCTCGGTCTTATCGTCATCGACAATCTCCTTCTCTTCATCTTCTGCCCCCTTCTTTGGAGTTTTGTCTTTTTTACCTCCTTTTTTGTCTGCCGGGTCCACTTCGTCATCCGCCACCTCTGTGTCGTCTACGGGCTCCTCCTCCGTGTCGTCCACTGCAGCGTCTTCATCATCTGCCGGTTTTCCCTTTGGCTTCTTTGGGTCTACTGTGGTTTTATCTACAGGTTTGGGCTTTTCCACCCTAGCGACTAAAGGCTTGAGATAGTCTGCCTCTACCGCAGCACGACCATAAACACTGGGATCGTTGACAATCTCTCTGCAGATATCATTAGCACGTGCTTTGGAGCATAGATCAAACGGGGTACTTACAGATCCTCGGTATTGCCATCGGACTCAAGAGGCAGAGTAAATGCGAGTTGGGTAAAGAGGCATAGCGCCGTGAGCAACACTTTTTGGCTCACCATGACGACGAGCTTTAAACGCTCTTGACGAAGGAAAGAATAGTCGACAAGCACCTATAAGAGAAGAGAGAAGGGAATGAGAGATGGTAGGAGTGATGATGATGAACTGAACGAAAAGGCTCGGTCAAACGACGATTATCAACTGCTATATACCAAACTCTTCCTCAATGGCGTCTATTCTGGATTCCAAAGGAAGTGTAGATCCTCGCCTAGAACGATCCTATCAGATTGGTCGGAAACAAGATTATCTAAGATTCCATCCTATCAGAGCACGGATCGTGAAGGTTCTCACCAAATGTCGTGCATTCTAAGCAACGCTCGTACATTCCCACCAACATGTTCCTTCAGCAAACCACGAACGTACGTCGGTGGATAATATAAGAATTTACGACATACGGTCGGTCGAATGAGGCAGTGTGTGCTCCTAGCATCCTCGACTCTATTTTCGTAAATTCCCAACTCTATTTCTTAGAAGATGATTTTGGTTCTGTGCCGGAAAGGATGATGATAGGATGTGGAGTTGGGTGGCGTGGGATTTTTAGCGAAGGGGCATAACACAGGCACGTGACTTTTAAACTGGGTCACTTTGGCTGCCAACCAATCCAACACAGTAAGCGGGTGGCAGGACAACAACATTTATCGTCAAACATCACCGAGACGAATGGCAGCGCCACGATACGTGAGATCCTTAAAGTCAATTTGCCATTTCTACGGTAGCGGGATTACTTCGGTTAGTGCGTGGTTAGATTTAAGAACCGCTCGCCTCTGCCATGAGGACCAGAGCTAGGTTCACGTGTATTTGCAGCCTCCTCCTTCACGATTATACCACCTCACGTTTATTCTCAGATCATTAACTCTATTAGATGATATGCAACGACGTCCTATTTTCGTACAATCTACAGTATTGCCAACGGCGATAGGCGAAACGTGGGGACTGCACTGCGGAGGGGAAGTCGCGCTTCTTTCTTATATGCTTAACATTTCGTCACGTTTAGTATTGGGAACTGATGTTTACGAAACACTGCTCTTATTTAGACGTCGCGTCATCTTGAGAATTGCACATCGCTAATATGGCACACTCGGCCTTGTAATGAAATTGGAGGCAGCGCAGCTCGCCGCATACTCTCAGTCAGCCATATTAGACTGGGCTAAACAGCATAATATTCGCGGCTTTGCAGAAGCTGTCTCTTGTACTCTCCCTCTATACTGGACAACTCATTCTACAAATGTTGCTGTCTCTCGTTATCTTGTTCTCGGCATCAGTCGGGCACCGCTTGACGCCGACCCGCATTGGCAGGATCTATCATCTCTCGAAGAGAATCAATCGACTTTCCAACGGTCGTTGACTTTGTTCTTCATACAGCAAGCTAGACAAATCAAGCCGCTATTTTCCTGGAGATGTATTTTTCACAAATGAGAAACATCGTCCTTATACGCACGGCGTTAGACGCTTCTCTCGTGGCCTGCGTAAGACGTAGGATAGGCTCTGGGCAATAAAGTATAATACAATGACAATCGCAGAGACATCTAGCTTCTTAGGTATCATGATCCTGTAAATACAATTCTGCGGGCTAAGAATGGGGAAACTGTCTAAAATACTCAAAAGTTTAGTATTTAGGCGAACTGGCGGATAAGGAGAATGTGGCAAAGAGGTATATAGATACTGTGAGGACACGAAAGGGGTTGATGGGGCAGGGGAGGAAGTTGGTTGTTGATGGGGAGAAAGAAAAAACTTTGAAGCGGTAGATTGCAAGACCTCCAAACGTTTTTGAAGTTTCACGAGAAAATCAATGATAACTCTGATTGTCCTCAAATTTAATTCTTCTGCCAGGATGAGGCAATTTGATTTCTTTTGTTAGTTAAATTTAATGTTTGTGGAGCCTCACACTCGAACAAGCTCAAATATTAGAAACTAATTTAATTTTTCATGACCTTCAGGATTCCAAACCATAACCCACATCCCCCTTTCCCCCGTTTCAAAGAATTGATCAAATTCCTGTTTCATGACACCACGGAATCCCATCTTTTCATACAACCCAACACCCCTTGAACTAGCATTTACAACTATCGGAACATGTTCAGACGTGGCTTGATCTATTCCCCACTGTAAGGCTAAGGCGCCTAAGCCACGTCTCTGGCACGTTGGCAAGATAAATAGACCATGTAAATGCCAGAATTTCTTGAACGTAGCTTCTGGACATTCAGCAGAGATTACAGGTTGCAACAGCGCGGCATTCTTGCGATGAGCAGTGGGATCCCAGAAAGAGAAGTATTTCATAGTTGTAGAGTGTAAGAATCGATTGAGTTCTGTAACCAACATTAGCTTAACCGCAAAACCATACCCCAGACCTCCCATACCAGACCAAAAACTCCCTCTTTGCTCTTTCCCTTCCCCCTCTCTTTCCCAAATCGCCAATCCAACAACCTCATTACGCACATCACGTTCTACATCCCGTTCCAAAACAGCATCCCCCGCGTCCCCCTCCACAACCACACAAACAACGCTTGGCATCAAAAGCATCATTTTCAGCTCTCGCATCACAGAATTTCGATACGTAAGCCACCATGTTTCCATATTCCGATTTCGGAAACATTCTAAAGGGTCTGTGAGGTTACAGAGAGCCGTGATCGTGGCGATGGAGGAGATATCCCGGGGTTCATATGGACGAAGATGCATCGTTGATATTGCGATTAGCGTTAGAAAATGATTGCCACTTAAGGGAATAGTGTAGACGTGACTGGAGTTTTGACGATGTAAGAAGATCCTTGTGGCACTAGATACTGCTGTTGATCAGCGATTGGTGGATACCAGGGGGTCTGAAGATCTTGTTGGTGCGTCGGATAGATTGCTTGTTTTGACACTTGTGGATAACCTTACCTATGGTGCCGTGCAGTGAAGGTCTAGCTCAAAACTCGACTTTCGCGAACACCGAAATAGAGATAATTATATTTACCTATAAATACACCCTAAAGTACTCCCTTTAGCCTCGTATGTTTGGTATAGGGAATTAGGGTATACTTAGGGCTTCTATATTAACCTAAAATAATTAAATAAAAGCTATTTAACGTCGAGAAATACTTAAAAAGCGCGATTTACTTTTTTAAAAGAAAAGTTCTTTCGGCCTTACTTATTTTCTCGCTTAAGTAGTTTCGGCTATATTTCTAAGGCGAAAGGTAGAGACCCGCGATTTAAAAACCTATTATAAAATTTAACTTTTACTCTCTATTTCTCGACACTAATAGCTTTAATTAATTAGTAAAATTTATATTAAAGGTATATATCTACTTTACTTATATTCCTAGGCGCTTAAAAGCGAGAATCGTAGGTAAAACGTAGTCCTTCGGACAAGTTTAAAGTCGCGTTTTGTGCGAGACCTTCACTGCACGGCACCATACCTTACCAGGTTATCCACTCACTCTCACAATTTTTTCCGATGAGGTATGGTCACAAGCCTTACAAGAAATGTTGTCTGGCTTCCGCGAGGTTATATTCAGCTCCGAGAATGAGGATTAAAGTTAAAATTGTCGCTTGCGAAGAGTACAGCACAAAGCATGATATCGTGGCCTTCTCGAAAAAAAATCTTCCGTTCAACTTGATGCTTTTCGTCTAATCGATGTGGCTCTTCGTAATGACAATCGAGTCAAAAGAATTCAGGACTCAACGCGGAGACACCTACGGCCCGAATTACTTCTTCAAAACGATTCCAGACCCATGTGAGTGATGAGACTTAATCTTTTTTATACAAGATGACTGACATCACCCCAGCAACTTGATACCAGACCCTCATTTGGAACACTGAGACTTTGTACCTGTTTTGGGCAATACTCTTATTGACACATAATGGCAAAGGGAACAGTCATATATATACTCAGAAAAGTTAGTAAATGTTTCCAGAGGGACAGAAAGTGACAAATAGACCTTGCCGTCGGATGGTAATAAATCCGCCATGGGCTACCAGGAAAAGGTCCTACATTCAATTCACGGTCGATGTTTCCAATCTGCAGGCTCATTCTTCTTAAAATCCCAACACGTACAGCTACAGTATATTATGAGTACGATAGATGATTTTGCATACCTAAACGTCTCGGGCAATTCAAATTAGCCCCAGTTCATGCAACGCAGCTTTTATCTTCCACATCTGATACACTCTATCATCTGTTACCATACCACCGTCGTAACAAAACGCAGACAGAGCGAGTCATTTTCTAACGCAAAGTGCACCTCATGGCGTGGTTGAGTTGAGTATTACCCCGTAAATTTCAAGCAATGTCATTCTGACCCCTATAAAAGATGAAAGTCTGATCGAGTATGGAGCCGTAAAAAAAACGTTTGTATGTAAATGGTTTGGCTGTATCTTTACACACTTGCTTTCGATAGGATTCGTCTTACTTCCAGAGTATTTTCGCTTCCGCCGAGACGGAGGTACAAATCCCACCTCTTTCACGAACATTTCCTAAATCGTTTTGCTTCCGCCGCGGCAGGAGGTCTATTTCATCATGATATATAAGTCTGAAGAGTATATAGTGTCTCGGGAAGCCCTCTGTTTCGCTCGCACTCCATTCATTCTTTGTGTTCCCCTTTAATCTAGGCCAAAACTGACTTATATGCTGCAAATTGCACTCACATCGCTCTAGAACCACAATTATAAGTCTAGTAGCTACATCAGTGGCAGATCAAAGAGCATTTGTTCATATAAGTCCACACAAGTCGAGCACCAGGCACCATGAAGATCGAACCATTCAAGATCTCTATTCCTCAAGCGAAGATTGATGCACTCCACGCACGTCTAAACAACACAAACTGGGCGCCTGAACTCCACAATGAAGATTGGTCTTCTGGAGTCAACGGCACTTACCTACGAGAGTTTACCTCCTACTGGAAAGAAAATTTCGATTGGCGAGCTCAAGAGGCAAAAATGAATGGGTTCCCGCAATTCCGTACCGAAATCGATGGGGTACCAATCCATTTCATACATTTAAAAGGGAAGGGCGAGAATTGTGTTCCGATTATTCTGAATCATGGGTGGCCGTGGACGTTTTGGGATTTTAAAGATGTGATTAGGGAGCTTGCTGATGGAGGGGAGGGAGAGCATAGTTTTGATGTTGTTGTGCCTTCGTTGCCTGGATTTTGCTTTTCTGGACCCGTGAAGAAGAGTGTAGGATATGCGGAGACTGCTGCATTGTGGGTGAAACTCATGAAAGGCCTCGGATATTCAAAATTCATCACACACGGAGGAGACGCCGGAGCCTTTGTCAGCGCAAGATTAGGCCATGAATTCCCAGACACAATATTGGGTGTACATCTAAGCTTCCCTGTTTTGCCAGGCGTTGCGCATGAATCAGATCCCGCTGATTTCACATCCGAAGAGTTAGCTTTGGCCAAAAGACAGGAAAGAGGACCTGGAGCTTTCGTACATGTTTTGATAAACGCGTTTGATCCGCAGACGCTTGCTTGGGGTATTCATGATAGTCCTGTTGGGCTTGCGGCGTGGCTTCTTTTGCGTCGGAGGGCATGGAGTGATTGTAATGGCGATGTGGAGACGAAGTTTGATAGGGATACGCTGTTAACACATGTCTCGCTTTATTGGTTCACTAATTGCTTTATAGGTTCTCAACTTTTTTGTAAGGCGTCTGAGTTTGTGAGGCCGATGGAGTTAGTTAATAAGAGGAAGCCGGCGATTAGTGTACCGACTGCGGTTGCAATTTTGCCGAAGGATTTGATGTGTAAACCGCGGAAGGTTGTTGAGAGGCATTGTGATCTGAGACAGTGGACTGGTTTTCCTAGTGGTGGGCATTTTGGAGCTGCCGAAGAGCCGGAGAGGATGGTTGGAGATATTAGGAGGTTTGTTAGGGGATTGCGTGGTTAGATGAGACTTCGAAAGGTCGATAATGCTAGATATCGTGACGACTGATTCTTGACTTGGAGTTGAAGGATTTCCATAAGTTTTGTTATGTTATGGTTGATTAGTGTAGCTATCATTCTTGCAGTCTGGGAATTTGAGTTCTTCGCGTCAACCACAGCCCCTCTCCCCAACAGTGCCACGACACAGTCAACACTGCCAGCTCTAGCAGCGGTATACAAAGGCGTTTCCTGCAACTCTCCCATCTTCTCTTCAAAATATTGTCCGGCATCCAATAGTGCATTCAGAACTGCGACGGGCTTCGATTCATAACCTCGATCTACTTTTTTATACTTGACGCACAAAAGTAGAGAAGGAGTTACATACGCATTTTTCTTGTGCTAATCTGCGCCTCCTTACTTTGGAGCTTCAAAATACTGATTCGACTATACTGGATCGCCATATGCTGCGTGCAAAGGCGGCCATCCACCAATCGTGAACTAATTTCCGCTCGATACTTTGAGATCTTGAAACTCTTGTGTAGTAGCAAAACTCATACAATCTATTTTTGCCCCGCGATCTATCAGCATCTTTGTCACCTCCACCGTTGTCAGAGAAAGCAGACTCATGCAACGTAATATACCCTGGCTGATCCCGGATGCTGACTGAGGTTTTCCAGGGGAATAACAGCTCCATTATAAGCACATGTTCTCTCACAATACCTTTCGTGGCGCCACCCTACCTGAGATGTTTTTGCCATCAATACTTGCGCCGCTGTCGAACAGAAGATTTGCGAACGATACATACCCATTGGCTGCCGCCCCAATGTAAGGGAGTCTTACCGCCCACGAACTTGCTCGAGCGGTCATCGTCACCAATCTCATAGACTTCGACATGAAATCTGCGCAGTTTCTAGTTGATTTCTTAACAATGACCTCGTTTCCGACCTCTGTTGCGAAGTGTAGCGCTGTTCTACCGTCGACGGCTCTCGAGATGAAGCTTTCTTGATCAGAAGGATGACGACTACTTACATCCTCATGCGCACTCTGAGTAGCTTGATGCAAAGATGTATGGCCCTTGACACCTTTGAAGTCGATATCAGCACCCTTAGAGAGGAGAACCGTAACGATGTTTCTGTGGCCTCTCCGAGCAGCTTTGTTGCAGAGGTGTTGTATCGAGACTATTCTTGGCTGAAGGAACACCATCTGTTAATATGCAGGGTGATGAATCTGAAACCAGACTTCGTCGAATTTGAGATATTTTGGAATTGTACGTCTGCAAGATCAGGCGAATCCGTATTTTCGGTAGTGAGGTAGGATTCAATGACAGTGATGATCTCACAGTTCCCTACATAACTGTTACTGTGATCTCTTGAGTGCTCTTGAAACAGTAATTGATAACAAAATAACTCATAAAGTGTAGGGAAACTTAACAGTAGAGCTTGGAGCAAACTTCATGGGATTCGAGCGAGCTGACTCTACTACCTCTTTTGTGTGTAGGGGCTTTGATATTTCTCTATATTTCTATTTCTAAATTAAATTACTGAAATTTTAGGACTGTTATTCACAACTCTGTTACCTGATAATCACAACTCACATGGTGAGTGGAGAGGAATTAACAGCATAGACATTATTACTACACATTCGGATAGATTTCTGTTTCTTGGTAAAAGTCAAAAGACTACTTGTTGCACTAGTAAAGACCAATACAAAAGTAGTTGATTATGTAAATGAAAATATAGTTATTATTATGATTGACTGTTTGCAGATGATCAAATTCCCGAGTTATGCAACCGCCTTGTTACTATACCAAGTGGTTTTGTACTGCCTATTAATTTGTTTGAGGCCACCTTTAAAGACGTATAGCTTCTCTTCAAACGTATCTAATCTTAGAACAAACTCAAAATTAAGAGTTTTGTTCCTTTTAAAAGCGACATTTTCTGTTGAAACTTACTTCGCTACCGAAATACCAAATTCAGAAGTAGTCAGCTGAGACAATGTAGTCGGTACCTGTAACCAACTATTGTAAAAAGTAAAGGAACTAGAGAATTACATTAATTTCGTCAAACTTATTCGTTTTAGTCTTGGAAGAAGACAACTCATAAAAGCCTCGTCTTCTTTGGTCACATTTAAAGATAATCAAACGCCGCCATGTTTGCCAATTTAAATACCAAACTTTCTCTACCTACTTTGACTTAAAGGACACATGCAGTAGCGAACGATTGAAACAGACAACGCTCAAGCCGTTATGACTTTCAAATTTCCAAAATTCGGAAATATTCGGAAGACAGCTACAGCATTCCTCTCCTCGCAAGAATTACTGATTTTCATTAGGATATCGAGATGCATGCGAATAGCCACTACAAAAGAACAGCCGCAAAGATACCAATTCTAGGTCCAAACTTTTTCCACTATTTCCCGGCGCATGCGCTCATTGTCCGCAGCAATCACACGAAGAAGGAAACAGATACTGCTTTGAAACTGGCGGTCGTTGTGATAAAGTCCAAGCCTGCCAAGACGAATGATATAAACCTTGTTGAAAAAGTCATTGATCGATCAAAAACCGGCCACCTGCCACCGAAAACAAACCCGTCACCGAATCCACCTAGCCGTAATGTGATAAATTCCCCAAGTCTCAATGACATGTTAGTTTTCCCATTTCCCATTTCCCCATATCGGGTACAGCTCCATTTCTTACTATGCCATCTGCACAACAAGTACAGATAGCGTCCAAGACCGTCCAGCTGCACGCAAATGCGTTCTTATAAGTCCCGGGCGGTCGTATTTTGTCTGCTTTTTAACACTTGAGTTCGAAGATGAATTGCGAAGACAGCCTATCTATCTCTGACAAATGTGATTCTTTATGTGTTTGGAGACAGTCTTAGGGTGTAAAACACAGGTAAGGAAATGCAATTATTGTCGGTGCTATGAAGGAAAGGGACAACATGTTGGTTTTCAAATTAGATTTTGGCAATCTCAATGTGGCGTCGGGTATTGATTACTGTCTTTGCTAAGAATCATAAGATCTATGTGCGAGCACTGGTAGAAATAGTATGCGTATCTTTGCACCAGTAAAGCGGGAAAAAGAATCCATGTCGGAGATGTGCAGTATCCGTACATTTAGAGAGGAGATGAGAAGCAGTGTATTGTCGAGCTTCTGGCATTTCTGATTGTGATGATTGTACCGAGGTATCTATTTACTTCCACCCCCATACTTTAACTCCTTCCAATTATTCCTCTGCTCATAACTCGCAGCCACCTTCAAGCAAGTCAAATCTTCAAACTTCCGCCCCACAATCTGCAATCCAGTTGGCAACCACACATTCTCATCATCGCGCGCATTGACAAAACCAACAGGAAGACTGAGCCCAGGATGACCACTAGAATTAAAGGTAGCGGTATTGTAGGTGGCGCCAATGGTCCTGCTCAGCATAGGCAATGGACCAAGAGTACGACCTCCTTCTGGACAGATCTTCACGGGTGGGAATATGATCGTTGGCATGACAAGAACATCGACATCTCTTAACGCACGGTCGTATTCGTCATTGAGTTTTCGTAGGAGATTCGTACATCTAGCGTGCAATGGAGAACCGAACTGTTGCTGGAGAAACAGGCCACGGAGGTAGATGTTTTGACCTCCTGGTCCCAGGGCATCAAAAGCGGCTTGAGATAGGACAGAACCGACTTGTTGAGATCGTGTCGGGAAGAGAAGCTGTTTTCTGCCAGCTGGGTTGGCAAGTAAACCTTGAGTCGTGCCAGCCATTGGTAAAGCTACCATCCAGATCATACCCGAGTCGCGATGAAGAGGGATACTGATCTCTTTGACTTCGGCACCCAACTCCCCAAGTTTTTTGATAGCTGCTCGAGATGCAGTGGCCACATTAGAATCTGTCATTGGGTCTTCGAAGCCTTCTCTCAGTATCCCGATCTTCATGCCTTTGAGCGTTGCTGAGGATGATTTGGTACTGGACAGATGAGAAGCGATCTCTTGCCCGAACTTGATGTGACCTTGTGGCCAATTATACGGTTGCCTATCATCAATACCATCACTACCTGCAATTACTTCGAGGAGCGTAGCACAGTCTTGAACTGTTTTACACATTGGTCCGACGTGATCAATCGTAGCTTCAAGTGAAATGCAGCCAGTATATGGCACGAGCCCCCAAGTTGGTTTCAAACCGACCACACCACAATTCGCGGACGGTAAACGAATTGATCCTCCTTGGTCGGCACCTATTGTCATATCCACCTGACCAGAGGCGAGAAGACGCCCAGAACCGGATGAAGAACCACCAGTGCTGTATCCATGTGCATATGGGTTATGAACTGGGCCCGTCACTGATGTATCGCTAGCACGATTGTTAGCCAATTTTCCTCAGCAGGAATCCAGCACAAACCTAACAGCTCCAAAACAATTGTTCTCGCAAGCCGCTTTACCTGTGATAACCCCTCCGGCATCTAGTATTCTAGTGACCAATGTAGCATCCACATCTGGCGTCCAGTCTACTGCTCCAGTTCCATTTGTACACTTTATCGCCGCAACGGCAATATTGTCCTTTATGGCCAGTGTCTTTCCTTGCAACTCATTGCTCGTCGGTTTGGTAGATTTGACCGTACCCTTCCATGCCCATCCTCCGCAATCTGTTTCTACCAGCCCCTCTGGTCTGTGGATCTCGGTTCGTGGGTATAAATTTGTATCAACCGCAGGGTAGTAGTCGGGGATTTCAAGGATCTCTTTCGCGCAATGGTTTAGTCCCGCTAGAAGTGCTGCCCAATCTGCAAGCTCGGACTCTGGAATGGTAAGATTGTTTGTTTTGGCAAGTTGGACTACTTCCTCAGTCGAGACTAAGGAGTCGCGTCTAATTGAAGTTAGTTTGTTGCGAATAGGAGAAGGGATTTCAATGGCCTTACTGAGCATTACCAAGTACGCTGACAGACATTATGGATGTTGCGTATCAAACCGAAGTAATAGGACGCATAAATGACTCTTCTGTATATCGAGCGACATGTTCATGATATATAATATCTGCTAGAGCTCCTGTGTAGTTATCGTTATCAACTTATCAAGAGGTGGGATAGTCGATGATCGGATATTTGTGCCAGTCCCGAATCTCGGCCGCGGGGCTGCAATTGGTGTGTCATATTGATGGAGATGAGTAGGAAGCGGCCGTATCAATTGAAAAAATATGACGAGACACGCCGGGATAAAAGAAAAGATACTGCTGTGGTGTTGTTGAATCCCAAAAAGGAAGCCGGATTATGCTTGAACCGCTCTCGCTTCAGATGATCAAACGGAGCTCCGAAATCTTGCTCGTGATCTTCCTTCCATCAACAAACACTGCTTCTGGGGTTCTCATGTTCTGACGGCCTTGAACTGGCAGCTTTCAAGTTTCAATTCTCCGGGTGTTTGCAAAGGGACATCACCCTCGAGAAGTCTCCCAAAAACTTAAAGTTACCTTGGTACCGTCAGGTTGATCAACAACGTGACTGCAGCGATGCCCACCACTTCAATCATAACAATCCGTTGAATCCATCTGATTCTATCAACAGATGTCAACAATTTCCCTCGTTACTGGATTCAAAACAATTTTGTTTCTGCTCTTTAGGCCGACGCGAGGATATTCACGAAAGCACGTGTCAAATTTCAAAGTTATTCCCGGGCGACGAGCCGACCCAAATGCGGGGACCCCACGGTAGCTCCCGCGCTTGAGACCATGTACATCATTACCATGGGACTTTTCGTGTCACTTGAAGGGCTTTGTGCTCTCCAAGTGAGGATTGAAACATGTGGAAACTCCATAGTCTTGCCGGGAAACATATCTCCAAGCATCTTGAACATGGATTGAAGTACACTGTGGGCCGAAGAGGACTAGTCACTCAAAGCCAAAGGAGAAAGGCTACAACTGCGAGTGGTTTGGGTTTAACGTACCCGGTCATTGATCATAAATATGAGTATGTACTACTCATCTCGTGATGTTTGAGATCCAGATGAAATATATACTGACCGTGAAACAAGTGCAATCGTTGTCGGAGCTGGTGGTGCTGGATTACGAGCAGCTGTAGGACTCGCGGAATCTGGTTTGGAGACAGCTTGTATCAGCAAATTGGTGTGTATAGACTGGTTTCTTAGGTTTCTCTGTCCAAACGTTTATGCGCTTTCTCTTCACGACCATTAAGTAGTTCGTCTAATGACATATTTCAGTTTCCAACTCGATCACACACAGTGGCAGCACAAGGAGGCATCAATGCGGCAATCGGAAATATGACAGAAGGTATCAACCTCTTTATGAATTCAGTTCAGTTTGCACAAGTCTAATCGTTTGTAGATGACTGGCGCTGGCACATGTACGACACAGTGAAAGGCTCAGACTGGCTTGGCGACCAAGATGCAATCCACTACATGACCAGAGAAGCACCTAAAGCAGTCCACGAACTCGAGAACTACGGCATGGCGTTTTCTCGAACTCAAGATGGTAAAATCTATCAACGAGCATTAGGTGGCCAATCTCTTGACTACGGAAAAGGGGGTCAAGCTTACCGAACCGCTTGCGCTGAAGATCGTACTGGTCATGCTATGCTTCATACACTGTATGGCCAGAGCTTGAAACATAATACTAATTTCTTCATCGAGTATTTTGCTCTAGACTTACTGATGGTTGATGGGAAGTGTGCTGGAGTCATTTGTCTAAGTATGGAGGATGGGACGATTCATCGAATGTTTGCGAAGAATACGGTACTTGCTACTGGAGGGTTTGGGAGGGCGTATTTCTCATGCACTTCAGCCCATACATCGACAGGAGACGGTAATGCAATGGTTGCTCGAGCAGGATTGCCAAATCAGGACATGGAATTTGTGCAATTTCATCCGTCTGGAATATATGGAGCTGGTGTGCTTATCACCGAAGGTGCCAGAGGTGAAGGCGGATACTTACTTAATGGCGAAGGAGAAAGATTCATGGAAAGATACGCGCCAACAGCCAAAGACCTAGCATCCCGAGACGTCGTCTCCAGATCAATGAACATAGAAATCAAAGAAGGCCGAGGCTGTGGACCCGAAAAAGACCACATCTACCTCCAGCTCTCCCACCTCCCCGCAGACATAATCCACGAACGTCTTCCAGGAATCGCCGAAACAGCAAACATCTTCGCCGGCATCGACATAACCAAAGAACCCATCCCCGTCCTCCCGACCGTCCATTACTGCATGGGCGGGATCCCCACCAATCACCACGGCCAAGTTCTCTCCCTGACGCCCACGGGTCAAGAAACAATCGTCGAAGGTCTCTACGCAGCAGGCGAAGCAGCTTGCGTGTCTGTCCACGGCGCCAACAGATTAGGCGCCAACTCCCTCCTCGACATCGTGGTCTTCGGCCGCGCAACAGCTCTCCACATCGCCTCGAACAACACCAAAAGCGCACCTCACCTTCCCGTCCCTGATGATATCGGCTCCAACTCCCTCGAAGACCTCGAGCGTATACGCACAGCCAGCGGCGATATACGTAGCTCCCAACTCCGTCTTGACATGCAAAAGGCAATGCAATCCGACGTCGCCGTCTTCCGCACCGCGTCCTCGCTCGAAACAGGCAACAAAGCCATCGCGCAGGTCGCGGAGCAGTTTGACAGTTGCTTGAGCTTGACGGATCGCAGTTTAGTCTGGAATAGCGATCTGATTGAGACGTTGGAGATGCGGAATTTGTTGGCGTGTGCGAAACAGACGGCAAGGTGTGCGTTGGAGAGACGGGAGAGTAGGGGGAGTCATGCGAGGGAGGACTATCCCGAGAGGGATGATGAGAGGTGGTTGGTTCATAGTTTGAGTTGGGGGGATGGCGGGGTTGGGTGGAGGGGCGTGAGGATGGGGACGTTGGATGAGGGGGAGTGTAGGAGTGTGGCGTTGAGGAAGAGGAGTTATTAGTGATAAGCTATTAGATGAGTTTTGGTGGTTGGGCTGTGTGATGAGGAGCTTGATGGTGCTAAGGAGAATATTGAGCTAGAGGACGTGCAAAGGTTGAATAGTTTCCCTACTTAACGGGCCGTTGAGTGTTTGAGTGCCCTGAGGTAGTGACAGAACTTGATGAAACAATAGCCACCCTCCCTTACCATCATATTCTTTCCTTCTCCTTGACCCATAATCTCATCTCATCAAACCTAACCATTCACGCCAACCTTACAAACTCCTAAACCATCCATACCAAAAACTGTGTGCACAAATAGCGCTCGAGGACTAACAGAATATCTCCTACGAAGACATTTTAATAACGTCTAACCCTTACCACCCGAAATGAGCGTGAACAATAACAAAACCATGAATTTCGGGAGTTAAGCATGAGGAGGGATGTATGGGAAATCAGATGAGAAAGATGGCATTTGGGTACATGTAGCAGTAGCTGTAGTTGAAGCGCGAGAAAATTGCTGAAATCCAAGTATGAGACAAAGCGGCATGGACGGTCGACGGAAACTGGATTTGCTTAGAGGAACGTTCACGGACTGGGGATATGACGTTCGAGAGAAGGTGGATAACTAACGATTGGGGTCAGGGAATACGTAGAATCATCAAAGAGGTAGGCATTAACCCAAAGTAATTGAAGACATAAAATTCATTATCCCAGAAACCCACCCCCAAAAACAGCTAAACTATCAACCACAAAAAAGCACCCTTCCCCTCCAACCCTCCATCCTATACACACTCCCCCCAAAACATTCAAACTCCCAGGGTATATCAAACCACCACCACCTTTTCACATCTACCACCAATCCCCCTGATCATGCATCGCCGCCGCAACCTTCACAAACCCGGCAATGTTCGAGCCCGCAACCAAGCTAGGAAACTCGCCTTCCCCACCCTTAACATATTTCTTCGCCGTCTCCAAGCCGTTCTTGAACGCCGCTTCCATGATACCCTTGAGTTTCTCGTCCACCTCCTCAGACGTCCAGCTCAGACGCTGGCTATTCTGCGCCATCTCGAGGCCGGACACGGCGACACCGCCGGCGTTGGCAGCTTTGCCGGGCGCGTACCAGATGGCGGCGTCTTTCTTCTCGCGGCGGTTGGCTTCAAAGACTTCGATGGCTTCTTGGGTACATCCCATGTTGGAGCCCTCGGCGATGAAGCGCGCGCCGGAGTTGACTAGAGCCTCAGCTTCCTCTTTGGAGACTTCGTTTTGGGTCGCGCAAGGAAGGGCGACGTCGACTTTGACGTGGGTCCAAGGGCGGGCACCGTCGATGTATTTGTGTTTGCCTTGATAGTCGGTGAGGGCTTGGCGTTTGACTTTGAGGGCTGCGATGGCGTTGACGTCTTCGGGGGTGATGGGAGAGTCGGCGGTGGCGATCAGTGAGCCTTTTGAGTCGGAGAGGGAGACGACGGTTGCGCCGAGCTCGATGGCTTTGAGTGCTGCGTATTGGGCGACGTTGCCGGAGCCGGAGATGGCGACGGTTTTGCCTTTGAACGAGCCTTGGCCGGCATATTCGATCATGTGGTTGACGTACTGTGATGATTGTTAGTTGTGTATAGCTTTGTAATAGGAGGGACTACGAACGTAGACAAGTCCATATCCAGTGGCCTCTGGTCTGATAAGAGATCCACCCCAGGTTCCTCCCTTTCCAGTGAGGATTCCCTCCCACTTTCTTGTCTCGGCCTTGTATGTACCAAACATCCATCCAATCTCACGTCCAGAAACACCAATATCTCCGGCTGGGACATCGGTATCGGCACCAATGTGCTTGCTAAGCTCGCGCATGAAGGAAACACAGAACTTTCGGATCTCGTTATCGGATTTGCCTTTTGGATCGAAATCGGCTCCTCCCTTACCACCACCAATGTTCACTATTGTCATCAGTCAAGGTATTTTGGAGGATGATCACGTGAACTTACATCCAGTGAGAGCATTCTTGAAGATCTGCTCGAAACCCAAGAACTTCAAGATGGAAAGATTGACCGATGGGTGAAGTCGAAGACCACCCTTGTACGGACCGAGAGCAGAGTTGAATTGCACACGGTATCCTCTGTTTACCTGGGTCTGGAGTTTGTCGTCCTCCCAGACAACTCTGAACTGGATGATTCGCTCTGGGATGGAGACTACTTTCAAAGCAGTTCTGTATTCTGGCTTTTGCTCAAAAAGACTGGAGTTCTCGAGGGTGGATACGAGTTCTGTTTGAAAATTGTTAGCCTGATTTCATCTTATTACTGGCATCCGGATAGATGAAGTTCCAAGAGTAATATCTGTGATGCCCAAATTGGTAACGAATATTCTCAGTGGATATCCTACTAGTACAACTGATTGCAAGCCACCTTCGCGAAGTCGATTCTTATCTTGCTAAGACTTGCGCCTCGTTGGTTGCAAGCAGATTGCGCCACGACAAGATCCGAGACAGCGGCTTTCTGATCTTAATAAAAAGAAGACACTTGAGAATCGCGCTCCAAAAGGTGAATGGATCTGAAAGAATGATACGGAAAAATAAATGGCTCTTACCATTATAGGCCTGCTCGAATTCGGGCTCAGGAGCAAGGTTAGACATGGTTGCGGATTACGGTTATGATGTTGTTCGTTGCTAGTCGTATAAATCGATAAGGGAAGCTCCAAAAAGTTTCCAGAAGAGGTCTGGAAGAGAAAGCTCAGATCTGGGAGCCCAACACCCTTATATGGTGCCGTGGGGGAGCTCTCCATCTTGGAGCTCAACATGAGCTAGGAAGATGCAGCTCACCAGTCTCCCACGAATCGAACGCATGAATCAGGCCCAATATCTGGTAGCGCAGGGAAAAACAAACCGGTGGCTGATCCACCAATGTAGCCGTGCAGTATAGCTATATCGAAGGCAACGGCTGGAACCACCAGTCACAGTCTGGTGTGTGGTCTTCCTCTAAGAGTTTGAACCGCAGAACGCGGTTTGGATGACGTGCCACGAAAGCCGGAATCGGATGGCAAGACATCATGGATAATCCGTGGGGCGAATTACCGGGAGAGTCCACGAATGTTGGGCGAGTCTGGCAACTAGGACGGCTGTTGGGGGGAGGATCATGTTGGCTACGCCTTTAGGAGGAAAGGCTGAGAGTATTCTGATAGACAGCTCCTTTCTCGGAAAAAGGAGCATATGATTTTGATAAAAGACCGGTGTCACCGATCTTATCGTAGCAGCATGATTCGTCAATTGAGAAAGGCGCCTGCAAGTAAGTGCCAGCCGGCTCGCCCCAGCGAATGGGTAAAACTGGACACTTTGCTGGGCAGCTTGCCTGCTTCAGGGTAGCTCGAGCCCTGATCAACCAAGGGTTCTCACTAATTCCTCGCTCTAATGGGCCTGTTGGGCTGGCCAGCGGGGGCTTCTGATAGGCGAGAACCCCCTAAATCATTCCATGTCGGCATCGCGCTCCACGCCGCAGAGGTCGCATGTCTGGAGACTTTTGGCGATGGCTTGATCTTCACCCCGCGGAAGCCCCTCCTTCGACCCCTCCAAATAGAGGAAAAACGCAGGGAAAGGGCCGTCCCAAGTCACACATGCCACATAGAAAAAGCTTAACCGAGCAGCAGGAGCATGCTTTGTTTTTGGAGTGCAAGGTAAGACCACCTCTACAAAATCCGCAACACCACGCAACACAGTTTTCATTGAAAATATTTTCAAGGGGGAGAAAATCGCTCAACTCCGAAACGAGTTCACGATGGGGGGAAGAGCTTTTGTGGAGTGACATTAGAGTATCTGTACTCCCACCCAAATATGGAGATGCCCAAGCTTCTAGGGCACCGGTGTCGGAGACGTTTGAACTAGACTTTCTCTTCAGCCTCGTCTGGACTTTTTATCACCTTGATTTGAACATCCCACCCGCGATTCAACTGGGAATCAATAAAGATTCCGATTGCACCCGTGCGAAGGATCACTTGAGCAGAAGAAAAGCTTGCAGCGGATGTGACTTGGTAGCTGTTGAAGCTGCCTCCTTACAAGCACCCCTAGATGCAGCGCCATGACAGGTTTCTGTCGTTGAATAGGTAGAAAGTGGCCATGAGTTCTTAGGAAAGGAGACAAAAATGGTCTTTCGGAACTCAAGCTTACCAACAAGGCCTGTTGTCCAGCTCCCTGGGGATTTTCTATTCTACGCATCCCGTCCAGGTTTGATGGTTCCATTTTGGAAACAGAAACCGCATTCGTGTACACCTGCTACATTGACATCCAACCGAGCAGAAGAAATCGAGTCCGACCGTGGAAGCACAAACTCCAGATGAATAGCAGAGTAGCTCCTGAAAACGCGTATCGAGAAAAGGAAAGGAGGAAAACGAAGAAAAGCAAAAAGCTATGTTGGCATCAATGGTCGCTGTAGATGTTGTTGGATACTTCCAAGCTGGATCAGAGCCATACGATATCAACAGGTAGTGTCAAGATACCGTCGCATAGCAGCGTAGCAAACCATACGCTTTTGAAAAGTGCAGCAATTCTCAGCAGCTGCACATGGACATCTCGTCAATTGACTCAGTTCATTGTTCGGATCTTGAAGATCCGCAACTCTGCCCACTAATCGACGTCTGTAGGATCCCAATCGGTCACCAAATGCTCATCCAAAGCACGAAGCGCTTGCAGATCCGCTTCCTCAATCGAAAACCCATCAACGTCCGCATTCGAAACGACTCTCTCCTGTTTAACACTCTTAGGCAATGGCACAAAGCCATTCTGCAAGCTCCATTTTATGAGCAACTGCGCCCACGTACAATTATATTTCTTCGACAATTCCACGACCTTTGGATGTTTCGCTCGCATCGCACGAGCGAGAGGCGCGTAGGCCTCTACAATAATATCGTTCTTCTTGCAGAGATCGGTAATTGCGGTCTGGGTATTGAAAGGGTGGACTTCGATTTGGTTTACAGCGGGTTTGACTTTTGGGTTCGAATCCAGGAGTTCTTGCAACTACATCCATATATCAGTGCCATCCACCCTTTGCAAATGGAAAGAATAAGACCTCCACATTTAATAATCAAGAAGAAGAGAAATACTCACATGCCTAACCCCAAAATTACTCACACCCCCCGCCCTCACCTCCCCCTCCTCAATCGCATCCCCCACCGCGCGCCAACACTCCAACCTCTTCCTCGTCCCCCCAATCGGACTATGCAATAAATACAAATCCACATACCCAAGCCCACACCTCTTCACACTCGCCTTAATCTTCCTCCTCGTATCCTCATACCCCACATTATTCTGCAGCTTCGTCGTGAACCACACATCCTCCCTCTTCACCTCGCCATGTTTCTCCAAAAACGCGTTAATTGAGTCGCCGACCTCCTTCTCATTCCCGTACCACTCTGCGGAGTCGATGGCGCGGTAGCCGGCTTCGAGCGCGAAGGTTACGGCGGAGGAGCAGGCGCGGCCGGAGACTTGGTAGACGCCGAGGTGGAGACGGGGGATGGGGATGGTGTTGTTGAGGGGGAGGGTGCTGGTTAGGGTTGTTTGGGAGGACATCTTTGCGAGTTTGGATGTGAGGCTGGACATTGAGGGGGGTGGAGGGTTGGAGACATTGTTGCGAGATAGATGCGAGAGGGCGAATGGATGGAGCTATGGATGCTGGGTATGACGAATTGACGATGATGTAGGGAACGGAAAGTGGGAGAGCGGTGGTGATATCGGATGTGCTACTCCGGTTGTGCTCCGGTGATACCGTGCGTATTCTTGCTCAATGGTGTTGCTCTCAAGTTATTGTATACTAACATTTCATATTTTGATTTACAAATTATACTCAAGTGACATTTTTCTAGTAGGTAACGAAATGTTTGTTATGGCTACATGCTCTTCCGATTACCAGTCAGTACCTAGTTCACATCAAGTCAGCCGCTCCTCAACCAATTCCAGGTTTGCTCCTTTTAAACGTATTACCTGTATTCGAATCCTCACAGAAATCATCTCTATTATTTCACCTATCTATTCACACCTTATCAATTAAGACCAAAAGCCCCCAAGGTTCTCCTCCAGCGTCAAATGCATAATCCCACGTCACCGATATCTTCGGTCCCAAGCTCAAGCTTAATTATTAATCTACAATCTACAACATACTGCACGACACACCACATGACCGTTTTACATGCATATCTCCACACCGAATCCTGTGGTCATAGGCCAATTCTCATATACTCGCAGGAGGCTCAGCGCAGAACAAGGCGGAGCATAAGCGAGTTGGATGCCTTGCGAATGACTGCGTTTCGGTGAGAAAGGTATGCTATTTCATATAAGCTCATTAATACGCCGTTAAACTCATGTTTTTGTTTCTCATTCATACTTCTCAATATCCTCACACCCAACAATGGACCCCGTAGGAAGCGCCCAAATTTGCGTCAGCGTAAGTTCCTCCTCTCAGGTATTCAAGTCCATAAGTTAAATCAATTTCCAGCTCATAAACCAAATCTACACTTTCATATCCGAAGTTCGCGGCGCCGACGCCAGCATCGTGACACTACGCACCGAGATCGAGCGCGCAAGCCGCACGCTCAGAGGCATCTCGACGACCTGGAACAAACACCGCAAGATCATCCAGGCGCAAGTCAAGGCCGGGTCCGGCGCATGGGCAAGCGTGGATGTAGTTTTGAAAGAAACGAAGGGGACGTTGGATGAGGTGCGCAACTTAGTGAAGGCGTTGAGCACGAATAGCGTAGGGAGTTTGGAGCTGAGGGAGAGGTGGAGGAGGCCGGCGTTAGCGATACGATTAAGGTTAGAGGGGGGAGAGATTGCGGAGTTTAGGAGGAGGTTGGAGGGGCATAATAATGATGTTGTGGCGCTTTTGAGTGCGGTTGAGTTGTGAGTTCTCTGTACGTTTTTTGGGAAGGGATTGGGCTGATGAGATAATAGTGATATTCAGATTACGCAGATGGCGCAGCAGATGGCGAGGGATGAGAGGGAGAAGAAGAGTGAGAAGAAGAAGGAGTTGGATAACAAGAAGTTGATAGCGGAGGTGGCGAGTAAAGCTGCGAAGAATGCTACGGAGCAGTTGGTGAAGAGGTTGAAGGAGGAGGAAGCGGAGGCGGCGAGGAAGGCGAATAGGAGAGCAGAGAAGAAGGCGAGGGAAGATGCTGGGAAGAATGAGAACTCATCAGAATCGCTGGGACAGAATGGCGATAAGAAGTCAAAATCCAACACTCCGCAGAGAGTTGTGCCACTTCCTACGACAAAAAGAGCTGTACCGCTTCACACAACACCTCCACAGAGAGTCGTACCACATCCCACAACAAAAAGAGTTATACCATCTCCCACAACACCTCCCACAACACCTCCCACCACACCTCCAAAAAGAGTTGTACCACTTCCCACAACAAAGAGAATTGTACCACTTCCCACAACACCACCCAACAAAAAACCCGAGAACAAGCCCAAAACAAAACAAGAAACCCCGAAACCGAAAGATGAGAAGAAAGGTAGCGAAAAGAAGAAGGATATAGCGAAAGAAGATAACAAACTAGCGAGAAGTGATAGTCTGATGGTGGAGACGGGGTGGGATTGAAGATTTGAGGGCAAGTGTGCGGTGCGGGTGTTTTCAGGTTAAGTGTGAGGTGTTGATGATGAGCTGGCGAGGATGATTGTTTGGAAGAATAGGTTTTTAAGTGGCATTTCAGGGGAGAGGAGTTTGATTTTTGGGGAAGGGGGAGGGGGCGTGGGTGTATGTATGTGGATTGTGTTTAGATATCTGTGTATTACTAATGAATATTTGTTGACCTACTAAAGTTGATCGTGAGGTTAGGTGTGGTTTATTGAGCTGATTTGTTGGGTTTGGGGGATGAAGGGGGAGTGCTTGGGTTTACTGGGTTTGGGGAGGATCCTTTGGGTGAAGGATGATATGTTTGTTGGAAGAGTAGTGTACGTCTATTGAGTGATTAAACAATCATCAAGATATATTCGATTTTATAGGTAGTAATTTCTACCCCCTTTCTCTCTTTCTAACAACTAAGTACATACAGGAAATTCAAGAAATCAAAGTGGTATCATAAACATCCCAACCCCAACGCCATCCCGAGTTCCAATCCTCCTCTTACACACAAACACTCAAGAAAAACCCCACCGCAGGCGCCATATAACTATTCACAAACCCAAACCCCCCTCCCCCTCCCCCTCCCTCTCCTCCATCCTCCCCCGCAACCTCAAAAACAACCCCCATCCCCCCTCCACACGCAAAATTCACAATCCCCTGACTCCCCCTCCCCAACGTCGCGCGCGCTATCTCCCCCACAAAACTCCCATCCTCGCTCAGCGCGCTGATAACGACGTTAGAGGTCGCGGGCCCAATGACGGGAGCGAGCGCGTCTTGGAGGTAGATTAGGGTGCAGGTGCGGGAGTAGGAGAAGGGTGCGTAGAGGGGGATGGAGAAGTAGAGGGATGTGGTGGTGGTGGGGGTGAGTGTGAGGGAGTGGTTGAAGGGTTGGAAGGTTGTGGTGTCTGAGGGGAGGATTAGGGAGGGTGGGACGAAGGTGGTGCTGTTTATTAGTTGGATTGGGCAGCCTGTTTTGGAGGTTGGGATGGAGGTGGTGGTGGTTGAGGTGGGTAGAGAGGAGGTGGCGAGGAGGGCTGCGGTGTAGGGTGTGAAGATTGAGGGGGTTGTTGGTGTTGCTAAGGGGGAGTTCGGACAGTTGGGGTGGCAGAGGGTGGTGGATTTGAAGGTTGTTAGGGTTCTGGATGTTCCGCAGGTGTTTTTGGCGAGGATTTCTTGTGTGCCCTGAATTGTATTAGTATCATAATCCAAATCGAATTAAGTGTGATAAAGTACTTACATTATTACCAGCACTCTTACAAGTAATAAATCTCGTCGTAGTCGTAGCCAGAGCTTTATCGACCAATCTCGTCACCACCCCATCACAACCCATACTAATCATATCCGCGTCCTGTCTCTTCATCTCCTTATTACAACCTAACGCACTTCCCGAACCTGTTCATCATTAGACGATAATCTCCAATTTCCTATGATCCTGACTTACTACCAAACGCAAACCCACAATTAAACCCCGTATCCCCATCCACCAACCTTCCCCCTCATTCACAAATCTCATTACCTTCCCACCCCCTATCTCATCCACCAAAATCGTTCCATTCCCACTCCTCACCACATTTTTTCCAACCATTGCGCCCAGCGGGTCCGTACTCTGCACGCTCATGCTAAACCGACATGTTTCTTGCGCGGAGGCCATAGCTACGAGAGCTAGGGAGGCGAGTATGAATCGCATGTTGACTTTGCTGTGAGATGAGTTTTTGGTGTAGGGGTCAACGACTATTTTCTCGTTGGAGGGGGAACAGCAGACTTATAAAGAGCAGGCATAGTGAGGGCTTGCGCCTCGAGATTGGTGTTCCTATGGAGGAGCCGGGTTTGACGAGACGGGTGTCATACGAACAACTTATCCATAATGCGGCAAGAAGTATTGATTTCTTTGACTCAGCTTTCGGAAGTATAAGAGACGGTCGGTGGCTGTTTTGTTGGTGTTTGGCGGTTTGGGTTGCTTGATGAGGGTTGAGTTGGTTGAGGCAGATTTTGGACGATTGATGTAAAATATCGTGACATGATTGTGGTGTTTTGGTAAGATCGATTTGCTCTATAAAATGAGCTAGTACATCAGATTGCCGAGTCTGCAGTCATAATGTTAACGAATATCTCCACCTATCGCTTCTATAACTTTGAAGCAACACATACTCTCTCTCCAGCTCTCAGTAACAAACCTGTCGATCCCAATAGCATCTTCAATCGCTACCACCAACCAACAGTTCGCACCGATAGTAATTTGGAGATAAACTTCCAACTGCGGATTCTCAAGGAATACTCCTCGGATCTCACGGTGGCTCATTTAATTCCTGCCACAACTGCAGGATCCTGTGGCTGACAACAGAAAGCCTCGGCCGACCCACGTCGCAACAAAAGAACTGGAACGAAACTTTTCGTAGATACAGAAATCTCTGATTAGTTTTGTGGTAACTAATTTTCTGAATCAAACAAAACACTCCCTAGTCATCTCAGTGTGAAGAAAGCGGTTTCATCGCTAGTTTTGCGATGTTGAGTTACCACCAAGAACAAATCCGCGGAAAGGATCAGGAAGAAGGATGACTGAGATTTGAAGGACTAAAATGAACGACCGCGCAAGGAGTAGGAGATGGAAATTCCAACTTGGTCAGCTTGGGGTCACCAACAATACATTGCGATATTGAAAAGGGCTTTGGTTGTTGTTTCCAAGCGCAGCTGTTAGAGACAACATCGAAAACGAAAACATACACAACCTACACATCACGTGTTGCTAATCCCCTAATAATGTTGTAAACATGCAGCACTCCGTAGATCATAGTCGCCATACTATTACGCTACCTAAAAACTAGCGCGGGGTATAGCGGATCACATACTCGTAGACTAGCAACATATCCTCTCTCACAAGATCCCATTTTGAATGCAAAAAACGCCCTCAAACTCCCCAACAAAAACGCCCTTCCATGCATACCGAATCTAATCCCTTTTCGGTCTCCAAACGCCTATCAAATGAATTTTGTCGAAAATATGAGTGGTGAAATTATCGTAGTTGCAAGCCGTGATCTCTCTCTAGTTTAGATGCTATGACTTTCAGTGCGCTGACAGCGACTGCTGTTTGGTTCTTCTCTCGGGCGGGAAAGTCGACTAATGCGATTCGAAGTGCGGCTAGTGCGGCAGTTCCGTAGAATTTCATGAATGACTTTTCTTTGTTGTCGATCATCGCTTTGAGGACCATGAATTGTGTGGATGAAGTTTGGCCTGGCGGTGTATTGACGATGACTGACATGGATTGCCAATAATGAGTTGGATGCCATGGACTTATTGCTACCTGGGATCTGCTGAAATCTCGAAGACAAATTGCAGCGTATCCCGCTCCCAGTCCCATCATGCGATTATTGTGCTGTTGTTCGTCCACCCAGCTGTCGCCATCCTTATGCCATCCAACTGCAGTCCTTCCGCCCTCGGTTTTCTCATTGCCTCTGAATCCCCATAAGACTGGACAAACTTTCCGCATTTTGGCCATGAGAATATCTATTAATGGTATCCCTCTCCATAAGAACTCTTTTTGGCCGAAGATAGAAACCGTCAGGATACCAATGGGTTCAGCGGCCGTTATTTGAGCACCCGCCTCATTGACTAACTGGTTGATGATGGCTTTCGCAAATATGTTTAATATCCACAAGAAAAGTACAGGCATATCCCCGTTATGTCCCGTTGATCCTCCAGCAGGAGGTGCTGCGACTACGTATGGACTAGGATCGACTCGCGGTTGTGATGGGAAATCGTTCAGGGTTTTCCGAATAATGTCTACCACTTTGGCTTTCTAATATCATATTAGACGGTGCTTACGTGGGAGAACTCTGAGACATACCACTTTATTGTTGTCGCCTTTCTGGGGATTGACGACTAATTGCCCACATGCTGTTCTAAGACCTCGTCTCAAGTCACCGATAGTATTTCGAGCTCCCTTGTCAAACTGTTGTAACCAGCTATCAACATTGGCTCTCATTACTTTGAGCTCCTTGTGTATCTCGACATAACGTTGTGCACCGGGAAGAATATGAGACTCAGACGACGGCCTCGCAGGAGGCTTAACAGCAGGTGTAGGCTCTTGTGCAACTGGCCTAAGAGCAGATGGACCAGGCTGAGGGGTGGGTGGGGGAAGTTGAGTAGGGAGTAAAGCTGGTTTGGGTACAGGAGGGGGTTGCTGGAGAGGGCTGGGAGTTGGTGGTTTCTGAGGAGAAGGCGGTCTTTGAACCTGCCGAGGAGGAGACGGCGGAGGTGGCGGAGGGGTTGGCAATCGTGGTGGAGGTTTAGGTATTCTCTTCGCGGCATTTTCGAGCTCTCTGATGCGGGTTTCCTCCAACGCGCGGGCCGTCTCGAGTCGGATTCGCTCTGCTTCGGCTGCGTTTTGTTGCTGTAGTCGATTCTGAGATTCGCGCAATTCGTTCATGGCATACGCTTGAAGCGCGGTATCACGAATTCGGTCATGCTCTGCTTGTGCGGCCGCAAGGGCAAGTCGGTGGACGTCTTCGCTGTTGCGAGTCTCGAAGTCGTCCTCGGAGAGGTAGCTGCGTCGGAATGGCGAGGAAGAATCTTCATATCTGCTGGCATGATGGTCCATTTGACCTTTGGTACATCGGGACAGAAACGACAGTGGAGAGTGGTGGTTATGACAAGGGAAGAAGTGTTGGAGTGGACAAGAAATCGCGTTCATCAATCCAGAGCTCTCGACTCCCGTCCTTGTCCCGGAGAAAAGCCGAAGCGCATGGGTAGGTCATAGCAGCAGTCCCGGACCCCTCGCAAAGAAAGACATGTTGCGACAAGCTTGTATTCAAGCAAACATGTTTACGAGTGAATTAACGGTAATCTAGACTAGAGGTAAATGAGCCATACATTCACCTGTGCGGTTCATACTAATAATATGAGTCTTCTGTAATCATCATCAATCCAGACAAAATACGCAGATCATTTCGCTATTGAGGGTGTTTCCTTTGCTTCCTCGTATCGCCAAGAATTGCCCGACCACGCAGCCACGCTAAGATCATCGACACCTGCTTCTTCGAATTCATCAACCCTCGGATTTGACAACCATCCTCAACCTCATTCATCTCCCTCTCCCACAGTCTCGAATCCTCGAGAAGCACTCCTTCAGATCTAGATCACCAACCTCTTCGTACCCTCCCTTACGCCCTCATTTGATTCGTCTACCACCATCATTTGAATTGCACAAACCCTCATAGGAAACTCGCACTCTACGTGCACCTCCATTCATCATGGAGCATCAACAAAACCAACAACCTCCACCGCAAGGAGGCGTGCCGGGTCCTACCGGCCGCCGACTACACATTGCTCATCGCAGGAGTCCTTCCGAGTTGACACCGTTGATGAGCATGTTCTCGTCGCCAGGCAGTAAGTGGTTTAGGAGATATCTCCATTTCGTCGTCATCGGCTATCAGATGACTTTCAATAACAGAATTACATGCTAACCGTGATATCTTTGACAGTGGAGCAACTGGCTATTCAGCAGCAGATTGAGCTGCTTCAGCAACAGCAGCAGCAGATTCAGGCTACCCATCAGCAATATGTCAACATGGGCATGATACCTCCGACACAACACCTGGCACCTGGCGGAGGATACAACCCACTACAACCACAAATGCAAAACATGTCACCACAAACGGGATTTCAGTTCCCTAACCAGATGCAACAACAGCCGCAGATCAACGCTCCAATGGGTGCACCCACCCAACCCTTATCACATCGCCGTAATCAATCGGCTCTTCCAAACATGGGTATGGGACCTCCACCTGCTCCCTCGTCTGGGGCATCAGGCTCAGCCTTTGGAGACTTTGGAGGACACAACCGTGAGAACAGTTCATCTAACCGCGGAGGTCGCGGGGGCGGACCTCCAGGCGGTGGACATCAGCGTCGTCACTCCTTAGCGCTGCCAGAAGCGAAGAAGGCTGCTGAACTGGCACAGCAGAAACGAACCACCTCTGGATTTCAATTCCCTATTCCTGGAGCTGGTGGTGCCACTCCTACAGAGTCGAGTGAGAGTCCAGCTGGTGAAGATAACAATGGACAAGGTCAGGCTACTGGAAACCATCTCACGGCAGGTCCATCTACTCGAGGAAGAGGGGGCGCTCATGGCAGGAGCCAGAGTATGGCAGTCGGTGCCAATGCAAGAGGCGGGGCTTCTATGCGTGGCGGAGGCTCTTTTCAATTCCCTGCTATGCAGACCGCACCGGACGCTGGTGCAGGCGGGCAACAACAAGGAAATGAGTTCCAGCAGAAGCGTGGAGGTGGCTCTGTGGGTCACAACCGCAATTCTTCTCGCAATTTCGAGGGCAACTGGAGAAACCAACCGCCACAAGGTCAGGCACCACAGGATCAGCAACAGCCTACTATGGGCAACTTCCAAGGCCAACAGCAACAACAAGGTGGATTCCAACCTGGACATCGCAATCGGGGATCTATGAACCAGTCCGTCAACAGCCTTGGCTCTTTCCAATATGGCCAACAACCACAGCTTGTTCAATTGCCCCAAGGCCAGATGGCTCTTGTCCAACAGCCAATGTACCCTGGACAGCAGTTGAATCCACTCCAGATCAGTCAACTCCAGGCTCTGCAAGCCGCTCAAATGAATGGCCAAGTTGGTCTCGCAGGCAGCCATCATGCCCCCCAACTTTCCGCGCAACAACAACAGCAACAACGCAAAACGCTCTTTACACCATATTTACCACAAGCTACTCTTCCCGCACTCCTTGGGGATGGCCAGCTTGTTTCTGGTATCCTTCGTGTTAACAAGAAGAACAGAAGTGATGCCTACGTTTCTACCCAGGACGGTCTCTTGGATGCAGATATTTTTATTTGCGGAAGCAAAGATAGAAATCGTGCACTCGAGGGCGATCTTGTAGCGGTCGAACTACTTGACGTGGATGAGGTATGGGGCCAGAAGCGAGAGAAAGAAGAGAAGAAGAAGCGCAAGGATATTACCGACACCAGAGGTGGTTCTTCCGGTGGTAATGCAGATACATCCCATCGCGATAACTCGACCAACGGCGATAGACAGACCCACAACGAAAATGGCACTATGCGCAGACGTGGTAGCCTGAGACAGCGACCCACACAAAAGAAGAATGATGATGTCGAGGTTGAGGGACAGAGTCTACTTTTAGTAGAGGAGGAGGAAGTTAATGATGAGCAAAAGCCACTCTACGCTGGCCACATTGTGGCTGTCGTTGAGCGTGTTGCTGGACAGATGTTCTCTGGAACTCTCGGATTGCTCCGTCCTAGCAGTCAAGCTACCAAGGAGAAGCAAGAGGCTGAGCGTCAAGCACGCGATGGTGGAAATGGACGTCAACATGAGCAACGTCAACAAGACAAACCAAAGATTGTCTGGTTTAAGCCTACCGACAAGCGTGTGCCACTGATTGCCATTCCAACTGAGCAAGCACCTCGCGACTTTGTCGAGAAGCACATGGACTATGCAGACCGTATATTCGTCGCATGTATCAAGAGATGGCCAATCACCTCTTTACATCCATTTGGTACGCTTGTGGAGCAGCTTGGAAAGATGGGTGAGCTCAAAGTTGAAACCGATGCTCTTCTCAGAGACAACAACTTTGCCTCTGACGAATTTTCTGATGCCGTGACTCGAAGTGTTGGTCTCGACGACTGGTCGCTCGCAAAGGAGGACGAGACAGCAATCAGCGCCCGTCGTGACTTCAGAGACGAGAAGACATTTACCATTGACCCCAATGGCGCAAAGGAGCTCGACGATGCTATTCATGTCAAGTCTGAAGGAGACGGAAAGATCGAGATTGGTATTCACATTGCCGATGTCGCACATTTCATCAAGGCAAACTCTTTGGTCGACCGCGAGGCGAAAAAACGATCCACAGCCGTGTTCCTGATGAACCGTGAATCTGCTATGCTCCCTCCTAAGATTGCCACCGAGATCTGCTCTTTGACTCCTGGAGAAGAGCGTCTGACTGTCAGTGTTGTTTTCAAAGTCAACGCTCATACTGGTGTTGTCTCCGATGAAGACACCTGGGTTGGAAAGTCCATAATCAAAAGTTCTGGTAAACTTTCCTACAAGGATGTCGACGCTGTCTTGACAGGTCATGTCGACATCAAGCTTCCAGGGGTGGAAGCAAAAGATATTCAAATACTTCATGTTAGTCATTCCAGTTCTTTCTAATTCATTACACAGTACTAACAAAATCAGGCCGTTGCGCAAAAGTTCCGAGAACAGCGTTTAGGAACTGATGGAGAGACAATTGCTCCTCTCAGACTCATCTACCAACTGGATGATGAGAATGTGCCTGTGGAGCACAACATATTCGATTCGACTCCTTCCCACGAGTTGATCGAGGAATTGATGCACAAAGCTAACGCTTATGTCGCTCAGAAGATTTACGAGGGGATGCCCGAAAAGGCTTTCCTCAGAAGACAAGGACCACCAAACCCGCGAAGACTTCAAACATTCTCAGACCGCATGAACAAGATTGGGTTTGAAATAGATACTACAAGCAGTGGATCTCTTCAGAACAGTCTGTTCAAAGTTGACGACACAAATATCCGAAAGGGTATGGAAACTCTTCTCGTCAAAACGATGCACAGAGCGAAATACTATATTGCTGGAAAGACCCCAACCCACCTCTATCCTCACTACGCGTTGAACCTACCTCTATACACTCATTTCACAAACCCATCGCGTCGTTATGCAGATCTCGTTGTCCATCGTCAACTCGAGGCTGTCCTCTCTGAAGGAAAGATTGAGTACAACGAAGATATTGAAACTCTTGTCAAGACGACCGAGTCCTGCAATACCAAGAAAGATTCCGCTCAAAACGCCCAAGAACAGAGTATTCACATTGAGTCCTGCAGAGAAATGGACAAGAAGCGAGAAGAAGCTGGCGGTGAACTTATCACTGAAGGTATTGTCATTGCCGTATACGATTCCGCTTTCGATGTTCTCATCCCTGAGTATGGCTTTGAAAAACGTGTTCATTGCGATCAACTGCCATTGAAGAAGGCAGAATTCCGTAAGACTGACCGAATTCTTGAGCTTTACTGGGAGAAGGGTGTCCCATCTTCTGCATATGTTCCAGAAGATGAGCGTCCACGACCAGGTCTTTCCCAACGCACTACCAATGCCGCAGCCGCTGCAAAGCAGGCTGCAGTCGCAGAGCGTGCTAAGAAAGAACATGAAGAGGCCCAGCGCAAACAAATGGAGACTGGAACAATGTCAACCGATGATGTTGAGGCTCTCTTTGAGGATGACGACGCTTCTGATGTCGCAGATAGTCTTGCGGGAGCTTCCCTGGCTGAGCGCCCTACCCAGAGCGTACCTCCATCTCCAACCAAGAACTCTCTTAGCGCTGGTGGAAACCTCCACCGAACTCGATCCGACTCCAAGGTACCATCTGCAGAGCCAGCTGAAGCTAAACTCAGCCCTAAGGAGCGATACTTGAAGCTCTTCACTCTCCGTGAGGAGAATGGAGAATACATTCAGGATGTGAAGGAGATGACCAGAGTACCTGTGATCTTGAAGACTGATCTCACCAAGAGTCCTCCGTATGTTCCAGACCTTTCATCTTTTGAGATTTTGCTAATCATTTTTAGTTGCCTCACAATCCGTTCGCTCAACCCATATGCTTTGTGAGAGTTCATATAGACATAATCCATGTAGCTTGAATTTGGTTCACGGATGCATTAATTTTTGCCGTGGTTCATACTGGTATTTCGTTTGACGGCCTCGTTATCTGAAATTCTTTTGACCATGACACGGAGTGGATTTCGGTGTTCTTACAGACCACAAGAGTACATGAGTAGAGGATAAGCATTTCTTTGTGAAATTGTCATTGAAATAGTCATTGGGAGGAAGATGGCAATGAGGAAAAGTTAATTGCTACTGAAAGATTTGAGATGTAAGAATGCTGGGTGGGTGATGGGATGCAGGAGAAGCAGTGGATTAGGGTACAATTGCAGACGGGAAAACATATGCAAGGATTCGCTCGACCGATGTACTTCTTTTGCCTTTAGCGTCTGCATCTACTAGTCTTTTGGCGCATATTACATATTTTGTCGCGGAATATTAGTATTATTGTGGTGGGACGTTGAGTCTTCAATGCATGGAAAAGGTGACATGGTGAGACTGACAGTGAAGATACAAGTAGGATGCTGAAAGTCGTGATGTGAAATGTTGCTTTTGAAAACTCGGGAAAGCGGCATATTATCAAACAGTCTCGTCTTCCCTTATATAACTTTCGATATTGAATCATCGATCTTATCACGCAGGAAACAGTGCATCATGTACCGGATCGGATGCATTGTTCATACGACTCGGAACCAGCACGGAACGGATGGGAGACTACTCGGTTTTCTGCAGTGGGGGTTCATGCGTATGCGAGATTTCGGGAGTGTTGGATTTGAAGAAGATTCGGAAGGGGGGATTTGCAGTAGGGGGTTTGGGGGTGAGGTGATTTTTCGGATGGTTGTGCTGGCTGGTTGTGGTTATGGTTATGGTTGTGGTTGTTGCAGGGGATGTTGAATTTGGGTGTTGTGGTGGTGTGGTGATGAGATGGAAGAAAGTCGTGGTAACCTTATATTAGAACACGAAAAGTATTATTTTACTATTTCAACCCCTCACGACCTCTTCATCTACAGAACTCACATCTTCCTTACCTCCTACCTATCTCATGAGCGCGAGAAGATAGAAAAAATCATCCGATATTCAATCCTCCCCCTGGAAAAATGCTCAGGCGAAAACACGGATGCCGCAGATCACTGTGCGTGTGCGCTTGGGTTCTGAGACGTGACTTCAAACGTGTGCGCGAAGCCCCTGGAGCGTGGGTGCAGGTGCGTATCCGAGGACCGGTTGTAGAGTACTTGGTGGAGATTGGGTTTGTTTGGAGTTTTTTCTTTGGTGATGGAAAGTCGTTTTGGTGAGGACGGTGGTGGTTTGGGGTGTTTGTGCGATGCGGTGGATGTGGTGTTGCGAGGTGGGTGTTTGGTTGGTGGGGTGGACGATGGGGATAGGTTGTTTTCTTGGGGCTCTAAAGACCGAGTGTGTGGTTTTGGTTACTTGGATAGATAGTATTGATAATATTGATAGTATAAGACAGATAGTTATACAGCTGGTAATTCATCGTTAGCCTACGGAATACTCAAGCGCTGAACAAAGCTATTCAACACCAAGTCTGTATCCCCAACCCAAAATAATTCTCACCACTCTCATAGGCTACAACCCACGAATCACCATTTCCATGCTGACGAATTTCCGGATGCGACAATAAACGTTTCGTTTCCTCCAATCGGGACTTTTCTCTTCCAGAAGTCTTCAAGCTCTGTGCGAGTTTAATGCAACAAACATGGTTTGGATTGGGTGGATTTGCTGTGGAAATGTTCTGGATCCGGGAGCGATTAGTGATGTTTAATCGGGGAGTTGTGGTGGGTAGATTGTGTTGTGAACGGATACTAGGGTTTGAGTGTCTGGAGATAGAGTCATGAGGATAGCGAAGAGAGAGAGACTGCAAGGCAAGGTAATTGAATGTCAAATATCCTTCAAACTCATGCTGTACTTGTAACTACTCGTATATAAACTTTGTAAACGCTGTAAACGTTATAGATGTATAGAATCTACAACTCGCTAGGGAACGACACATCAGATGTTTCTCACCTACCACTTAATTCTACCTTCACTCACTCGGTTCATTAAAAATACATCCTTCCACGCCTACATCTCTACCAAATCTACAAGTCTTCGGATAGTCAACCTTCCCGGCCAAGCATCTCATCACTCATTCAAAACCCTGGACCCCTTCCACCTAACGCCTCCCCCCTACCCCTCATCCCCCTGTCCACCTCCGTACCGACTCCCTTTGCATGCTCAAGCAAGCTCAACGCAGTCCGTCTGCCGGGCCCGCTTCCCTATCGGCCAAGCGTGGTCCCGCGAACTGCCAAGAGCTGAGATCCAATCGTGCAGAGCTCTTCCTTTAATAAGGTTGAGTCCCATTTGTTTTGAGCATCAACCACCACCACATTCTTTGCGTTGTATACCTTTCTTCACGATACCCTTAGAAGCGCTGGTTTGCTTTCACAACAGAAGTCGAATAGCTATCACTCTTTTACCTATTAGCTTCTTTTATTAATTACCACCTTTTAATACCCTTTCCCCCGAATCTCGAATACTTTGTTATTGTAATAGCTCAGGCTGGTCTTGTTGTCGATATACCTTTACATAACTCTCGATTTTTACTACAACGCAAATTATACTTCCATCTCATCATCATCCGACACTCTCGATAATCTCTCAAGATGCCTTCTTTCAGACAAATTTTGGCGGCTGCGGTGGTTGGATTGGTTACGGTTACGTCTGCGGCTCCGGCTCTGCCAAAGATCAGTGCGAGAACTTTGAAGGCATTCGATCTTCTCACCAAGAGACAAAACCCAGCGACTGGATTACCTGATGGATTGGGCGATGTTGATATTCTTCAATTGTATGTTCAGAAGCATCTACAGATAGGGTACTCTTGCTAACACATCCAGCGCTCTCACATTAGAAAACCTCGAGACTGCTTTCTACCAACAGGGATTCGCCAAGTTCCCAGATTCCGATTTTGCTGCTCTTGGTCTCAACGCGATGCAAATCACCGACTTGAAGTCAATTGGAGGAACAGAGGCAACCCACGTTACCACGCTCACCAGCGCGGTGGCAGGTACAGGAACTCAGCCAGTCGCTCCTTGCACGTACAAGTTTGGCTTCACTGATGCCGCTGGAATGGTTGCTACTGCTAGCATTTTGGAGAACGTTGGTGTATCTGCGTACGTATTCCATATCTCCCCTGACTACGATCAAATCTAACGAACCTCAGCTACCTCGGTGCCGCTCCATTAGTCCAGTCAAAAGCCATCCTCGGCGTCGCAGCCTCCATCGTAACCGTCGAGTCCCGCCATCAAACCTTCATCCGCACCGCCGCAAAAGCCGTCGCCATCCCCTCCGCCTTCGACACCCCCCTCGGAATCCGCAACGTCTTCACCCTCGCAGCCGGCTTCATCGAGTCCTGTCCCCAAGGCTCCAACCTCGCCATCACCCCCTTCCCAGCCCTCACCATGACCACGCCCGCCGCAGCAGGCGCACCAGCTCCAGCTGCCGGAAGCACCGTTGCACTCACATCTACCGCTACTGGTGCCACCTCCTGCGCGTTCTCCAACGGTGGACTCCCAGGTGGAACTGCTTTCACTCCTTTCGCCAACGGAGCTTGCACCGTGCCACCAAACCTCGCTGGTCTCGTGTACGTCAACCTCGCCAGCGCGTCGCCAGCCGATGGTGTTCTCACCGACGCCATCACCCTCGCCGGTCCAATGCTCATGCAAGTCTCATAAACAACCTCATAGCATTGCGTGTGTCTGGTTTGAAGGGGAAAAGGGGGGAAATAGTTAATGTCAAGGGTACGATTGTTTGATGACGATAAAAGAAAATCATGTATATGGTCTAGGTCTTTGCCTCGGGGAGGCGAGTTTTTTGATTAGAAGATTAGATGATGATATACTCATTTTGGTGTGTTCATAAACACGTTTTTTTTTTTAACAACTTTTTATTTTCTGAGAGCGTCGGGTTGTTTAGATAATTTACCTGCCATGTTTGCTGCTTGAAAAAGAGCAAGGTTTATTTGTTAATTGTGTAGATTATTATTTAAATGTTAAAGATATCATCACAATCTGCTGCTGCACCTCTCCTGTGCGAATCATAGCATTAACTCATAACCTCCATACCCAAGTACGCAAATGTCAAGATGACGCCTAAGGTCAAAGGACTTACGCCTCATAAGCACGTGGTGGTTCCTGCAACGTATCTCAGACCGGATCTCGTTTCGGATTTGGGGGGAGGATTAAGCTTATTTTCTTTCTTCAGGGGGTAGGGGCATCAGGCGAGTCACGTGCAGAGTGTTCCAGTACAAGTGCCAACCTATCTCTTTTAGTTCTATTCCTCAATTTAAATACTAATAAGTATTCATTTCTCTCTTTGCTTTCATTCTTTCCTTTCTCAGTTCCAATAATTTCAATTTCGATATTCAAGCACTCGATGCCTCGAGTATAATAGCAAACACCCCCTGCTCATAAAACGCTCGGGACGGTTTCTGCCCGTGTCTGAGCTCCAGCGAGCGAGGGTTCCGAAACAGGGATGCGGTGTTTCGTCTGAAAAAGTGATTTAAGGTTCGCTTGCTTGCGAGATGCGAGGGTGTTTGCCAAGACGTATTTTCGTGATGCGAGGTCGTACTTCGTACTTGGAATTGTTTGATGGAAGGAGGATGTGGATATGGAGGAGGGAGGTGGAGGAGGGAGGTAGTGAGTTTGTATGTGGAATAAGGTGAAAGATGTGGGAATTAAGTAGTTGTTACGATGTGATTTCAGGAAACTTTGGCTTGGAGATTTTGGCACGGAGAGGCGGAAAGAGATCTTGATGATCGAGTGTCGAAAATGGAAAGATCAGATGCCAAGTTCAACATCTGGCGCAATCTGGATACTCTCGTATCCGGCCATGGAAGTCTCGAACAACAGTTGTACAGTAGCTTAGACCATGATTCGTAGGTGTGAGAAACAATTCAAACAAATTGTGGATTGTAAGAAACGAAGAGTGGAACTGAGAAACAGGTAGTTGGATTTCAAGAAACAAAAGGTGGAGTCGAGAAAAAGAAGTTTGAGTTGAGTTGTTGAAACGAAACGGGGTTGGAAACGAGGAGAGGAGGTGGTTTGACTCGTGGGTGAGTGCGCGGGCGCTTGACTCTTCAGTTCAGTGTGAACGTACAACAGAATGAGCATTGAATTGTGCTATGCCACAGTGGACTCGGTGGAGGTCGTGTGTTTGATATCTTCGAGGGAGTTGTGACTTTGTATCTGGCTGTATTTCTCTTTTTGAGGATTGTGATTTTGGTGTTTTTCAAGGGATTTGAAGGTTGAGGATAGCGAGTAAAATTAAAACTGTGAAGGGGGAGACCGAGGCTAACTTGATTTTGGTGATTAGATATATTGGAAATATTCAGAGCAGGAAGAGAAAGAGTTTCTCGGCAGTAATCAGCATGCGTTAATGAGCGCTTTGTCGCTATTGTCAGAATATCTGTTGTTAGAAGTACTAATAGAGAATAGGCATATCTTTCCCTGGTAGTAGTGCTTTTCATGATATTCAAGTTCGATTCTACGAAGTTTCAATGAGATTGATAAATAGCAGGACATGAGTAGATATAAACCGAAATCAAAGAGACAATAACTCCAGTTATGTAAATAAGTATTTCTGACAACGGAGAACAACATCATCGTTCATTGGTTATTTTGAAATAGTTGATTACAGGTTGTGAAAAGAAAAGTTTAGAGCTTTCTAGCCTCTGATTGTTTTCACTAAATTGTAAACTTAGAGTTTCAATCATTCCGTGAAATGGTAGGTCCTTGCATTTGAATAAATGGAGTGAAAGACATTACTTTGGTCGTGGTAACAAAATATCTATAGTAAGAAGAAAAAGCCCACTCCATGTGAGCGAGTTAGTGGAGTTTAATTGGTTCTAATCCTGAGGCATGTTTGAAGAAAGGCACTACATTTTTCTGTCTCTATTGGAAGTATTAAGGAAACTTTAGATCTGATTCTCATACTGGCAAATTAAAGCGACGGACTTGTGTAATTCAACAGCAACAGAGTTGAAAGAGATTTAGTCGCTTCTTTCGATGAAAGAATGTGTGGTGAGCAAATATCAAGTTAATGGGTTATGAGAGAAGAAGTTCCGAGGATTTCAAGCTTTTTCTCTTCTGGACAAAGTCAAAGGCTTCTTGAGACTTAGATTCGCACAACTTGTTTATAGATAATGATCCGTACATGATTAGTGTTGGATAACTATTCAATGAATCGACAAATACATGGTAACATCTCTTCGGGCGTATGTTCATAAACTAATGGGTTGTTCACTTGCTTTGTGAAATCTCTGATGTGACCGCTCATTCCCTGAATGCTGCCTTATTGAGGCTAAATTATCGATTGCTTGCTTATGAATAACAGACTTCAATAAAGGCAATAGACTTTGATAACTCGTGTACAAGAAATGAAAGCCATAATGAAAGAGTTTATTAAAATCACGACATGACTTCAACGGATAGGTTCTTGACCAGGTTGACTTATGTACGAACATAGAAAATTTTATTTAAACCCATATGATGGCCAACTTTCCTGCATTCCTTCAAACTACCTTATCTGATGTGGTAACCTACTACTCCAATAGCTAGCTGTAGGTAAATTTCTTGCCTGCTAACAGTATAAATAATATTAAGAACTGATAGCCACATTAATAGTAAGATATACACAAACGAATCACAAACTCAAATTTCCTTCCTGGCTAAGTAAAAAGAACAGATTCATGTATTACCAGAAAGGGCAACAGCCTTGAAAAGGCATAGACGAAAATTGACGAGATGTTAAATAAATCAAAGCCAATGGATCAGCATAGAATATTCAAAGTTCACTTGCATGCAAATCAATAATATGTTGTGTGACATCCCCAGATAATGCAACAGAAACGCCATCGAACGATTGGGGAATGGGGATTGACAGTCACCGAGCTTCCACCACAATTTTCTCATGATCATCAAATAAGATGAAGTTGGAAGCAGGCACTGGTACTTTACAATGTCACATTATTTCTTTATGATACGCATTACACGGAGATAAAGACTGGGCGTTCCACAGAGCTGTATGTATTCGGCGTGATAACGGTCGGTTCGCAAGCGAGCCCATCTTTCGTGACCAGTACAACCCGAGATGTGATTCAAACAATTGCACCGATATTTCACATGATGACCCGAGCTTCTGCATACCACAAAAGTGTTTACCTCTCAACAATCAGGAACAACATTAATTCTTTTTCGAGCCGAAACGCTCGGTGATGCCATTCTGTGGTCTGCAGGATGGAGCAATATTTAGCCGGAAGGGTTGCAAGTATTACAAATTGAACTTCCACAGAAAAGCCGAAGTGAATTGATAGCAGACAACTTGAGATATATTACAATATGGATCCTTTACGTAGGCCAAGTTGTCTTGGAAAATCATCCTTCATCGTGCATGCAGTGAAACTCAGCACTACAGACGTTAGCAAAATTTCGTTGACTGTGATTCGCTAACTTGATTGGCCGTCTGACTATTCAACAATCCGCACAAGGTATTAGCCTTCAAAACCGAACCATGGATTGGCTCTTCGGTAGATCAGTCTCCTTCAATGCAAAAAACGACGTACCTGCATTAGACGGAAAAGTCATCCTAGTGACCGGATCAAACGCAGGACTAGGAAAGCAAGCAGTTCTCGAATACACCCATCACAACCCCAAAACAATATGGCTAGCAGCACGAAATCTTTCCACAGCAAAAGCTGCAATCGACGAAATCCAGAAGACCGTCCCTGAATCGTCAACAGAGATTAAAATCCTCGAACTCGATTTGACATCCTTCAAATCCATCAAATCAGCCGCCGAAACCGTAACGGCTCACTCCGATCGTCTCGACATCCTCATGCTTAATGCAGGTATCATGGCAGCACCTACCGGTGTCACAAAAGACGGCTACGAATTCCAATTCGGCACAAATCACATGGGTCACGCGTTACTCACGAAACTCCTGATCCCACTTCTCGATCGAACCGCCAAATTACCCAACGCAGATGTGCGTATCGTGTCACTAGCTTCTGCGGGCTACAGAATGGCTCCTAAAGCTCCATTTCCTTTCGATGATATGAAATCGAGCGCTGAGAATATCCCGCCTTGGGGTCGTTATGGAGTTTCGAAACTCGCTAATATTCTGTATGCGAGGCAGCTTGCGGTGCGTCATCCTCAGTTCACGGTGGTGGGTATTCATCCGGGGATTGTGAATACGAATTTGCTTGGGAATAGCACGGATTCGTCGTTTATTTGGAGGAATGTGATTAATTTGATGAGGCCGTTTGTGGCGACTGTTGAGACTGGTGTGAAGAATCAGATCTGGGGAAGTGTGGCGAAGAATGTTATTAGCGGGGAGTATTATGAACCGGTTGGGATTTCGGGGATGGCGGAGGAGCGTGCTAGGGATGATGAGACGGCGGAGAGACTTTGGGAGTGGACAGAGAAGGAGTTGGAAGGACATGGCTTTTGACTGTTTCGTTAGAGGTGTTGGTTGCGACTTCCCAGAAGTGCATGTCTTGAAGATCATCGAGAATGTGTGAGGTGTTTGTGACATGGATGTCGGGGTTGGCTCTCTTTATACAATTGTGCTATCCTATGTCTAGAACTCGGTACTGACTTGGAAGTTGGATGCTATCTCATTAGACTAAATTTCACCTCATACTTCACCCGACTCGGCGCATAACTTGGTTTTCTTGGTTGTGGAACGTCGCGCCTTCTTCCAGAGGCCACAATCGGTATTGACGAGAATTAACGTAATAGTTATGCGGGCCACCCTGAAGAACCAAATGCCGTCGCGCGGAACTTTCCACAGAAGAAGCTCCCAAGCGTACTGCATCTTCGTAGACCATAGGAGGTCCTGAAAAATATATCGAAGAACGGAGATTTAAATCAGCTTCCGCAAAGATTCGCAGTTCTAGAATTTTGACTCAAATGTTCTGCTCAAAGTAGTGAGTCGGCCTGTCCCTTCTTGTGTGTAGTTGTAGAATAGACAACTGACTTTTCCAAAAGATCCCAGGAGATAATCTTGCAATTACTACCAGAAAAACTGGAATATAAAAAGGCTTCCCAAGCGAACTACTCCCTCCACCTAATCCCCCACTCACCCTTCGCAAAACTAGACTCAACAACCTTCCCCTGCATAACAGCCTCACACAACCTCCTCTGCTCATCCTTTTCCCCTCTATTCTTAACCACAAACCCAAACGCAACACCCCTCCGCGCAGCACATCTCACCAATTCCCTTTGATCAGCTTTTTTCTGTCCTTCCCTTCGTTTCTGAAGCATATCTTCTCCCTCGACAATTCGTTCTTTCAAGCCCTTTTCGCCTCCAACGCCGCCATTGACTTCAGAAACCTCTTGAGATGGTCTGATGCGTGTTCCGCTGCGGATGGAGAGGCGGGCGATGACATCTGCGTCAAGCTGAGTGCCGCTTTCGGCGGCGGATGGGACGTGAGAGGTGATTGAGAGGCCGCCGTTGGCTTCTTTATCTTCTTCAGAACTTTCGTTTTCCAAGGAGTCACCTGTGAACTTGCTGTTCTTGGATTGAGTCTTCGTTAGAGATAAGATGCCTTCTTTTGACTCCGCAGCTTCGTCGTGCTGATCATCATCAGATTCATCGGACTCCATATCAACGCTCTTCCACACATCTCCATCTTTCACTCCTCTCCTCGCACGGTTCTTCCTCCTACCAAACCTCTTATCAGGATCGTCTCTATCTCCAAAAACAGCTTTCTCGACGTCGCCACAGTCGACTAACACTCTACTTTCACCTTTTTTCTTTTTCTTAGATGAATTTGGAGCGGCTTTTCCCTTCCCATTACTCGACTCAGTGCTTGGTTCTAATGATGGATCTTCAGCACCGGGAACAGGCAATCCATTCATCAGAGCGACGAAAGTATCTTCAATGCGCTGATTGAGGGCTTTGTCTTGGCGAGATGTTTTGCAGCGTGACGAGCAGTATTTAGCTGGTGTTGCAGCCGCACTACCCGTTTTGGTCTTACGATCACCTGTACGATGTTAGAAGACATACGAACAGAAAATCTAGTCGCAATGTACCGATAATTCTTCCACATCTGTGGCAGTAAGGCGTCTTGTCTCCACCTGGGAGTAGATAGTATGGTGGCGGGGTAGCTTGGGATTTTGAGGGACGAGACCAAGAGTCCATCCACGACATTTTGAAGGATTTAGGGGATATCTTCTGTTGTCTATTCTGTGAGGAGCCTAGTATGTATTACTTAGTATATTCTCATAAAGCGTGGTGTTGTTGTGAGTTGATCATCAAGCTCCAAGGTTAAGGAGGAACCAGTTACGTCATTGCGTATCTGATGAACATCAAACTTCATGACATGAGGGAGAAGACATTACCTCGGTGATAGTGCGATTGCAGTGATAGTTGTAACGAGTGATACGGTTTGACCCTTTTGATATGTTTTGATGTAAAATGGAGATATGTTTTTGAATTTGCTAGATTTGTGATTCGACTCATGAGCCGATGTCGCATATTACTTCCGCTACCACAGAGGCGAAGGGGTCTGATACTCTATACAGTCGAAATTGGAACAATTCATGTTTATAATGCCAAAAAGTATAGATAAATCTTGTGTTCGGGAAAAGCAACTCGGATCTACGTTGGAATGCACTAGACTGACGATCAAATAAGGAAAAGCGTAAACGCTAGCAACAGACTACTTCGTGTACATTATGGTCAAATTTTCTACCCTTTTCAGCGCCTTGCCTCATTCAACATTTATTGAAACCTTCGTGCTACATATGTTGCACTGCACTTTCGCTATATTGCAAAATGAAGTCACCCCTTCTCTCCCAAAAGCGGTCCCTACACCCACAGCAGCTGCACCAACACTCTTCATCCTCTCAAACCCAGCCTTATCTTTTACACCACCCACTCCAATGAGCTGTATCGCCTTCAAAGCCTGATAGCCCGAAGCATCAAGCATCGACCGTATAGTTTTGACATTTCCTAACGCTATCGGATGCAGCGCGTCTCCTGCCATCCCTCCAATCCCCATTCCATTTGCACTTCCAAGGCTCGAAATATTGTGTTCGCCGAGAACAAGACAGGATCCTAATGTGTTTGTTGCAGTGATGAAAGATAATGGATATCGTCCACCGTCATTTGCAACCTTTTCCAAAGCCTGGATCAATCCTTCGAATTGAGCTGAGTAAGTGTATGGTGGTGTCTTGATTCCAACGTGGAGGCCGATCCCACCTGCACTCGAATGAGATGAGGCAAATAGTGCTTTCGCCTCAGCGACTGCGGATAGATATGTGTATAGTGAAGCCGCATCATATGCTGGTGGCGGCTTTTCAGGTATATTAGGACATGACAGGTTAATTTCCATCATGACCATTAATCCTCCACTACCCTCACGAGACTTCACGCTCTCTTCCTCATTTTGCAGACACAAAAGATCGTAACAGCATTTTCCGATATCTTCAGGGCTTCCAGTCACGGAGACGACGAATGGCTTCAGCCTAGATTTCTTATCAGGAAATGGGTTATCGGAAGTCAGAAATCCGGAATCACGAAACGTTCGAAGTATATTCGTGTATTCCTCGAATGTTATGGGGGAATAGCCGAAAGTATTCAAGGAGCTTGTTTCCCCATCTTTGACCTCTCCTCGACCTTCTTGCTCCGAAAGCTTGATCTGTGCAGTCGAGTGGCCAGTAACGGTGGAGAAAAATGTGTATTGGTGATGATCACGATTCTGCTTGAATCCGGATAGCAGAGACGTTCTGATCGTTACTGCTCCTGTATGCGGTGACCCGTAAAGTGTGGAGAGATCCGCGGTGTCGGTTGCCCATGGGGTTGCAGAATTGAGCAGGGGAGGTGAGATCTTGAAGGGTATGTACTGTAGTGGACCTCTTGATGGGTATGGAGAGGTCGTAGGCGTACTATCATTTTTCGACATTTTGGTATACAAAACATTAATTTCATTTGGCATGGAAGAGTAGGCAGCGCGCTACAAGAGATAAGGGGGTCAAACACGTGATCGTCGTTCGCGGGGTAAAGTTGCAAAAGTCGAAACCTGTTTTATCTGCCACGAACCATCATACAACGATATTCAAGGAGCGTATATAGTTCTGGCCAACCAGAGTTATTTCCATTCTGATTCTGGTAAAGACAAGAGTCTTGTAGAACTTACTTGGATTTGGTTTCAAAAACACCAATGATTGGTCTGGCAAAAAGGTTTGTGTGGTGATGAGCGGCGTTGTAAAAAGAGAGAAACTGCTCTTGTGGATAAGTGTGCCAGATTGACAGTCGTCATTTTTCTGAAAAGATTGAACATCTCACAGATCTTCAGGAATATTTGCTGTCCGTATGCAAGACATTCCGAGCCTCAAAACAAAAATCGAACAAACACCAAATTCTAATTCAAACCCCAGTAGCTGCTAGTTACGAGCTCACTCCTAACTGCCGTTCAAAATCCTAACACCCGAAATCACGAATTATATAGCTCCCTGAAAGCGCTTGGTTGTTCCAACAAAACTTGCGGCGAGTCAAACTCAACCAATTGCCCCTCACTCAACACCGCAACCTTATCAAAGTCAAAAATCGTATCCAATCGATGAGCAATCGCAATGATAGTCGATCCAGCAAATTCCTCTCGGATAACGCGTTGCATCAATATATCGGTGGTAATGTCAACACTGCTAGACACCTCATCTAGAACCACGATGCTACTCTTCCGTAAAATAGCTCGCGCAAGGCAAAAAAGCTGCCGCTGACCGTGTGAAAAGAACTCGGCGTGGAGCTCGGTGTCTAGGCCGCCTTTGGATTCGACAATGTCCCATAATTGAACTTTTTGCAGCGCTTGACTGATTTCCTCATCACTGTGGAGGCTTTCTGGTGACGCGTTGAGTCGGATGCTGCCTTTCATGAAGAAGGGGTCCTGTGGAATGGCGTTAAGGCGGGACCGAACAGCTTGTCGTGGGATCTTGGTGATGTCCACACCATCGATGAGAATGGAGCTTTCAGGTGCAATCTCGAGCATACGGAAGAGTGTCATAATTAAAGAGCTTTTGCCACTACCGCTACGACCACATATGCCGATTTTCTCACCAGGTTGGATCGTCATATTGATGTGCTGAAGAATCGGCTTCCCAAACTGCGTGAAAGATGCCGAGAGATCTTTGAGTTCAACTTTTCCGCTTGGGGGCCAATCTCCAGCAACAAGTTGTGTTTCACAAGGAAGATTCTCGTTAGGAGTGATCTCTTCGAAGGTCTTTAGCCGCCCGATAGCGCCAATAGAAGTCTCCAGTGCCGTCCATTGTCTGACATTCAAGACCAAAGATTCTCCGAAACCTATCACATTCAGCAAAGCAAGGCCGACATGTCCGGGATCGATCGAATCCTGAAGCTTGACGACGAGGACCATCAAAATGACTGCGAGGCCCGAGACCATGAGGTCAAGAACAAGGCCAAGCCAGCGTTGAATACACCATAGGAGGTAATATGGCTTTTGAGAGTTGTCGAGTAAGACAAGATTCTGCTGTATGAAGTCCTCTCGCCATCCAAAAGCGCGGATGGTGACGAGACCAGAAAGCGATTCGATGAAGTGGGAGTATAATGGAGATTTGGCCTCGAGATCTAAGATCCGGACTTGACGCGAGGTCCTCAGATAAAACTTTTGAATCACTGATTTTTACATGTCAGCTGCGGATTGATTGATCTGGGAGCTAGTACTCACCCCAAACTACAAAAATAACTGGAGGCATTGTGAGCGTGAAGTAGCCCGCTGATCTAGATACCAAAATAGTCAGCTTTTGAGAATTTATGAGTCTTTCGATAGCAGAGGGAGTGAAAGTAGTGACCGTACTGGCTTCAGGGAGCAGTACTCGGTATACTTACAGGCACATTAGGATGGCGCTCATGACTGTCTGCGCCATTGACGTTACAAAATCTATCAACGCAAAGGGAAGTTCGGAATCCACTATAGTCATGTCCTGGCTGAATCTAATCAAAGCTATTAGTAATTCTCTTGCATAGGAAGTCATTACTTACCGATTTGTCGTTGTTCCTGTATCCGTAGACGTGAAGAAGTGCAAAGGCGCTGACATAACAGCTCGCAAAAGTCTGGCATGAAGTGTCTCCGCGCTAGTCGGTACAACAGAAAGAAAGAAATGATAGCAACCACACGTAAAAAGTATGGTTGCCGATGCAGATAGCAGGCCGTAAACTCCCACATAGAAATTGTTGACCTCATTTCCATGTTCCGCGACTGAGCCAGTCCAATAAGTAAGCAGCAGCTCAGTCGATTTCGTCAGAACTATAGATGATATGGCAAGACCGAAGGATAAGCAGCTTCTCGACCACCCTATGGATGCGAAATAATACTTGTAAGTTGATAGCTCCCCGTTTAGCGGCACCGAGTCATCGTTAGAAGCGGCAGCGGTTGCTGTGATATCATTTCGTGGCTCAGCGGTTAACTCCTCCAAATCCAGTGCCTCAGTTCCATTATCGAATTTGTGGTTGACTGCAAGACTTTGCACATAGCCACCAGCTTTTATCAACTCCTCAAAATTACCCTGCTCAGAGATGTGTCCAGAAGAATCTAGTGCAATGATGTGGTCTGCATATGGCGCTCGATGGATAGCATGGGTGACAAGAACTACTGTCGCATTCAAGTATTTCAACAGCCCTTGCTTGCCCAAGATCTTCACAAAAACAGTCTCTTCTGTCTCGGCATCAAGTCCAGAAAATGCGTCGTCGATTATTATTAGCTCTTTCTTCGCATAAATAGCGCGTGCAAGCGTCAGCCGCTGTTTTTGACCGCCACTTAACGAAATCCCTTGACTTCCAACGATGGTGTCTAGTATCACGTCAATTAGAGGAAGAGGGGGGACAAGAAGGGTAGCTAGACTGACCATCTGTGTTGGGCATGTTTGCTATGTCTTGATCTAGAGCACATGCTCGAATAACCTCACTGTACCAAGGCTCGTCAAAAATGGACTGGCCTAAGATATTTCGCCGAATGGTGATATTTTGAACCCATGGTGTTTGGTCTACAAAGGCGACCTCAGGACAGTTGCTGTACACAAAGCCTTTCGAAGACGGAGTCTCACTCATCAGGCCTTTTAGCAGAGTGCTCTTGCCACACCCAACCGGGCCAACGATAAATGTGATATCGCCACGGCGGATAGAAAAGCTGACATCATGGACGACGGGGGCGGCTTCATAACTCCATGAAAAGCTGGCATTTCGAACATCCATGACTGTGGAGTTGCTTCCGTCTTCCGAACCACGGTTCCTCAGCTCAATACCTCCGCCACCCTGAAATCCGAGATGTTCAGGGGTAGCGTCAGTCACATCTAAATCCGGTCGAGGGTTCAAGGGCAGAATGTGGCGTTGAAGTGAATCTGTCTCCAGAAACGACTGGATACGATTGAAGCTGGACAGAGCGGAGTTGAGAGTGGGCACAGCCCTCAATAGAAGGGTGATAGGGTTTGCTAGTAAAGCCAAAAGCGAGAGTGTTGTGTACGCCTGAGCAGTAGTGAGTTGTTCTCCGGTTGATCTTGCCACCAGGACGAACACGACAAAAGTCACCATAGGTGCGGTGATCGTCATGGAATTGGCTTCAAAGATTGTTGTTAGTCGGCACAGAGACGGAAATATATTCAAGGACGTACTGAAAAACTCGCTTGCAACAAGCAGGCGTCTGAAGAGACCTGCCAGTTGTAATTCCTTGATACGAAGTCCTTGAAGGAGCTCGGTGAGCTTATCGACGAACCCAAGCATTTTGGTGGCCTAGTATTGTATTTAGTTCCGCTCTAGAGCCAGGAAAAGTGTTGGCTTGCCTTCATAGACCCTAGCACTGAGGTAGTGACATCAATACGAGTCTGGATGCCCTCGTTCCAGATCTTTTGAGCTCCACCAAAAAAGCGGGAGAGCCAAAAAATGCAAAGCGTTGACACACAAGCTACGACCATTGGAGCAAGGAAGACTACTCCCAGCTGTCTTTGAAGTAGCCAAGCTGCGATTGCTAGCTCGATGGGTACCGCCCAAATCTCGTGTATGTTTTGAAACGCCTGGCATATGACTTCTGTATCATGTTAGCAATTGTCCACTAATCGATAATAAACACTACAACCAGCATCATTAGACATCAAGGTAACGGCAGCCGACTCGTCTAAAGCAATGACGCTCAAGTTCACGGTCTTTGTATATATTATCCCTACAAGGCTCCCGCGAATGCTCGTGATGAATCTGTAGGTCATATGGTAATAAGAACCAGTAGCAACAGCTTTACCTGCTAAAACGATACCGAATGCGGCAGTAAGTCCCCAGCCAATGTTATTAGAATCCGTGGAGTTTACAAAGTTCACGGTTCTCGAAAGTATGAAAGGCTGTGCGAATCTGAAGCCGATAATACATAGGCGGGGGAAGACACATAATGCCATGTGATAGCGTGTAGCTTTTAATGTAGACCAGAAAAGCGCATTTGATCGGATTTGGTTGCCAATATCCCATGAAACCTGGGCCCGCTTGCTGAGTACCTTCGAACTCACCTCGTTGCTCATCGCAAAGAGATCACTAAGTTTGATTACTTGCCTGAACCCAAGTCTCATTATTCCGTTCAACCACCAAAAGAAGCTGCGGCTATAGATTCCGCTAGTAGCTTCAGGCGAGCTATGTTGATCCTGGAATAACAAGATGTCGCGCTTCTCAATGGATTCAATCACAGCAATGCCGAATTTGACAACCGTGGTTGCAGTAAACACCGCAGTGAGCGGCTTGGGAGCGCTTTGGATCCATAGTGTTCGCGTACGAGCTAGATCGAATAGGAGAGTGAAGAAGAGGTATGAGTTGATAATAGTGGAGGGCGTTAGCGTCCGTACATGCTCTGCGTGGGACAGAAAACATAAGCCTAGAGCATCGGTGAAGACAAGTGAGGCAGCAACTAGTGTGGTTAAGTCTCTAATTTTCAAATTCACAGCGTATAGTACGAGGACGGCAGCCTGAAAGGCTGTGAATATCGCGAGGAAGACCTGAACGGATTAATACAGGCACTGGATTTCGGCGTTCTTGCGCACCAATTTGTTGCTATGTAACAGGCTCCTAGACACTTTCTTGGATCGGTTTTGCAATGAGCGCAGTCGAAACGGTAGGACGAGAAATAGGATCGCTGAAGGTACAATAGAAAAGAAGTAATTTTCAAAAAGCGACGTAAAGTCAAATTGGTCTGGCATCGCGGGACCAAAGACATGCTGACCATATATGAAATCAGTAGTATTAGAAGCCATGACGAGGGACAGAAGTGTGATTTGTCCACTGGTGAGATGTTTTAAAAGCGGCTGTTGTGCTCTCAATAAATAGCGACGCAGGCAAAGTTGCGACCTCGAGACAATGTTGCGCAACCAACAGAACCAACCATGCACGAGTAGTAAGCGATCCAGCACTTCCATCGTTTATTCTCCTCCATGCAGCCTTTTATTTTTCATATGTTTTGGTCTTGTGTTTACCTATACATTTAACTTGCTCCATCATGCTAAAGACAAGTGCTGATTACAAACTTGTATTTTCTGCAGTGCCTCTATGATTGGTCGAGTCATTTCGAGTCATTTCGACTCATTTCGACTCATTTCACTAAGAGCCTTTGCTTTCGTTGAGTTTTAGCTCGCAGGATGCGCAAACGGATAAAGCAAACTAAATGAAACTTTGTTCAACAGTTCAATCATTTTCTCTTCTGCTGATATTCCCAGCAACCAAGATAAACAAATGTGGTGCTTTCGAGTCTCTCGCTTGTCACTATGAAGCAAAGTGAAGCTAACAAATGACTTTGGCTCAGAATCATACTTCTGCAAGCAAAAACCACCAAGCTGACAGAGATAATGAGAAGATAGGAGCAAAGTCAAGTGGAAATGCTCTTTCCTTAACTAATAGCTATGAGTGGACCTTTGTCTGATAAGAATATATGTCAGCGACGAGGAAAAGAATGGGAGAAGACGACGTTGGAAAAGCTTCGTATGCTTTAGACATTGTGCTAAGCTCACAGACTTATCATCTTTACATTTTCTGCAAGTTGTATAGGAGGCCTCTGCATGGGAACAATCGAGGTAACAGAATCGAGTGATTTACTTACTGAAACAAGAAGAGCTTAATGACAACTCTGAATGGCAGATCGAAATCATACTACTTCAAACCAAGTCATGTGCCATCCAACCCATTATATCCCATATGCATATGCATATCCTCCGGATAAAGTTCAACAACAAAACCATCTCACCCCACAAGATCTCTCGTCCAACCTAACACCAAAACACCACCCTCACAATGTCCAGTCCCCTAACAATAACCCCCCTCTACCCGACCTTCGGCGCCCAAATCTCAGGCGTCGACTTCTCACAACCCATCCCCGATTCAACATTCGGCCAAATCCTCACCGCATGCCATAAGGTCCTCTCCCTCCCCTCATGTGGGGCCTTCTAACAGCTAAAAGTACGGCGTCTGCGTATTTCGCAACACTGGTTTGAATGATAAAGAACACGTCGAATTCTCGCGACGATTCGGCGAGTTAGACGATATAAGACCGTACCTGCATCCAGGTCGAAAACTGCGGTATGACTTCGTGGAGTTGTTCGACGCGGGGAATGTAGGTGATGACGGAATGCTTTTGGGGAGAGAGGATGCGCGGTGGTGGTATAACAAGGTGCGTAACACATCTCGTCGAAGTCTGGGTTGGAATGGTGTTAAAAATATAGGGCAACGCGCTTTTCCATGTCGATTCGTCGTTTAACCCACGACGAGCTTCGTTTTCATTGCTTCGTGGTGTGGTTTTACCGCCTGCGCACACGGGGGGGAATACGGATTTCGCGGATACAAGGACGGCGTTTGAAGAGCTTCCGGATGAGGTGAAGGAGGAGTTGATTAGGAATGATTATGTGGTTGCGCATTCGATTCATCATTCCCGTAAAGTGGCGGCGCCGGAGTATTTTAAAGACGTCGACCCAACGATGTTTGATATGAAGAAGCATAAATTGGTGCAGTTACATGAGCCTAGTAATAGGATGAATCTGTATATTGCAGCGCATGGCCATCATATTGAAGGGATGCCGAAGGAACAAAGTGATGAGCTGTTGAAGACGTTGATGGTCCATGCGACACAGGAGAAGTATACTTTTAGTGTGAAGTGGGAGAATGAGGGGGATTTGATTGTGTGGGATAATACGTGTGTTATGCATCGGAGTGGGAGGTTTGAGGGGGGATATGTGAGGGATATGCGGCGCACAACGGTGCATGATGCGAGTAGTACTGCTTGGGGGTTGAATCGAGAGGGGGAGAAGAAGTTTGGGTTTAACGTGGCGAATATGAGTTCGAAAGGGGATGTTGTAGAACATCAGACTGTCCAGGCCATCTGAGTAATCTTACATTCTCTACACTAGGAGACATCCAACAGAGTTCGGAAAGTCTCGGTAAACTCAGATAATCAGAACAACTTTTGAGAATGTATCAAATAGAAGAACGAACATCGTGCTTCAACTATCGGTTTCTTCGTCCTCTGGAAGTAGCGTAAAACTAACCACTGTTTCTGGTGCAACCCAGCTGTATTTCGAAGACCTATTAGCAGGTTTCTCCCCCGTCTGCTCAATAGACATTTCAAAACTATATACGCTTCCATTTCTTGTGAGAAACATGTATTCCATCCCGCCACCGTTATAACTTGGCATCGGAGTGAGGAGATATGGTAAGTAGTAACTATCATCGATTTCGCTACTAAGACGTAAAGGGTTCGGAAAGAGAAGATTGACCACTTTGATGGAACCGTCGGCTAGAAGATTGAGAACATCTCTCAATACGTTTATGCATTGCTCGAGGTGATTGCTGAGCGGCATAACTAATCCGAATTCGCGAAGGTTGGGCAGATGCGTTTGTATCCAGGTGCTGAAAAGGGGTCGAGTAGTGTTTAATTCATCAGACGTCCCCCAGTGCGCCATCCATTCCGATTCCAAGGTATACGGTTCGAAGATGAAATTCCGTATACGAGAGAGTATCGGTGGACTCAGTGAGTATGCCAGTCTTCGATCTTCTGGATCCTCCTCATACGCAACTTGAGCATGCTCGCACAGAGACAAGAATTCAGGAGACACGGGCTCAACGATCTCTCCACCTCGCATCGACGCGTTCAGCATTGTGGTGAATTTCTGTCGACGCCTCGCAAACTCAATAGAGACTTGTGTGTTCACGAGGAGGAAAGCGTCGATTAAACACCAACTCCTGCACCGTACCCGAGGACGGTCATATTCGCTCTGAGGTATTATGGCATACACCATGATATTACATTGTTGTTTGAGCACGTGGTCCTATATCTTATTGCGAAGCTCAATAGAGAGATCAAGAAACTTCCATTGACTAGATGTAAAGATTGCCTGGATATCCATCGTGAATTTGGTTGTGAAGTGATTCCTGATGGATCAACTACGTGTTAGCCGACACTTGACGTTCAATCGTTGGGGTCACATAACTTGAATCACTGTGGTAGCTTTATATTTTTCATCGTCTGTGTGGTTGTAAGTAATTTGATAATCATGCCAGCTTAAGGTTGAAAAGCCTCTGTGCTGTGGTTTTGAAAACACGAATCGTGTTTGTTCGACAGTGAATGAAGTAGAGCTCGGCCTATGACCCACCGATGTTCCATCCGAATCTGGTATTTAATCCTTGTAGAATTTACTCCATGGAACTTATCAAGGCTTATGAAGTAAAAGGATGGTCACACGGAACTTGCTAAATCATACTCCTTGCTTCAGCCAGTATTTAACGCCATTACGGCTGAGTTCAGCCCTCAACCACAACTTCGCCTCCACCACTCTCCCTTCAACACACTTCGTAATCGTGCAAACATATATAATTACCCCATTGCTCCCCACCACTCAATACTTCTCATCTCTCATAGTTTCAACTGCCTTCCTTGAATTCCTCCTCTTTAAACTCTCAAGCGACTCACATCACAATGCACGACTTCGACTTTCGATGGCGCGGCCCCTCATCTATCATTCTTTGGATATGCCAATGCGTGGTCATCGCTATATATTTTTGCATCACGGGATTTGAGATTGTGTTTTGTGGGAGGTGGAGAGACTTTTGGCCGTTTCGGAGGGAGGTTGTTGTTAGATCTGAGGGGGGGTTGAGGAGGAGGGGGGGAGGAAGGAGGAAAGACGGTAGTGTGAACGGTGTATGAAAGCTATCGAACGGCCTACGATGCTTCAAGAGAATTCATGATGCAGTGGCATTCTCAAACAAAGTCGATACTGCATCGACCTACAGTAAGCTCCGAACTTCAGGAAGAGTCTTTGAGACTTGGACGCACCAACGGCCAATTTTTTGCGCCGAGAACGGCTTCAAACACTATGTTAGTTATTTTTGACAAACTAATATACCTTTGTAGCATGCTAATCTATTCATTAAGCGAACAACATGGCGCGATTTCGACACAGCCATTTGATGCACCTTCCCCCGGAGAGCGGCCAACAATCAGCCCAGTGGTGTCGAAGAACTTGTCTGGTTATAATTCATACACACCAACGATGCTGTAAGTATTCTGAGGGAACACTTTTGAAAAGGCGCGAAGACGTCCGAAATCCGCGTTCGTTCAATTCGTATCTCTGTAGTATGTCCATACCTAGCAAGCCCATGTGATCATTACATCAAGCACTTTTCTTTCGTCAAATATCCCCAGCTTACAAGCATCCTCAAACCCTACTATCCCTCATCTTTTTTGTTTCTTAGCCTTAGTTGGCTTCTCCTCTTCCTCTTCCTCCTCCTCGTCCTCCTCCTCCTCATCATCCTCAGCCTCGCGCTTCGTACCAAGTCCCGACCCCTCCAGCATAGCAACAAGTTCATCCTCATCAATAACCTTAATACCCAGCTCCTCGATCTTTTCCAACTTTGTCGGTCCAGCATCATTCCCTACAACCACAAAATCCGTCTTCTTCGACAAGCTCTTCAACAACTTCGCACCATACGCCTGGACCAAAGCCTCTGCATTTTTACGACCAAGGGTCGGCGGGACACCAGTAACAACGACATTCTTTCCATCGAGCGTGCTTCCCGAGCCTGCCAACAGCGCCTTGATGTTTTCAGGGAGGTTGGAATCTGCGGGTTTCGCTGGTTTCTTGGAGTTCTCGGCGCGTTGCTCAGCAGCAGGTTTTGTCTTCTTCGCGGCGGTATTGGCTTTTGGCGCATCTGTTTCTTCGGTCTTGACTGCCTTTGCCTTGGACTTTGGAGCTGCTTTCTTCTCTTCGACTGGTGCAGCTTCGACGGTTCCTCCTACCAGCTCCTGTACTTCTACTTTGACGGAGGATTTTCCTTCTTCCTTGGCCTCGCTCACGCGATTGTTGGCGGACGCGACAGAGGCGTGAACGGAATCAATACCAGTGGAATCTGTAACGATGTAGATCGAAGAGGATGCCGCGGCGGCCTTGGTAGCCTTCTTGGGAGGCATGATGAAGCGTGGGGATGAATTGGCGATAGATCGAATACGGATTGGATTTGTTGTTTACTTTTCAATGCTTGAAGACGCACTCTCACCTTTTATGTCACAATGACAGACGGAGGGAAGCGCTGGTCGAAACATAAACATAGCAAACGCTGTGCCACACCGTGGTTGCTGTTTAGGCAGAAACCCAGGCGACACAGGCAGCAAAGCGCACTAGAAACGCGAATCTCTCGCGCCAGCACATGATTTCCTTTCTTCGTCACAAAAGCTGAGGAGAAGTTCTCCCGCCACCCAGTTTCAGCCTGCATAGCGATTTTTTTTGTGTGAGAACCATTGCGGCCTAGGCTTCCATAGTCTAGTTGTTCTATAATTGGGATTTGGCAAGGCAAACCCACCTCGCGGCCGCATTTTTCAATCTTCAAGCACCTAACTCTCTCTATTTCTAAATTTGCGGCTTTTCGAGACTTGGCTCATGACCGCAGAATGCCTCATGTAAGCTCACTATTTCTGGATTAAGGATAAGCTGCAATTGGCCTCCAAGACTGCGCTGGTCGAGGAATTAATACCACTACCACACAATCCTGGTCCAGCATAAAAGGTTGCCATGAAAGGACTCATAAAGGTAAGTAGACAATGATTTAGTCTTCATTTCAGTTCTATCGAGTTGCTTAATAGAGAATTCAAATCCAAACTCCACCTTTCCATGCGGGTTGAGGTCGGCGTCAATGCAGTTCTACTCAAGTCTGTCTTGTTCTTGGGAGTTGAGCGCCATCAAACGCATGTAGGTAGGTATACAGTATACTTCGATATCCCAGATGATCAAGATCGAGGTCCTGCTATTTGATCCAGCCTAGCAGACGTGCCAGACTTTGCTATCACATAATTCTATTCGATTAACCATAGTTTTGGTAAATATCTGGCACGACGTATTGGAATTGAACATTGGCAAGAAAACAGCGTAACTGCTCGTGAGTCAATATCTCTGAGCCATACTGGGAAGCTCGTATACTGATGGTTAGTGAAAATGGGTACAGATTTTAGATCCGTCGAAGAATCGAAGCTGTCACAATTATCTCCTTGGGGAAGAGACAAAGGCCACGTTGATGTCACCAATTAGTGACGCCCTTGCTCAAAGGCCCGGATGGTTACGGGTTCGAGTTTCAATCGTCCGTTTGCGAGAGCTCTTCCTTGGGTCATGAAAGTGAAAGATGTGATATATTGTCAGTTTGATTGCTGACAACGATCAAAATATTGAGTATTCCATATCCTCAAAATTTGCCGCCTCAAGTTATTCTACATGGGATGAAGAAATGCTCAATCACGCAATTACGCAGTTCAAGTTAAGTGGGTGTAGGTAAGTTTCCGTCTCTCTGCTTACCTTTTTGCCAGACAGGTACAGAAGCACACCGATTCAGAAGTTCAGCAATTGCTGCTACTGGTAGCTCCGAATAGGAGGGTGATGACAAGATTCAAGCTTTCGAGATACTTTACAGATTCAGTTAATACGAATATTGATAACACCACTGTCAAGTATCAGAGCAACCCAATCAATGTGTTTTGCAACGACCATCTTACACTGATTCCAGCTTGATAAACTCGTCTTCATGTTTTCCACGAATGATCACCATACAAATGTCTAATCATGCGAGAGATTGGCCAAAGATATTCAAGTCGACCTCCAAAACTGATATGCGTGGCAAATCCGTATTCAGTAGCAAATCAGACCAAGCCAAGCACAATATCTTCCCAATCTATCCAGCCTTACCGGATAAATTCCACTTCCAGGTTGTCGTATAGATTGCTGCGCCGCACTCCCTCTCCAAAATGCTGGTACCCCGCCCTCTCCCAACTTTGATATCTAGCAAGATCTCTATTCCCCAGCATTTTGCAAGTCGAGCAGCACAACATGTCGCCGCGATCTCTCAAGTCCTGGTTTGACCCCATCGTCAAAACAGACGAATCAGAACCAGAAGCTCCATGGGTAGAAGTGGATCCTCGAGGAAATTCACATGTACGCCGATGGAAACGACCACGGACGACTGATCATTGGAATGGCAAATACGCGACCGTGTATGGAAAGTTCTTTCTAACCTTCCTACCGCTCATCGTGCTCCCTCTTATCGCTGGGTTCTACCACCCACTTCAAAGGAATGAGCATACTTGTCACCGAGACGCCTACGGTAGGCAAAGATGTAAATTGACTGGATATTACTTCACGTTAGTATTTCACGTTTCAGTTATATAAAGGAAGTGCAGGCACACTGACGATGTCGATGAAATAGTTTCGATCATGTTGTTATGATAACCTCTGCTACTTACTTCTTCCTGGCCATCATCCTCGAATCAGTGCTAATGGCCAAAAATCGCCTGCATCCTTGGATGTATATTACTATTTACTCCATTGGCACAATGTTCCCTCCCGCACTCTTCCCCGCCTCAAACGTCGCTTTTATACGGACCCTAACTTGGACGTATGCTATTACTGAGTGGGTGATTTGCGCTTCGTGCATTCTACATGGCATTTGCGTTGCTAGGATTTTGGTCAAGGAGAAGAGAAGTGCTAGACAGGTTGAGCAGGATGCAATTTATGCGGAGAGTCTTTATCAGGATGATGAGAGGGAGGCTAGGGAGGGAGAGTTGGTGCTTATTGATGAGGAAACTGCCTTTGAAGATCAGTTCTCTGATGACGAGCGATCTCGGGTGATCTCACCAATAGTCAAGGATATGGTTTCAAGTGAGGAAACTGGTGATGTGGTAGAAGATGCTGCGAGCAAGGTGCAGGATGAGACTTCATCCAATAATTAGCATTTGATTCGAGATCTGGGAAGGGTCTTAGCGACACCGGACACTTACCTTGACAGCAACTCTATACGGTCATTTTTAACCTCCATCTTGGAATTGTATCATGATCGGAAGTTGAATCAAGACCTTTTAGAAGTAGTTGGACCATTTCCTTCGCCAAGCTTCTGACAACATGGAGTACGTTCCATCGCTCGCTCAACAACGAGTCCGTCAGACCATTCACCCACTCTAGTTGCGAAATCAGATTAACATTTCCAATCAGTGCCCTTGAATAATTCTCCTCTCCCAAAATCACGACATGATGTTCTATACTCCCCTTGTACATGAATATGTATTGCTTCCGCTAGCAAATGTATTGCTTCCCCAAAAGGCAAGCTTACGAAGCCAGCTTACCAACCCAACACCTCGAAGAGCGAATCTCGGGCCGGTGGATCGAGATTGCAAAGAGTGAGATGTGATGAGAATTCTGATTCGCTAGTCATACACTCTTTCTCACAAAGATGACTCCTCTCCGGCATATGATAACCTGGGGAAGAGAGGTCCCCAGAATGAATGCCGGTCGTGAGGTTGATAGGGAGGAAATTTAGCGAATAGAACCAACATGTAAGCGAGTATAAGTAGACGACGATGTACCGTCATTGAATATCTCACTCCATTCCAAGCCGAACTGACAAGCAGTAGAGCAGAACTCATCATGGCAACACAAGTAATCGAAGAAATTGCCATGAGCAATATACAGACCGACGACAACAACTCCAAACCCGATCCAGAAGCAGTATCAAATCTCACAAAAACAAACTCAACTCAGAACGCTTTACCAAGCGATTCCCCCACAGTCATACACCAATACGTCCACGGCACCCGACTAACCCTCCTCACCATCTCCCTCATGCTAGGCGTCTTCATCATAGCCCTCGACACCACAATCATCGGTTCGTTCCCCATACACACCCAATTCCCCTCCTCGCTAACACCCATCCAGCCACCGCCGTCCCCTCCATAACCGCGCACTTCGGCTCCATCGCCGACATAGGCTGGTACTCCTCCGCCTACCTCCTCCCGCTCATGGCCCTCCAACCCACATTCGGGAAGCTCTACTCGCTCTTCCCCATCAAAGCCATCTTCCTCATCGGGCTGATCACCTTCGAGATCGGCTCCACGATCTGCGCCATCGCGCCGAACTCCGGGGTTTTCATCATGGGGCGAGTAGTGGCCGGAGTAGGCGGCGCGACGGTGTATGCGGGCGGCCAGACGATCATCGGGTATGCGGTACCCCTGAGTAGGGTGAGTATGTTTTTGGGGGGGCTCGGGAGCATGTATGGGGTTGCGGGATTGCTGGGGCCGGTGTTGGGGGGGGTGTTTACGGATAGTAGGGCGTTGGGGTGGAGGTTTTGTTTTTGGGTTAATTTGCGTAGGTCGTATCTCCCTACTTTTTTGTTATGTTCATGATGTACAGGAGATTGAGAAGCTAATTCTCTACCAGCTTTCGGAGCTTTGGGGATCGTCATGTTTCTCTTCGGATTCCGTGAACCGGAACGAGAATTGCTGAAATTGACAACTAAAGAAAAGATTAAGCGGATGGATTTCGGCGGGACGATTCTCTTCGTAGGAAGTATCTGCTGTCTATTCCTCGCCCTTCAAAAAGGCGGAAACGTCTATGCTTGGTCTGACGTCCGAGTATGGGGTCTAATCCTAGGCTCCGCTCTCCTCATGATAGCATTCATCCTCCTCCAAAACCACCTAGGCGAAAGGTTTATCTCCTCTCCCCCTTTCCACCCCCCAACCCAATCCAACCTATTTCAGAACCACAAACTAACTCCCCCCCCAGCGCAACAATCCCCCTCCGCATCCTCAAAAACCGCTCTCTAATCTCCACCCTCCTCGTCGCCATCCTCATGTCCGCCGGCGTAAACACCCACACCTTCTACCTCCCCTTCTACTTCCAGTCCGCCAAAGGCACCACAACCACGCGCTCGGGTCTCCTCATGCTCCCCTACCTCCTCAGCGTCACCTTCACCGAACTCACCGTCGGCTTCGCCGTCGCGGCCGTAGGCCTCTTCGCGCCGTTCATCAGCACCGGTACTGCGCTGTTCACTGCCGGCGCCGGCGTGCTCTGCACGCTCTCTGTACACAGCAGTACCGGGCTGGTGATCGGGTATCAGATCCTCGCGGCTGTGGGCTTCGGCTCGAGTTTAAATATCTGCGCGACTGCCGTGCGCGCGTCGGTAAGTGAGGCGGACCTGCCGATTGCGAACTCCCTGACTATTTTCGGGCCGTTTTTCGGCGGGAGTTTGGCGGCTAGTGTTAGTCAGAATATATTCCGGGCGCAGTTAAGGAGGAAGTTGGTGGAGAGTGTGGGCATGAATGATACGGCGCTGGTGATGTCGACGGGGACTAGTGGTGTGACGAGACTCGTTCCGGATTCGATTAGGCCGGAGGTCTTTGAGGCGTTTGATGTTGCGGTGCAGAGGACTTTTATATTGGCGGCTGTGGTGGGGGGGTTGGCGTTTTTGAGTAGCTGGGGGATTAAGTGGAAGAGTGTTAAGGTGAAGAAGGAGTAGGTGGAAGTGGGAGGTAAGTTGCAGAAGGCTTGAAGCCTGGATTGTGACCAGCGGATATGTCGCGTGAATCAAATGTCTGAGATAGAGTGTTTGAACGTGGTATCATAGATTGTTGAAAAGAAAAGGATATATACAGAACTGCTTAGACCGAGCTTACACCGACCCCCTGTTATCCATCTCCTCACCCATAGCCTGCATTCTAGCAACCTGTCTCTTCTCCTCCGCATCCCTCTCAGCAGCAGTCAATCTCACAGGAACCATCTTCAACACAACTGGAATGAGAAGCGCAACCACCATTCCACCTCCCAAGAACGCAGCAGTAACAGCCCATCCAATCGTATATCTTGGACCGTCTGTGCTTGGCCATATTCTGCTTCCGTAAACACTTGAAAGATTACCAACGGCATTGACCATTGCTAAACAGATAGCTCGCTTTTCGGCTGGAAGGTTGATCGTGGCACTCGTCCAGGCTAAGATCAATGGGAGAGCTGTCCAGATACCGGCGGCTACGAAACAGAGCATGACGTATCGCACTGTTGTGTTGTCGACAGCGACGCAGACGATGGAACAGATGAATCCGAGGGCGAGTGCGGCGGAAATGTGATATCTTCGTTCGTCGTTTCGATCTGCGGAATAGGCCATGATATTGAGGATGACGGTTGCGACAACGTAGACTGGGATAGTCATATATTGAGCAGTGGTAGTCGTGTACCCCATAGTCTTTGTGAGAGTTGGAATGAAATACGAGATCGTTCCAGCTCCGACATCGAGGACGAATAGGAGCATGAAGAGGTAAGTTCGGTAATCACAGACGGCTGCCTTGAATGCTTGCCAGTGGCTCAACCGAGTTGAGGCGGTAGATCCAGACTCAATACCGGAAGACAGAATTCTGACTGTAGCGAGTTGACGTTCTTCGAGAGTCAATGCGGGCGAGGTAGCTGGGAAATCGAGGAGTATGAAGGGGGCGATCATGGCAACTCCGACAGTGGCCACACCTTCAATAATAAAGAGCCATCGCCATCCAGCAATACCATGCGCATCAGCAAGTCCACCCGTAATTCCACCCGCAAGAAGGCCCCCGAAAGCTCCGGAGAGCACAGCGGCGCTGTAGAAAATGGCAAAGCGCTTTCCCATCTCGACTGGTTTGTACCAGCAGGAAAGAAGGAACAGGACACCTGGGAAGAAACCAGATTCAATACATCCGAGCACGAATCGGAATGCAAGTAAAGCGCCGTATGAGTGCGAAGCAGCCATTGCAGCTGAGAGAGCGCCCCAGACCAACATGATTCCGGGGAGAAAGAGGGAGGGTCGTGAGCGCGATAGGATCATGTTGGAGGGGACTTCGCAGATGAGATAGCCGAAGAAGAAGATACTGAGGACCCATGCGTATTCTAGACCATATTAGCATTTGCGACTACAAATGTCATGAAATGAGAACTCACTTGAATCATCAAGATTTAAATCATCTTCCATCCCAGCAATCTTCGCATTTCCCTGTCACATGTTAGGCCATTGAAAATTTGATTCGAGGCGTTCAACGTACGATGTTCGTGCGGTCGATGTAGTTCAACACATACATGATCCACAGAATCGGCATGAGTCTCAGATCAATCTTCCTCAACAACTTCTTCTCGGCATCGCTCCCAGGCACATAATTCGCAAGTGCAATCTGCAACTCCTGATCTTCCTGGCTGATTCCCAATTTATGCGCCGTGGTCGGGTCGACCTCGAGGTGTGTAACTCCGCTTTTGGAATCCATTGTCGGGTATCTTCGTCTTGGAACTGGAGTCGGTCGAGGTGGTTGATGATCTCGGTGATGCTTCAGGAATTTTCGAGGGGCAACAACGAACTTTATAAACCCCAAACGCCATCACGAAGAACCTATGCAGGCCAAGCACCTTACCGCTAAACTAGACCCCCCGCATGTTTACTCCATACTTTCCCCATGTTAAGAAAGCTCTATCTCGTGTCGGACCGAGTCAGAAATTGACGGCGGAGGAGGCTCCATTGTCGTTTCGTGGGTGGTCCAATAGGCATTCTCGCCGGAATGGTTGGTGTTGAGGGTAGCGTCGGGGAGAAATGCGCGCTCACGTGGTAGATCCAATGGAGTGGGAGGTTGTGCGGATGCGCATTACGCAAGCCACCGAAAATACCACGGTGATGGTCCCGAATTATCATTCCGCTGCTGCGTGTTCCCCGTCTCCATCCGCTAATGGAGTATGGGGTTATGGGGTATCTGACATCAGGTGAAATTGGTAGATCTGGGTACGACCCCAAAAGCTCGCTTAACGAGAACAGCTTCCTTGGACTCTGAAGGGGGGCGCTCGCGATGGATGATATATCTGGCGATTGTTAGGCGGAACTCGATATTATCAATTCATACGATTAAGTCAGGAAAGCGTTATGCACCTTCTACTTAGCCGATTAATCATCGTGTGTTTCTTCTACTAATTCAGTTGAGGCCGATCTATTTTCTCCTCGTCAACTTGTACTTGCGTACATTGGAAATCACTTAACCACTGCAACCATAAAACGGATTATAGACTAAAGGAATAGCTGGGTATAGAGAGTAATATAGCAAGTCTTCAAATAAGTAAATATCTAACATTTCTAGCATCTCACGGCAAGTACAATTTGACTACGAAGAAATAGACGGGCCTCGAGCTCATGAGACACTTCAGATCTCGTTTCCTTAATTTAAGGAGAAGTTCGTACAAGAATACTGCCATGTATAATGAGTACTGTGTTAACCTGAAATGGCGTGTAGATTTCATTCGGCTTAGTTCTATCCTATCGTTATGCATGACCTCGTACGAGCTCTGCTCACTTACTCTCTTTAGACATGTCAATATGTTACTTCCTTACTTCATACTAATCCCTTTCACGAAAGTCCATATACTGCGAAAAGAAATAGAACCTCCTTCTGTAGCTCAATGACACTGTCACATTAGTTCGTTAAAAGGGACATCATCAACCGGTCTTCTTACCTACACCTATTATTCCCCTAATATTCAAACCTCTACGTGTCAAACTCCATTTACAGATGCTTCGAGTGAACTAAAGTTCCCTACAACCATCTACCATCACAATCAGAAACCCCTATTCCGTTCCAAACCACGCCTCCAGATGAAAGCCTGCTAGTATGCAAAAACCTGTCTAGTAGTCATCTCATTTACCACATTCTTGTTATCCAATCTTGGAGTGCGATCTTACACAAAACTTTCAAGCTCTAATTGTACTCTCTCACCACTGTCTTATAACAACGTACTATGAAAATCCTCGACGTGGAGAACCCGCTACAAAGACTACAGTAACAAAAGCTCTGCGGTGGCACTGTCCCTATTCGCTTTAGATCATCAAATAAGTCAAATGAGTCTATATTACGGTTAACTATTAATCATTACCAAAATCCGGCATAATCATGATAATCAACCGATTCTAAACATTGACTTTTGAAAATTCATGGCAGATAACAACGCTAATAGGTAGTATTCAAACATAAATTCGTTTGACTTATATGTCTTTTGAATTATGTGGCATATCACAATTCCATCATTCAAGTGTGACTTTATACGTGGCATGAATTAATGTGGTTGTGATTAACGGGGGGGCGGGGGCGAAACCCTTAATAATCGCTTCTGGGTGCTTAAAGTCAGTGAGTCCGACAGTGAGCTTGAGTACATAGAAGCCGAACTTGATATTCTTAATAGCTGATTTGAATCATTTTCCTTGAGCCTTCTCTCTTTTATTTTTCGACATTCCATTCCATCTCTCCTATCCACCAAAACCCAAAACCGCAAAACCAAAATTTCAACACCGCATAGCATACCTTCGCCACTTGATACACTTCCCCACTCACACCCACCAGACCCAATATCCTAACCTTCTCATCCCGAAACAGACAACAGACCACCTTCACCTCTTCCACAAGCAACATGGCATGTCAACTTCATAACCTCGATTTACGGCTCTAGATCACATATTCGCAGCCTATATAACGAAGAGGAACAACTATTGGAGTAAGAAGTTGTGAGACTTTTATCGAGGAGGGAGGCTGTGGGCTGGCGAGACGGTGAATAGAGTGAAGAAGAGATGGAAGAAGAGTGCCTGGGCGGGGGTCCGGGGGATTAGGTCGAGGTAACTTCACACATCGACTCTCCCAACTACATATATACTACACTCACGCCATCGCCCCACCACACCTCATGTTTCACATATTCAAACACCAAGACAACGCAAGCCCAAGAATTTTCCATTTATACCTCCCTATCTCCTCATCACCACCTCTAAATCCTAGCTTTAGGTCTCCACCTCGCATAAGGATGTTCCTCTCCCACCGGAACCAAATGGTCCACCGCGCGTGTATTTACCATTCCCGGATGCACCTGCGAGAGATCCGTCACACCCATCATTTTCATTGTTGTTTCGAGCTCGTCTTTGAGTACTGTGATACCACGTTAGCAAGGTCCCAATCGTAGGAAATCCCAAATTCCAAGGGTCTAGGGAGACTCACTATCAACGAATTTCTCCACGCCTTCCTCCCCGTAATTCAATGCGTAGAGAAATCCCCTTCCAATACCTACACTCGTCGCGCCGAGACATAAACACTTAAAGATATCCGTCCCGCGCATTATTCCACCGTCGATAAAGATATCCAACGCATCAAATACCTCGGGACAATTTCTCTGCAGCTCTAACAGCACGAGAATAGGCGGGGGCGCGGTATCAAGAGACCGGCCACCATGGTTACTAAGTACAATACCCTGGATTCCATTCTCCATCGCGAGTTTCGCGTCCATGTAGTTTTGCACACCTTTCAGAACAATAGGCAGATTCGTTGATTTCCTTAACCAAGGCAAATCGTCCCAGCTCAAACTAGCATCGATATAACGGCCCATGATACGACCTAAAGCGCCGCCTTTCGAGTCATTCTTCGCTTTAACACCGCTCATAGGCGTAACAACACTCTCGTCCGCCGCAACCCGCTCATCCGCTTCTCGTTTGCCAGGAATAGGCGCGTCGACGGTGACGAAGATTGCTTTAACGCCGAGAGACTCAACGTGTGCGAGGAGGGCTTCGCTTTTATGCCGTTCTTTGTCGACGTATAGTTGGAAGAACAGCGGCATTTCCTCGTTTTCAAACCCCCCGTATGTGCCCTCTTCGCGTGTACTCTCAACAATTTCCTTGATCGGATACGACGCGCTCGTCGACACAACCTGCGGAATCCCAACTTTCTTACAACCCCGCGCGATTCCTAATTCGCCTGCTGGATGTACTAATTTTGCCATTGATGCTGGCGCGCAGAAGATTGGAACGCGCATTTGGTGACCGAGCATTGTGGTGGACGTGTCTACATCTTTTACGTTTACTAGACATCGTGGTCGTAGCCCAATTTCGCCGTATATAGAGTTGTTTCGCGATTTCGTGAGGCAGTCTGTCGCGGCGGAGGAGTAGAAGGCCCATGTTTTCGGCGTCAGGCTGAGGCGGGCAGAGGAGACAAAGTCGTGGGTGCTGATGAGGGTGGAGAGTGGTGGTTTGGTTTCGGGAGAAGTAGACTTGGAGACTTGTGGAGGGGGTTTGAGCCATTCTTCGTCGAGGTTCGTAAGGTCGAGGGTTCCGAGGATTTTGGAGGGGGAGAGAGAGGTGGATATTAATGAAGGCGCATGGATTGTGCTGTATGCTGTTGTTGCATCGCGGCCGGCGTAGTTTTGAATTACTGAGGATTGTTAGTGGGGGTTGCCAGGAGAGGTGTTGGACCTACTTGCTGCTCCTCCTGGATGAGAGGGTGCGAACTCGGTGAGATCGTAGACTGTGTTGTCGACTACTATCCATAAATCATCTGATGTGTTGTGCTTGGAGATTTCTTGGGTTGTGATGCTTCGAGACATGTTTGCGCTGTGGAGAGTGGGAAATCTGTGTGTTAGCTATGTGGAAGTATGTAGTCAATTGTCAAGCATAATGGCACACAGAAGAAATAGGTAAAGAAAGTTTATTGATATAGATAAATCTACATTCGAGTGGCTAAATGTCAATCAGTGGTGGTTGCAAGTTGTGTGTCGTCGCGAGAAAATGGCCCGAGATGGAAGTTCGGCAAATGTTGGGGAAGTGACAGCTGACTCAGGAACAGACCAACATTTCTTCCGCTTGAATAATTCCAAGCTTACTCTTAATCAACCTCCGTCGTTTTTGTCGAGATATCCTCAAGATGATGTTGGTTTGTGTCGATTGTTTTCCAAAGCTCTGCTGCACCTCTCTTTCTGGCCGCCGTGGAGACTCTTTCAACATTATTTGACCCTTCTCTTGAAAACACGACTTCTCTGAATTATTTGCGACTGAAAGGTCATCTGCAAGCAATGGTTCTGCTTCGTGCGCAATTTGGACATATTTATATCCTCACATTGCATTCCTTTGTCCCTTTGGCACTTCGTATTGCTTCTTTCGTGCAAGGCATGCCCAGATTCTCTCAATGGTGGGGCCGAGGTTGTGGCATTCATGTCATGTTGGAGGAGACTCCTCGGTGATCTCGTATTTCAACCTTGCTTGTCCGCTATCTTCTCTTCTCTGCTTGGAAAGAAATCTTTCATCATCTCACGAAGATGGTAAATCTCGCTTCGAAGCTAGCCATCGCTGGTGTGGTCTCTGTTGGGGTTCTGTACCAATTTCTTATCAAATACCTTGTCTTTGATGTTCTTGGAGTCGGGCGCGAAACCTTCTCGATTGAGTCCTATGGACACCTCAAATGCGAAAAGGTGGAAGAACTAGGCATCGAAGGATGTGAGGATATGTGGATGCATGAGAAGACCGGTCATCTCTACATGGCATGTTCAGACAGCCGCTCTCGTGAGCAGTGGCTTCCGGCGTTCGATCCTCAATCACCCCTCTCGTGAGCAATGACTGACAACCACAGCGTTGACCATCTAAATGCCACAGGTCGAGGTCTTGTTGATCGTATCGCCGTGCTGGATACTCGTGGCTCGGGACGACTCGCTTCTCGAATAAAGTGGTTGTCAATCGAGAACTTTTCTGGCATCAAGGGAGACGGAACTCTGAATCTACACGGTCTAGACATCAGAGCCGACGACAATACTGATGTTTTACGAATCTTGTTGGTCAATCATCGCCCACCCATAGACCCTATCACTGGCGAATTCCTGGACGCAGCCAAACATGGAGCGAATTCAACAGTCGAACAATTCCAAACCGAGATTGGCACCGAAACAATGCGCCACGTCCGAACCTACCATCACGACCTGATTCAAACGCCAAATCGGGTTGCCTGGGTCAGCGATCATTCATTTGTATTTACAAACGACCATACCCACAAACATGGCTTTGTGAGTTTCTTCTCTCGTCCAATGATAACACGTGACTAACCTCCTCAGCGCCGCGGACTCGAAGCTATCCTTGGTGGCGGAAACGTCGGATACTGCGATCGAAGAAGCTGCCATATCGCCTATGATTCCGAATTCTGGGGTCCCAACGGTCTTGTCCGCGGTAAAGACGGTCTCATCTACGTCCCGAATGTAATCGGCTCGAACGTCCAAGTCTTTGCCCTCACTGAAACCCACCATTTACGCAAACTCCACACCCTGAAAACACTCCCGATTGACAACCTCTCCGTCGACCAGAATGGCGATATTTTCGGTGCTGCGTTTCCTCAGGTTTACAAATGGATCCAGTCATCAAGCGATGCCTTTGGAGTCCATCCTCCATCTGCGGTTGTCAAGATAAGTCGAGCTGGGAAAGTTCATGGGAGGGCGGTCGATGTGGATCGGACTGTGGATGATTATACGGTTGAGAAGATTTTCGAGGATGATAGTGGCGTGTTGCCTGGTTCTACGATCGTGGTTCATGATGTGAAGACTGGGAGTTACTTTTTTGGAGGGGTGATGTCGCCTTTTATTACGATTTGTGAGAGACTGTCTAGATGAGCTTCTGAATTATTGAGTTCAAAGATGGGGATCTGAGAGAAATTTTAGGAGACATGGGTTTGAAAGTTGGATATATTTTATATACATAGGTACTTATCTATTCTCATAGATATCTTTCCAAGATGCCATTATTTGCTTCTATTCTCTATTCTCTACATCCTTCTCTATCTATCTCGATCAATTTTGAATAACCTTTATACTCTACAACCCCCGCGCCTCGCGCTTAACCTTCTTCACCCCTCTCTACCTGCCCCAATCTAGGCAATTTCCTCGTAAATTATAAACCACGTCCAAGACTTCTAACCAACTTTCTCTGAAACATCCCACGCACGGCTCGACCAATCCCGTAAACCATGAAAAATGACTCGACCAATACAACGGAACAATTGCTCGAAAAGGGTTCTTTCCTGGGGAATTGGCATCCACATTGCGGGTGGCTTGGCTCGGATGGATGAGCTCAGGGCTGTGCGTTGGTCTGAGCTTTTAAGCCCTATGAAATCGCCGCGCTCGCGTGGAAGGAAGCGGCCGCGTTTGTATGCATGGGCGATTTTATGCAGCCTCAAGGACAACAAACACCAACAAAATTGATGTCAATATTTACAACACTCTTCAGGAATCGTCAATTCCGATTATTGCACCGAGCTCAAGATGGACAGAGTACATTCATATGCTCACTCCCTGCTGCTTCACAGCTTGAGATCCTCTCCAAGTGGACCCAACCGTCAGCGAAATCATCTCCCATGAAATTTCCACGCCGCAGCACATACAATGCTCGCATCTCTTCACGTACACGGTCCAACAATCAAGTGTGGCTACGCACGAGGATCGCGTTGGTGTTTTGAGTTGGTGAAATAAGCCCAACCCACCGGTCTGCGGCGTAGCTTCGTTTAGGGATGTAGATAATTCCAACAATTTCCTCGTTGACCATTTTCTCATTCTTCGTCATCCTTTTCTTTCTGTTAAAATCTGCAATCAGGATGACGGACCCAAACGACCCTTCGGCGCCGTTCAATCAGACGGAGTTTGACGAGGCGATAGCCGGTTTGAACCAAACGGAAATTGACGAGTTGATGGCGGGTACGAATCAAACGGAGATTGATGAGGCGATTGCGGGTGCGAATCAGACTGAGGTCGATGATTTTTTACTGAGGAATACGGGATCGAAGGAGGTTAATCAGACGACTGTGATTGGACTTATGAAGGAGACGAATCAGACTTTTACTTGTCATAATATGTTGTTGCCGACGCCGATGCAGAATGCGAGTTCGTGGGCGGCGGTGGGGTGTTTGAGAGGGTTTTTTTGTGAGTGAGAAATCCTATGGGTCCGATGAGGAGGGAGTGTGTGGAAGTTTGAGGAGTCTAGGTTGAGGAGGACTTTTTGGGCGCGATTTGAATACCAGACTATTCCTATGTGGCACTTTCCGACTCAATCGTCACAAAATCTCATATACAACCTTATTGAGAGCGCTCTTTCTAACAAAAACTCAGGCCCCAATAATACCGCCGAGCATCTACCAGAATACTGTCCACCAAGTCCAGATTGCGGTGCCAGAAGATTAATGTCAGCAATATGCGAGCCTCAAGGAATCTACGAACCCACAATTTGCCCAGCAGGATTTTACTGTCCAGTAGTCGACGGCCGATCGCAAAAGTTTCAATGCCCTTCTGGGAGTTATTGTCGGAGAGGATCTGCTGCAGCGAGGAAATGTAGTATCGGTTCTTATTGTCCTGCAGGTGCGAAGAAAGAAACGTCGTTTGTGGCGAGTGGACTTGCGATATTGATTGATACGATTTTGATTACAAGTATGTCATCTCCCTCACAGCATGGTTTTCAACTTCAAAGTGGAAAGAAGATGAGATAGTCTAGATACATCACAGCTAACAACCACAGTCTGCGTTTTCCTCAAACTCCGAGCTTTCTACGTAGCCAAAAGTAAAAAGGGCAAGAAAGTCAACAAAAAAGCCGCCACCTTCTTCACCAAAGGCGCCAGCCTGCCCAACTTCCGCGGCAAAAACTACGAACAACTAGAAGATGAGCAATATCATGGCTCCATCAGCCCGGAATCACATAACATGATCCCCATGACCAACACCGCAGCTTACCGCCGCCGACCCACTGGATTTCAGGAAATCGGACAAGTCGAGCACAATTTCTCACTTGCGGATCATATCAACGATGATGATGTGGCAGATAGCACTGATTTACAGCGTTTCGTTCAGTCGCTTTCGAAGATTCTGGGGGCGACGAAATTTGGATTGACGTTTGAGTTTCAGAATTTGAGGTTTCATCCGTCAAAGGCGCCGAGACCTATTTTGCAGGATGTTTCGGGGTGTATTAATGCGGGGTCGCTTTGGGGTGTGATGGGAGCTTCTGGGGCGGGAAAGTGTAAGTTGATAAAAAGAGGACTTTAGGAGTAGTGGCTAATTTGAGTAGCTACTTTCGTCAATGTTTTGATGGGAAAACAAGCTGGGATTACTGGTATTACCAAGGTCAATGGAGTGGCTGGTGATATTAAGAAGTATGAATGTATTTTCACTTATTTCAAACAATGCTGACAGTGACTCAGATACAAGAAAATCATCGGATATGTTCCACAAGACGATATTGTCCTACCGGAATTGACTGTTCGAGAAAACATTCTACATTCCGCTCGAATTCGTTTACCTTCGAATTGGTCTGACTCTGAAATTCAACATCACGTCGATGTGCTGCTAAGCTGTCTTCAACTCTCTCACGTCAAAGATTCTCTTGTCGGAAGTCCTGGTGCACCTGTCATCTCAGGAGGTCAAAGAAAACGAGTCAGCATTGGTATGGAACTTGCAGCAGCTCCAATGGCTCTATTCCTCGACGAACCAACATCCGGACTAGATGCCACAGCAGCCGCATCCATCATGTCAACTCTCAAAGCCCTCTCACGTCTCGGCATGACCATCATCACCGTAATCCATCAACCACGACCTGAAATTTTCGAATCCCTCGACAGTCTTGTCCTCCTCGGCGCCGGACGAATGATCTACCAAGGTCCCGAAGACAACATCCGCCCTTACCTCGAAAACTTAGGCTTCCACTTCCCCGAACACTCCAACCCCGCCGACATCATGGGCGACATCATCGCTGGCGAAGGACGACACTACAAACCCACCGGCGACGCCTCCGTGCAATGGCTCATCGACACCTGGGCAACCACCCACCCCTCCAGCGCGCTCGACAAAACCAAGAACTCCACCATATCCACCACCGAAATCACCTCCCTCACCTCAACCATCAAACAACGCGGCGCCCCCTTCCACCGCCAAACCCTCCTTTGCCTCAACCGCTCCCTCCTCCAACAATTCCGCATGAAATCCTCCTTCTTCTTCGAGCTCGGCGTCGGCTCCATGGCCGGTTTCCTCATCGGCCTCTCCCAGCTCAACGGCAAAGGCCAGGTTTTCCAATCCATCTACGTCGAGCCCTACCAATTCATCTCCTCAGCCGCCCAACATACATCGATCCCGCAGATCGCATTGCTCGTCGGTCTCGCCATCGGTCTGACCGCGTCTGCGCCGGGCGTCAAGGTGTTTTCAGAGGAGAAACTCGTGTTTTGGCGCGAGGCGGCCGCGGGACACAATCGCTTTGCTTATTACATGGGGAAGGTATTAAGTACGATACCCAGGATGATATTGGCGAATTTCCATTTCACGACGCTTTTCATGTTGTTGAGTACGCCTGATATCACATTCTTACATAGTTTCGCGGTGAACCTGCTGTATTTCTGGTGTATCTACGGTATCGCATCCTGCATATCCATGGTTACACGTCGCGAAGACGGACCGCTTCTCGCCGTAAGCCTTCCCCTTATTCCCCTTATCCACCTTGTCCCCTATATACCATCCCCCTCTCCCCCCCCGCTAACAACCCCAGGTTATGTGCTCCCTAATAGTCGGCGTCCTAAACGGCTTTTCCCCCACCCTCTCCACGGTCCGCGACTGGAAACTCGCCTGGCTCTGGCGCGCCTCCCCTGGCACCTGGCTCGCTGAAGCGTATTTCACGGAGAATCTGACGCCGTTGCGCCATCTGTATGATATTGAGACGGCGAGGGATACGCTGGGGTATTGGTTGGGTGTGTATACACGCGATTGTTTGATGTTGCTTATGTTGGGGGCCGTCTATCGCGTGTTGGCGTTTGGGGGACTGAGGTTTATGTATCCGAGTCGGCAGAGGTAGGGGTAGGGTATGTAAATATGAGCTATTCAATTTTCTCTTGGGTACTGTTATGGGAGCTGCAAATATGCGATCTGAAGCCGCGTGCATGCTTCTTTACCGCCCGAATTTTCCCACACCACCCATAATCTTACCAGCGAAGATTCCACTCCATCACTAATAGCAGGGTAAAATCGATAACAGAAAACAGCAGTCGGGCTCACGAAGTCGAGAGTAGCATTGCTTGTAAATGAATGCAGGGATAGGATAGTAGCTCGTGTATCAGGTAGGCTTTAGGGGGTTTTGAATACATCTTTCCATACGGCGAATAGTCGGGAATGGATGATTTATAGGTTTCTGAGGCAGGAGATTCTTTAATGGAGGAGGACGCTTGAGTACTGGGGAGGGTTGGTTTTGGAGTTGATGGTTAGGTGGTGATGGGGTATAGATGTTATTTTTTGGGTTGGTATAGAGAGTGTGGCGAGGACAATTGAAATGAGAGCAATAGTGTAGATTCGTGGAGGCAATTTGTTGGGATGATACGATCCATGGTTCAGAGATATGTATTTATCTCGCTTCTGCCATTGCTTTGTTATTTCGAGTAACTGAAAGTTATCACCTCTAAGACGCAGTATCAAATCACCTCCCATACCCACCAAAGACGCGGCGATTTAATACCGCACTTTTCAGATTACTTACAAGAAAAGAAGACCTGGCTGTGTTGGCGATTGGCCGACTTATGCGGCGTCCTAACGCATAACCTACCTACGCCCCCCTAGGGTCCTCGAACCCCTATCACTCTCGTATTATACATCACTTCGCTATAGGATTCAGCGATTGGTATGTTCGTGCAGACATGTTGGTTAGTAAACTTATAAGAGGCGAGGATATCTAACACCACCTACCGCATTTCTTTCATCCATATATTCTTCAACACACCACACGATGTCTCTCTCAACTCTCCCACCTGAAATCCTGTCGGAAATAGCAAAGGTATGAACCCCTCTTGGAAGAGGGAAAGGCTGATAGCGATAGCTGCTTGAGGATCGAGATCGGAATACTTGGGCACTTGTAGATAAATTCTCATACCACGTCCTCCTGGCTATGCGATACTGTACTATCACTATAGATGCGTATAATGCTTGGGATTTCATCACTTACGCCCAATCTTGCAGTTTGGAATACTGTAGGAAGTTGAATGTACATTGTATAACCCACTGCGGCCCAACAACCCTCACGCAATCCCTCCTCGCAGCGTCTAAATTCGCTGATGGTCAGATAACGCACCTCTCCTGGGCTCTAGAGCGCGGATCCTTGTCGAACGAGATTGAAACCTCGGATTTGTTTGTAAAACAGAGTGAGCTGCGAGTTTTGAAACTTTCGCCCTGGCCAGACGACCAACCATACCCTACCAGCATAATCAGTCTGACGCAGTTGCGGGAGCTCGAATTCTCAATTTTCACTTCGAGGACACAGAAACTCGTGAACGGCGAGTTGATTCGAGACGTGCTGCGTAATAATCCAACGCTGGAGATCTTGCGGTTTGTGCGTCCGACTGAGGGACATAATCCAAGGGGTATTAGGGGGGAGGAGTGGAGGGAATTATTGACTTGCTCTGAGACGGAAGGACATGTCCAGCATCCAATTGGAGTCAGAGAATTCGTGCTACGCCATTGTAGCGCTCAAGATGGATACGAGTCTTTCCCGTGGGAAGTTGTTGGTTTTGGAAATCTCGAGATACTGAGCTTTGAGCAAACCATCGATGTAGCGGCGGATTTGGGATATCTCGCCACCATCACGCCGGAGAATTGGGGGCTTGAGAGGTTGGAGATAGGGCTGTGGAATCATTGTATGCGACACGCCCCGGAACAAGTCAGTGCGATAGAGAGGTTTTTGATGCATGGGAATTTCTGCGGGTTGAGGCATCTGCGTGTCGAGCTTCCTGGTGGGAGACGATTGTTGAGCGCGGCGTCAATTTCGCAGCACGAAAGGCTTGAGACATTGGCTATTTCTGCGACCGACGACGATGGCTGGCTCCTAGCATTTTCACCCGCTGAGATCCACGAGATCGTAACGGCTTGTCAGAGCCTACACACCCTGAAATGCGTGCTTCCTGCCCTTTCAAACGCGGAATTCTACGTACGCCTCCCTTTTCAGAGTAAATTTTTGATTTTAACCTAACGTGCTTCTAGGAAAACCTGGCTAAGTCTACTTCCATAAAACAGCTTCAAGTGATCGGTCTTCAATCGCCCCGTACGAAGACGCCGGCGTGGTCGTGGCCGAGGGATGTAAGTCATTTCGATCCGGTGCCTAGGGGGATGATGGAGGATGTCAGTCGTGAGATTTTCGGGTTGTGTGGGAGGTTGGAGGTGTTGGGGTTGCATGTTAGCGAGCACTATTGCGAGAACTGGGAGGCGGAGATGAGATATTATCGATACAATTCGCCAGCTAATTAGATATGCTTGGTTAAGAGGTATATACATACACGCCACATTACATAAGCCCTCGATCATACCCTCCCACGCCATTCAATGCACTAACATCAAAAAACCCCACCGGGAAATAATTCTCATCAAACAGGTCAAACGAATTCCCATACACCCCAAACGGCGCGAGATCAGCCTCATACTGCTGCTGCAGCTGGTTCTGCGCCGGCCGTTCCCTTTCCAGCATCTTCTGCAAGCCAATCGCGATATGCGCTGCCAAAAACCGTTCACTGGCTTTCACGCTCTTCAGGAGCTGGATGATCTGCGTGACGAGCTCGCGGATCAATATGCTGTCTGTGCCTAGCTGCAGCGGTTTCCAGCGCTGCTCGACCTTGAGCAGGAACACGGCGGCGTAGGTTATCATGGTGTGGAGGTACAAGGGGACGCCCACGAGACCGTTGCGGATGTCGGGCGAGGAGATGACGAGTTGCAGGATGGCGACTGCGGAGGAGATGGCTAGGTTTGCGTATTCGCGGCGCGAGGTGCTGAGGGTGGTGCTGTGTGGGGATTCTTGGAAGCCCCGCAGGGAGAGGGCGTTTAGTTGGAGTTTGCCGAAGTGGTGGTGGAGGGAGACGCCTTTGGAGGGGTAGGATGAGATGAAGGGGTTGGGTGCTGGGGGTGGTTAGAATTTCAAATAGGACTTTTCTTTTTCACTCTGAACTATCACTCACCTAGTTGGGATTCCCATCTTATGCGCCAGTTATCAAGGTCCATGTTGAATCGTCCTAGTAGATGGAGGTCGTTTTCTTGGAGCATGTGGTCGACGTCGGGTCCGAATGAGTGGAACATTTTGGTTAGGACGGAGAATATGGCGATTTGGCTGTGTAGTCTCAGATCTGCTTGTGTGATTCCTGGTAGTTGTAGGAATCTTTCATGTCCAACGACGGCCTGTCGACTATTAGTCATTACTCTTATTGCGAAAACGTTCCCAATTGCCTGAGTGATTTGTTTCTTGCAACAGATCTAAAGTAGAGAGTGAACAAAAGGCTGACTTACTTGGTCCTCGTGTATAACTGGAGGCCGACCATAAGCAATACTGAAATGATGGTCACACACATACAAAAGATACCATAGTCGAGCGGCTTCGATATGTTCTGCCTCACCTCTTAAGGCTTTTGCAAAGCTTCGGTGCAGATTAAGCTCCGTAGCAATGCGAACAGCATGACCCGAGAGTTTCCCTGTTCAATCCTATTAGCTCCATATTAGTAGTGGTTGTTATAAGACCACTCACAACTCAAGTCGCTCAACCAAAACGCAGCAATACAGAGACCTCTTATGCCGTCCAATGTGTGATGCCGATCAAGCATAGAACTTGACACAAGCGAAGTGAACCTGTTGCATACAATCAGCGTTGCAATTGTAGAAGAGGACTGGTAGTAATTACTCCGAATAACAAATATCAAAAGTTGCTGCCCCACCCGGAGCATGTAGTGCAGTGACAGCTAAAATCGCCGTTAAGAGCAGAGATGATGACTTCCGAACGGATGTGAGATCGGAGTGGACGAGAGCGATACCTCCCCATAGATAGTGGTTAAGCGAGTGATTGAATGTATCGAATAGCTCTTGAGCTTCCTTTTCTCCGATTACACCTCGCGAGATGAAGTCGTTGTCTAGTGGATTTCGAGTAAGGTCATTGGATCGTGGGTTGCCACGGAGGTGGCGGAGGCGGGTTACCTAGGTGTGTCAGTATTGCCATAGAGACAAACATCTTCGTCCCAGCTGCAAAGCTAAGCTTTGGCTTCGAATATATTGAAAGATTAATGTGTGAGACCTAGAAGATGATACAGCCTTGTTTTCTGTTGAAACCAGTGGCAGTCGTACCGCAGTGTCTCAACGTTTCACTGGATAGAAGAGACCAAGAGCTGAAGAGCCCTCGAACAGAAGGTACATTCGGCACAAAAGTTTTAATCCTTTTTCAATAACGTGTCATGTAGCTTAAATGATTGTTGAATCTCAACTAAAACTCAATTTGTGCACGAACAATGGTTCATGCCCAGTGATTGAGGAACTTGCAATTATTTCGACATGCGACAACAGCAAAACAAGAGAAACCAAGACCTACCTCGTATAAAGTGTTGATGGGTGCCCCAACCAACGTGCCACTCCCCTCATGAGAATGTTCAGGCTCATTCGAATTTTCTCTCGTCATAGCCATCGTCCTCGGCGTCGCGCTCCGCATGTTTTCCAGCGGAGACGTTCCATCAACTTGCGACGTAGAGGCGATAGAGCCAAATCGTACCCCACGCTGAACATTACTAACTGGCTGACTCCCAGGGCTTGCAAAGGTTTCCAGTGGTGGCAGATTTAAGACTCCCAGAATCTCTGATACAGCTGCTTGGAGCTGCTGGGAGGTGTTTTGCATTCCCATTTTCCATTCCGCTTCATCTACCAGAATCGACTGGAGACTTTTGTTAAGGGTGCATTTTAAGCCTTTCTTGATACATCTTGTACATGATGAGGACGAGCTTTGTGCTAGGTCGCAACGGATCTTTCGATTTTGACATTCAGTGCCTATTTTGATTGTCAAACCTGTAATTACCAGTACTTTGAAAAATTCATGACATCTTCTCAAGTGACTTTGAAATTTTGGACCATTTCCATCAAATATGCAAGACCATAGACAACGAAAAGAATACTCACATGCCTTAACAGTCTTCGACACCCTCACACTTGGTATCTTGGCCCCATTGTTAGAATTCTTCGTCACATGATCTTCGGATTTATCTGCGCTCTCATCAACCCGAGCACGCTTCATCCTGAGTCCTAATCGTCGGTGCTAGGGTATTGTGGGGACCCCATAAAGTTCGATGAAAATCCAGAGAAGTGGTTGAGGAACGCAGGTTTGGAAGAACGGGGGAAAGACCGCACTTCTTAAATGTCGGGTAGAATACCGTGGGAGAGGAATAATCTAAAGGCGGCGTCAACATATCCACTTTGTGGGTGTGGTGTGGATGCGCGGTCGAAACCCCCCTGAGCCAAGCGAGTTTACAGTCGCAGCAAACCGCGCAAGCTGAACGGCACGGAAGACGGCAACCGCTTGGCCCTCCTCGACCCTACAATCCCCGCTTACGCCGCCTTAATATCCTCTCTGTGGTGGTATTTTCGCCTTCGAGACTACTCACGGAGAAGTGACCGATATCAATTCTCAATCGGCCTTACTACCACATGTGAAGGATAATCAACTCAATACCTAAATACCTACTTCAAATACCACCATGGAGTACTTTACGAGCAATTCAGCCTCCACTCAATCATCCCTCTCATTTCACCTCCCTCATATCCAAGATGTTGTTAAGAAAAGACTCAAACGGTGATGCAAGCCACAGCTTCTCCGGACCTTCAGGCACAACACAATCTCACAATGTCGCGTGGATAGGACTAGGTACCATGGGCCTTGGGATGGCCTCACATTTAGTTAAGAAGGGATTCAATGTCACAGGTTACGATATCTATGAGCCTAGTTTGGCGAAGTTCCGTGAAAATGGAGGAAGAACCGCGACGTCTCCTTTAGAAGCTGCGAGGAATGCAGAGTTTCTGGTGTGTATGGTTGCAAGTTCAGCGCAGGCACAACATGTACTTTTTGATAAAGATACAGGTGCTGTTCAAGGTGTGTAAATGTGTGGGAACATCTGAGATGTGGCTAATCTTTTTCAGGCCTTCCAATCAATGCTACAGTCATCATGTGCTCGACTGTACCAGCTTCATATCTTGACGAAATTCAAGAGTCACTGAAATCAAGAGACCGAAACGATATTTTTCTGGTTGACAGTCCGGTGTCTGGTGGTACCGCCCGAGCATCAGAGGGAACTCTGACTATCATGTCTTCTGGGAGTGAAGCTGCTCTTGAAAAAGGCAAAACACTGCAATCAGCTTTAGCCGAGCGTTTGATTGTAGTCCCAGGAGGTATTGGATCGGCTTCAAAAGTCAAAATGGTCAATCAGTTGCTTGCTGGTACTCACATCGCTGCGGCTGCTGAGGCGATGGGTCTTGCAGCTACCATGGGTTTGAACACTCAACAAGTTTTCGACATTATTACTGGTGCCGCCGGTAACAGCTGGATGTTCGAAAACAGAGTGCCTCACATGTTGAAAAATGACTGGACACGACTTTCAGCTGTTGACATATTTGTGAAAGACATGGTAAGATTCTTCCATTTTTCTACAAGGTTCCATCAAGCTAATTGAAATCAGGGAATCGTCACATCATCTGCACGTGCCCTCGAGTTTCCTTTACCAATCGCTTCCTCAGCTGAACAGCTTTTCATATCTGCTTCAAAGCAAGGATATGGCCGAGACGATGATTCCAGCGTAGTTCGTCTATACATTCCCACTTCTCCAGCCGCTGTATCAGAAAATGCCAGACCAGCCGACAAACTGAGTAGCTCATCAAAGTCCTGGACCGCAAATGATATTAAGAAGATTGGATTTGTAGGACTTGGAGCCATGGGCATTGGCATGGCGAAGACACTAACGAAGGCTGGATACCAAGTACAGGGTTACGATGTGTATCCACCATCCGTTGAGAAGTTCGTTGCTGCTAGCGAAAGTGCTACTGCCGCAACATCGCCCTCAGAAGCCGCTTCAGGGGCACAGGCTCTGATTCTTATGGTGCAGAATGCCAAACAGGCACACGATGTGCTTTTTGGGTCTGGAAAAGCTGCTGAGGCGTTACCTCATGGGTCTGTCGTCATCTTGAACTCGACCGTTCCACCATCTGCTGCACGTGAGATCAGAGAGAGATTGGTGGCCGTTGGCAAAGATCTCGACTTGGTTGATGCTCCTGTTAGCGGAGGAGTGGCAAGAGCTGCTTCGGGACAACTGACTGTAAGTTTCACATACTCGCGATAAACGATTTACTAACGCACACCAGATCATGTCTTCCGCTGATGAACTTGCTATTTCAAAAGCCAATGTCGTCCTTAGTGCAATGAGCGGCGAGCCGAAGAATCTGCATTACATTGCTGGTGGTGCAGGTGCTGCTTCGTCAGTGAAACTCATCAACCAACTTCTTGCCGGAGTTCATATTGCCGCGGCCGCGGAAGCTATGGCTTTTGGTGCGAAGTTAGGTCTGGACACGCGCAGTCTGTACAATACCATCAAGAACGCCGCTGGAGGTAGCTGGATGTTTGAGAATCGTGTTCCTGCCATGTTGGATGCGGACTGGACTCCTCACTCTATGCTTGCAATTTTTGTCAAAGACTTGGTAGGTACACGTCTTTTTATCATGGAAGAAAACTTACTAACGCGTTGTAGGGTATTGTTTTGGACGAGTCAAAACGGCTGCTATATGCTGCTCCACTAAGTTCAACAGCCCACACATTATACCTCCAAGGTGCCTCTCACGGTCTATCAAGAGAGGCTGATGGTGGTGTTGTTCGAGTCTGGGAGTTTCTCACCGGTGTATCGGTCGCTAAAAGTGCTTCTGCCCGAGTAGAAAAGAAATTTGTTCCAAGAGAATACCAAAAATTGAGCGTCGCCGAAACGACCAATGCTCTTCCAGCTCCATACGAAGGCAATCCCCTCGAGATGATTAACAGCAGGATTTCAGAGCCAAATACACCCATCTTAGTTGTATTAGATGATGATCCAACCGGAACTCAGACCTGTCATGATATTTCCGTCTTGACGGTATGGAGCCACGACACATTGTGCCAGGAATTTCGAGCCACAGAAAAAGGATTCTTCATCCTGACAAACTCACGCGCTCTCCCAACATCAGAAGCGAGATCATTGATTACAACTATTTGCCAGAATGTGGAGAAAGCCGCGAAGGAGACGGGCAAAGGATTCGAGATTGTCTTACGTGGTGATTCAACTCTCAGAGGACACTTCCCTGACGAACCAGAAGTGATTGAAGAAGTCCTCGGAAAAACAGACGGCTGGATTCTAGCACCATTCTTCTTTCAAGGCGGTCGCTACACGATTGATGACGTTCACTACGTGGCCGAGGGTGATGTCCTGGTTCCTGCTAGCCAAACCCCATTCGCAGAAGATGCGACATTCGGTTATAAGTCCTCCAACTTAAGAGACTACGTGTTCGAAAAGACAGGATCAAAGTTCAAAGATGAACAAATCCTCTCCATCACCATCGAAGATATCCGTCTAGGTGGACCCGAAAAGGTCGCTTCCAAACTCATCAACGGCCCTCGTGGCGGTGTCGTGATTGCAAATGCAGCCGCCGAATCTGATATGTACGTCTTTGCTGCCGGAGTCCTCTCTGCTGCTCAACAAGGCCGAAAATACCTCTACCGAACCGGTGCAGCATTCGTATCCTCCCGTCTTGGCATTCGTGGAATTTCTCCTCTTTCAGCGGAGGATCTCAAGATGGACAACAGTCCCAACTCAGCGGGTGGACTCATCGTTGCTGGATCTTATGTTCCAAAGACGACTGCACAGCTTGCTTCTTTGCGATCTCGACGCGGATCAAAGTTGCATGTCATTGAATTAGACGTCTCATCTATGATTCAGTCTAAGGAGCAAGCGGACGCTGCAATCTCTTCCGCGACATCTACCGCAAGTTCTCAAATAACTTCAGGCCACGATGTCCTCGTCATGACATCTCGCAAACTTATCACTGGTCACGACGCAAACTCCAGTCTGAGCATCGGCACACTAGTCGCCGCAGCTCTCGTCAAAGTCGTCCGCAACATCGAAGTCCGCCCACGCTATGTCATTGCAAAAGGCGGCATCACCTCCAGCGACGCCGCCACCAAAGGCCTCGAAATCAAGCGTGCGATGATAGTTGGACAAGCCGCACCAGGTGTACCGCTATGGCGATGCGACGAGGAAACCAGTCGACATACTGGCGTTCCATACGTTGTGTTCCCAGGCAATGTAGGTGGAGAAGATACACTTGCGGAACTTGTAGAACGATGGGCTAAGCCTGAATGATTCCCCTTTTTTTCTCTTGATACCAATACAGTATATTATATTTCTAGCATTTTAGCGAATACATTCACATAGACCAAATCGAATGCATCGGACATGCCAAGCGATGTCACGAGATCCATTTCAGCTCTTTCTCCCTTGTGTGACTTTTCATGCAAGCTTTCGCAATTCAGCCACAGGTTCGATGAAGAGGCTGAACTTAGCCACAGGCTAATGGGAGATCGAGTGGGTAATTGCCGTGGACGTGACGCCTTTGACGCTTAAAATAGGAATCGGTAATTTGATGGGGTGGTTTTCGGGGGGGACATCACGGGAGGAGCAGAGTGTCTTGCATGCGAGTTTGTTTGTCCTGTGCCTAACAATTTTCAGCTTGGAGGCTTTAGAGGTATTATTGAGAGGGTCTGATGCGCTTGAGGCTTTAACAGCCTGGGCTTTAATTCTTTCGCCCAGTGGTATTACAGAACGGTAAGGCAGATTATTTCTCGTGATGGAACGATTTCTTGTTGAAGTTGTTCAGAGACTCTATTTTAAGCTGAAAGCTAAATGATAGGTATCATCCATCAGGCTTGAAACGAGCTCTCGATTACTCACATCACCTGAGTAGTTTAGTACTCACCCTCGCACTCCGAGACTCTGGCCGACTCTCCTCTCTCTCACCGTCGCTTAACTGCCAACGCTGCACAACACTATCTCAACATTCATTCGTCAAAAATACTGCATACCTCTACGTACCACAACATCAGTCGTTCGCAGGATCTGAAGGATCCCAAACCGACAATATCCAATGCAGCATCCCTTGCGCTATGCGAGTCAACTGCCTCAACGAGATGTCCAGACCCTTTTCGTATGATGCTTAACTCTGGAAGTGGTTCATACCCAGCCTCCACAGCGAGATGACAATATGGTTTAAGCATGAGGCGTCCTTGGCTGTATTCAAGTAGGAGAATGAGGGAGTATATGAAGAGTCGATATTCCTTGCGAACTTGAATTATCAAGTCAAGCATCACTTCGCATTCATCGCATTTTCTTCTCTATTTCCTTTGAGTAGTTTCATTCTCAATTTCCTTCAAGATGCATCTTCCAAAGCCTTCAGCTTTTCTGCTTAGTTGTATCAGCACTCTTTTGGCCGTTTCAGTTGAGGCTTCGCCTTACTCATCTGGAAACCTAACTTCAACAACATCAACCAAGTCTTCGAGCTCTAGCACGACTTTGAACTCCACTACGACGTCAATCACTTCGTCGAAATCTTTGTCATCTTCCTCATCTCGCACTACCTCATTCCATCTGACCAATTCAACAACTCGTTTGAGCACGCTCACTACCCCAACTCCAACACTATCGTATTCCAAGAATACTACTTCCACTCGTTCATCATGGTATACCGCGTCCAGAAATACAACTGCTGCTTACGGACGCTCAACACCTTCTCCTGCTGTTCTTTCCCCAGGGCTTCCTCCACATATTGATCCTTATAACCCTGTTGTGTTGGAACCAAAAAAGAATGTTTCACTGTTCTACTCGAGTCCTCCAGCAAATAACAATGCTTCCGGTAAGTGGGACCCACGCTTGTCAAGAGCCATCACTAATACAGCTAGATGTCGCCGTTGCAAGCGTCGCCATCCCTAAGATGGCCTATCCCGCCGTCGTCCTTGATCACTCCGCTCTAGTAACTCATGTCGAATGTGACCTCTCAACACTTCGTCTGAAATTCCTCCACCGCAACGCCCTTAACGCAGCCAAAGCATCATGGACTATGCCAAAGTTCGTCATGATGGCCTTCCACGACAAATGCGGTACCGCTGCTACAGACGGCGAGCGAGACTATCTCCTAGTCCACAAACTCGACTTCGACCACAACGACCTCTCCGTTGCTGCAGGTATCAAACACATCGATATCAAAGAAGCCGTGGGCACAGATAATCCCATCACCGTAGACATGGGCTCCTACACACCGGCCAACGCCAGTGGAAACGTCGGGTTCGACACAACTGCGGCCCCTCCAATCCCTAGCAACGGAACCTACACCAACAGCAGCAAACCCTCTCTCGACTTCGACGTCGCCCTGGACAACACAATCGGCTACACCTCCCTCTCCACCCCTTTTCACACCCGTTTCATCGGCCTCGACGAGCACCAACTCCTTCAAATCCGCTCCTGGTGCCACATCTGCGACAAAGTCGTCCACGCCGTCAAGAAAATCGTCAACAAGTTCATCCCCTCCTGGACCCTCACCCCCCTCAACAAAGACATCAACGTCTCCATCGGCGGCGGCAACGTCGCCACGCCCTGGAACAAAAAAGGGTACCAGCTCTACTCCAAAACCTCAGGCTCAAACTACATCCGCCTCTACTGCGTCGACTGCGGCGTCTCGGGCGTCATAAACGTCAAAGCAACAGTGACATTCAACCTCATCGGCATCATCTCCGCCGGGTCCTTCGCAGCAAACGGGCATATGGGTGCCGGCTTAGGTCTGGGTGTAGACGCACACTACGCGGCGTCGATTCCGGCATTCAAACACACACTGCTCGCCATCCCGCTCAGCCCGTTCGCCATCCCAGGCCTTATCACTATCGGTCCACATCTCGATCTCGCCGTCGGCGCCAACGCAGCGATTAATGCGGATGGCAAGGCCTACGCGGGCGTCCGTCTCGAATGGCCCGCCATCCACGCGCAGCTGAATCTCTTCAGCGCGCCCAGCGCATCTGGGTGGACGCCGAGCGTGACGCAGGATTTCCAGGCCGTCGGCACGGTGAGTTTGAGCGCGGATGCGTATGTCGAGGTGAGTATCGGGTTTGGCGTGAGTTTGCTGAACGGGTTGAAGAGCTATGGGGTTGCGCTGGTGGAGAAGCCGGATTTGTATATCACGGGGAGTAGCGGGGTGGCGGGGTGTCAAGGGATTAAGTTGACGGCGGGGTTTAAGAATGAGGTTTATGCGGATATACTGGGGAGTCATAAGGGGATTAGTACGTGGAATGGTCCGAGTGCTAGTAAGTGTTTGGGGAGCGGGAAGAGGGATGCGATTCCTGCCCTGCCTGCACGAGCGGAAATTAATGGAAGGGAGGCGAGGAAAGTAAAGATTGAGAGTGCGGATGGAAGTATTGGGATGCATTACGCGGATAATGGGAATATCTACGGGATATCGAAGACGAATGGGAGTGTGGATATGTCAACTGTCGATTTCTCCTCTCTCGACTCGGGAATCATAACAGGCGATGCTACATCCCGCGTCTTCCACGGCTACAACGACACGCTCTCTTCGAAAGGAATCTCACGCTTCCGTCTCTCCCCCCTATCACACATCCCCAAAACAGCAGTTATCTTGTAAGTCCCCCTACCTCTTCCTCCCCTCCCTCCCCTTTCCTCCCCCATTTCCTTCCCCAACTAACACCCCCACAGAACACTCCAACCCTCAACCCCCACCACCTCCGACCACGTCCTGATCGCCCTCGACGCCTCGCACAACGTCTTCTACCCCGTCCTCTGCACCTTCGGTGAGGTCGACTTCCCGAAACTATTTCTGGTCAAGGATCCGAACACAGGTGTTGCGGCGCTTTTGGATGAGGCGAATGTGGAAGGTGTTACAGGTGTGAAGCCTGAGGATTGTGGGGTTGTTCCTTTGGTTAGTTTGTAGGTTTTCAGTGGGGAGGGGGACTTCTTTGTAGATATTTTAAATTTTGACTTCTTGGGCGGGCATCTGATGATATTGTATTTGTGTTTTATGGTTTTGACTTAGTAGCCCCTGGCTTTTTCTGGGGCGAGATTTTGATGGTGTGGGTCAGGGTGGCATTTAGATCGCATGAATGGGATCTTGACTGCCTGAATCCCATAATCTAATGATCCAGATTGCAGCAGATTTATCAAAATCACTAAAGGTCGCCTGAATCTCTAATCCTATCTCGCTGATTCCAAAGTTATCCCTGAACTCTTGCCAGAAGCAAAATCTATCTACTACGTAACTCGTCCGTATCGCGTGTTTGGTAAACAAAAAACAACTAAACAAGAGTCAGTAGATAAGGATGCAGATCTCTACCTCTCGACAGAGGTTCGTTAATGTATGTTTATTAGGGACCGGGACGGGGGAACTCTTATCTAAACGAGCCCCTTTTCGTTGTCTTAGGTGACGGACTGCTTTTTGGCAATCTTTCTTTAACGAAGAATTAATCCAGCTATCAAGATATTAAGCTAAATTTTGAATCATAAGCCTGAGACAAAGAGTGGTCTAGGGCGGAGATATCGGACTCGGAGTAAAATTGGGAGCAGACGCACTATTGACATGACAGCGGTTTCTTGGAAAGATTACGACTCTCCATGCAATGCCTTGATCACCTCTTTGTGACTTTCCGCCATAGCCCAATCCAACGCAGTCTTACCACTGAGGTCTTTCAATGTAGCATCAGCACCTTTGTCCAGGAGAAGTTTGACAACATCTACATGACCATTCCAGGCTGCCCAGTGCAAGGCAGTCCATTGCGCATTGTCCTGACAAGAAATGTCTGCTCCCTTTCCCAAAAGAAGCTCTACGATATTCCGTTTCCCACTCCAAGATGCCCAATGCAAGGCAGTTCGTCCATGTTGATTCGGTGTGTTTATATTGATGCCACCTCCTTCCTCGAGTAAAGGCTTCACAGCCTCTTCAGTCCCACCCCAAACGGCCCAATGTAAAGACGTAGACGTTCCATCAGTTTTCAGTGTCTGACTTAGCAGGTTCTGCTGCTCTTCTTTGGAGACCATCTGATCCACATCAACCCCCTTTTCCCGTAGGTGCGCCACCATCGCGTCGTATACGCCCTTTGTCGCAGCAGAAAGTGGAGTTTCGCCCAAGGAATCTCTAGCAGTAAAGTCGGCGCCTTTTTCAAGTAACAGACGTACGACCTCCTCGTGCCCACTCCAGGCGGCCCAGTGTAATGCCGTTCCTCCCTGATAGTATTTTGCAGCAACTTCCGCACCCTTTTCCATCAAAAGCCTGACAACAACCTCTTCACCACTACTGTCTCGACTAGGGGATTTACTTCCCTCTCTGAATCCATATGAGTATCTGGCTTTGACATCTGCTTTAGCATCCAGTAACAGTTGCACCACTACTAAGTGTCCATTCCATGATGCTCGATGAAGTGCAGTACCTCCGTCAATATCTGTGGCGTTAACCTTGGCGCCCGTTTTTAGCAGTAACTTTACGACATTTTCATGCCCCCTTTCTGATGCTGCATGCAATGCCGTTCCTCCATCGGAGTCTTCGGATTCCATATCAGCCTTATTATCGAGAAGTGCCTCTTCGGCTTCCACATCAGGTTTATAATCGAGAAGTACCTGAACTGCAGCTTCATGCCCGTGCCAAGCCGCTTTATGCAAAGGGGTCCATTTTCGCACATCAACAGCGTTGATTTTGGCACCGCTCTTTAAAAGCATCGATACGATAGAAGCCCTTCCTCCCTCAGCCGCCCAGTGAAGAGGTGTACTGTTACTTGAATATTTAACATCGATCTCCACACCTTCTGTAGCCAGAATTAATTTCACAATCTGGTCATACCCATGCCAAGCAGCCCAATGAAGTGGAGTTCCTTTGTCGGAGTCTGCCTTATTAACATCCGCATCGATTGACAGTACTTTTTCGGTGACTTCCACAAGTCCGTTTGTTGCAGCTAGCCCCAGCGCCGAAACCTCCTTGCGAAACGACTGGCTATAGTTGGCATGCTTGTATTTTGGAATATGGGCAAATTGCAAACTACAAGACATGTTGGAATTTTGCCACAAAAACTTCATAATGAGCTCTTGTACTATAGGATCCTTCTCTGGCTCTCCTCTGGCATGGAGGCCCCAGTATTGAGATGCATATTGCAGGAAGGGATACTTGAGCATCTTTTCTTCCATTGCCTTGTCGTTGTCGCAAGGATCAGTGGCAAATTCATTGAATGACAGATAAGTGATACACGCCATGACAATTTGGGTCGGAGCTTTAGGGTATCGTTCTTTCTTGATCCGCTCAAAATATTCCTGGGTAGTGTAGTGGACAAATCGAATAATGTTGCTGTCGTGGTCAATAGTCAGAAGTCCAGCACATAATGATACTAGATGATTACCATCAGGAACAGCTTCTTCATCCACGCGGGTGTCTCCGATCTCCACAGCTAGAGCATATCGAAGTTCATCCACTGTTATCGGTCTAGCGGCGTAACATATCCAGGAGAGAACTTGCGCAGCTCGTTCAGCCTTTCGACTGTCTTGATTTTTTATTCTTGCCATAGCCTTCTCATACGTTCCATCGATCTGTTCTGGTAGTTCTTGGAGCGCTTTCCTAACTCCTTTACCAGTATCTTCTCTCCCAAGTGAGTCCATGTGAAGCTGAGCGAGTAAAAACCTAATTTACCGTCAGCAATCGAGATATTTAATTGGTGTTATTCGACGAACATTCCGCGGGACTTCCTAACAACCGTATCCACTATTTCGGCCCATAATGGTGACCCCTTTCTTACAAAATTCGAGAGCTCTTTCTCAAGTCTAGTTTCAAGGTATCGCCTTACATCTTCTTTAGTGGCCTTAATAACTAAGTCTGGCTTGTCCTGAAAACCATTCTTTTTATCTGGCTCATCACGAGACGTGATTAATACACTCACTAAAGGAACTAATTTCAACACTTCGTTGAGGAAGAGATCTTTAGCCTTTTGCTCTTCAGAGCACTCATCGAGAGCATCTATCAGGATGAAGACTCTTGAGAAATTGCGAACTTCTGAAAACAAGACTCTTAAATAATCTGTCAGGAGTGGCCGTGTTTGTTTTCGACGATGGTATTTATAGAGCTCTAGAATATCAGTCGAGACAACAGGGCGATGCTGAATGAGTTGTTTTAGCAAAGATGCAATGAGCTCTGAGGGAGAAGTTTGCTCTCGATAGACACAATAGATGTATGCTATACCGACGTTTTGATCTCCGAACTTTTCTTCCAAAGAATTGACCATTATGGACCTAGTGTAGAAAAAAAGATCAGTGTGTATCTATATTTGTGCTAGGAATCTAATAACATACGTAAGAATAGTCTTCCCGGAACCAGCTTTTGACGTAATCAGTAGATGTTATATTCTAGGATTGATCATATCAGCATTTAGACTCACGAATCCCTTGACACCATAACTTTCTCTTGAATCCAGTCAGCCAGCTTTGGAAGTTTTGGTCTTGCAACAACCACTCTCCTGTACCCTCCTGCCGCCTCGCGAAAATGTCATTCTGCTTCGCGCAAAAGTTTAAGCTAGTGAGCCAAGTCTCAAGATCTCTTTTTTCTTTCTCCTGGAGTTGGGTCTGCTGTTTTTGATCCATCTGAACGATCTTGCGATCAATGTTGATCACAAGATCGTTCACTCGACTGAGATCCTTTTTGGTATCAAGAGAAAGATTGCTGGAGATTCGTTAGACACAATGGACAGAAGAATGACGCGTTTCACTCACACATGATCGCTCTGTAAAGCAAGCAAGATTTGTGACTTTTGCCTTTCAATCCGGCTACAGATCTCACCAAGTTTGTTCTTCTGATGTGGCCACTTCGCTTTTTCAATAAGCTTCGAATGCTTTTCATTCAAAATCAACAACACCTCCTCGAGATTGGCACGAAACTGAGCAATCAGCCCGTCTTTCACAAGAAGAGCTCTTAAGTTGCGAGACCAACAATTGTCTGGCTCGTCTCGCTCAGAGAGGTCTTTGAGAACATAGCAGTATCCAGCAATGCTGGCGATTTCGCTCAATAAAATCTTGCGCTCTTTTTCAGATTCGTTTGCAGTTACAATAAACCGAGTGGCGGTGGAGGCGAGCTCCAGAACTGTAATAATTGAAGCGGCAAAGCTGAATATGTCCATTTCGAAGGTACGTACAAATAGTGATGGCATAAAATACTAGAGCAAAAAGAATTGCGACGAAGATTGCTATTTCCTCACTGTAACACAACGCTACAATGCGATAGGCACCACCACTGCACGGCACAGTGGTGGACTGACAAGGCGTTTGTTCGCCTGCTCCACCACACGAAGACCGAGGCTTATGCAAGACAGACGGGATTGACCTTTGTCAAACCCCTTTTGTCCAGCCTTCTGACTTCGCATCGGATTGTTGCAAAACATAACTGCGAATGAACTACTGGATTGCCACGCCAAGACTTCAGCCCAAACCAAATTCACTCACCGAAATTGTATCCTGAAGCAACCACAAGGATTTAATTGGAACAAAAGTCGACGCCGATTTGTGTTTCTCGATGCTAATAGTGAGGCTTTCGGATCTGATAAGCAGGCATAGGGTAAAAATAGATCATAGAAAGGATTGATATGCAAAGAACTGAAATTCGAAAGACGAGTCAATCATACTCTGATAAAATTTACATTAATCAGAAGCTATAAAGATAGAACGTGGATGGACGATCACAAAATCGCGAACAGTCGTACAAGCAAACAGCGCAAATGCGCCATCGTTGCCCAGCAGTTTTCGTCCAAACACCGTCACAAGCTCCTGCGTAAGTAGCACCTTATAGAAGTCGTTGTCTTGGGACTACCTTATTCATATCTTCTTCGTAAATCTTTGCAAGCGTTTTGCACCTTTAGTAAGGCATTTGGGCAAGTGGTTGTTTTATTATTAAATTTCTTAGAATGAGGAGTGTTTATTTACTTTGGGTCGTGTTTCGCTTAGGATGGACCGTGCTCTAAAGGGGAGCGTGAGTGGGAAATGCTTTTACAACCGTTTAGGCGTATAAAATTCTTGGCTAACTCAACATCAGGAATATTTATTTCGATATTTAACTTGCGACCCTGTCTGGATTCTGTAGCCAGGCTAACTCAATCAGCAGTCGATAAAAATAAACACCGCGATCAACCTCTCTGAGCCCTTTAGCATGCCAGGCTTTTCCTTCTTGTGCTACTCTTCGCCCGATCTCACGCCCTTCGTCCGTTGTGGCCAAGAATCTCATCAGCTCTGGCAGCTCGTCAAAGCCTAGGCTAACGGGAATATAGTGCAGCCACGGTATCAGCCGCTCGTCATGCCACTCCTTGAATATGGTGGTCTTTAACACAGCACTATTGCTCGCTAGCAAGCGGTAGAAGCGTCCGCTCAAACTGTTCCCGTCAATGTCAAAGACATATTTGTACCGGTACGGCTCCGATGACGATTTTGGATTTCTTGGTGGGCGGAAGGTCTCCTTTTGTTGTTGGCAGGCTGGTTCGTCGCATTCCGAGATTTTGGTTATGGCAACGTTATACAACGATCTATCAAAGCGCGACGTTGTGTAGGGGGTCCAGTGACTTCTTTGCTCTGCTCTTTCGAGGTATGTGAAAGATTTTTTGCCCTTTTGTCCAGCAAAATTGGAAATCTTTCCAAATCCTAGTAGCACTAACCGTTGCCGATGGTGCCGCCGCCATGTCTCGTCACGCGTATAGCTCCCGGTATTGCTTCCTGCCCAGTATAGTGCGTCTTTCTTCCGGTGCCATGACCGATCTCGCCAGGAACTGTAAGAGAATTGAGCCCAGGAGTAACTTGGCGCGGGAAATAATATGTCACCGAAGGGGTACGGAACGGCGCGTGAGAGGACGGGCACAGCACGGTCGATGTGGAGTGAATTGATGGCAGAGGCAAGATAACCGTGAATCTCCTTGAACTCAGGGTGCTTACACAAATCTGTCTCCGGAGTGACGTTTCCCACGAAGTGCAAGAGGGATTGGGTCATTAAGGAGGTTTCGGGCTGTTTATGCTCGCTGATTTTGTCACAAACACCCCACACTTGGGGCCATATAGGCTCGTGGTGAATTGTGGACCACATAAACTTCTCATCACTTTCTACCGGCGAGACTTCGACGGTCTGATGCTTTGCCAAAACCGCAGGCTCGTCCATGTAGTTGGCAATGAAAATGATATTCGGTAGGTCCTGCAGAACCTTTTCAATGGACCATGAGCGGCTCATGACATGTGCCCAAGCACCACAATCCTTGAGCTTGCCTTGAACGACAGAGCACTTTTTGATATAACCGCGGGTCTGCTCCGTGGAGTTTGCTCGTTCCATAATCCGCAAGACGTCGCTGGGCGCCATCTTCCGGAATGGCTCTAGTGACCGCATCATTTCGTCGTAGTCGTCCACGATCAGCGAAGCATGCTTCTTTGCAAAAGCAAACCACTTGTTGAACTCCGGTGGCGGGTTTCTCCCATACCTTCTCCTATATTCAACCACGGCGTCTGCAGCAGTAACAGATTGCCGCGACAGAAGATCAAAGAATTGCTTCTTAGCTGCGGCGTGCAGATTCTCTACGGGGTGAGACTCGTCTCCATCTCTTAGTCGGTAGACGAAGCCCCTCTGCACTGAGAACTTGTCTTCCCAAAATCCAAGTGTCTTGAACAGAAAGACGACAAATAGCGTCAGCAGTATGAATTCAACACACCTCGTCCGATTTGGTCGCATTTTGACTGCAGTAGGAGCGTTGGTGGTCCAGTGAAACTAGTGGTATAAGTGCTGGTAGGTGGTATCATTGCCACTGACCGTAATCTCACCAGCGAAAAACATCGATAGCACTAGACTCGCTGTCGGTGTGAAACTAATGGTGCGGCTCTGTAGCTAAGAGAGGCATTTTCAGAGAGGCTGTGGTCGAGGCAACACGCATACTCGAATTAATCAAAACGCGTACGTCATGTAATCGGTGAGGTAAGGCATAATGTTGCAGACGATCTTTGACAATATATACCTGTGCCTTGCCCTAAATTAATTACTCGTCAGCCCGTATTCGATTGTTGTCGTCATGATCGATGGGGATCCTTAACTCGCTTTACATAAAAACTTTCAAAAGCTTGGCTTTGTGAGAGATATGTTAACGGTGTGAGGCTTACTCGCAGATAGCTAAATTAAACCAACAACTGAGAGGAGGCTGACTGCAGAAAGTACGCTATACACCACCAACTGAGGGGGCGGCTTACTTGCAGAAAGCTAAGTACTTGGGTAAGTAACTTATGGGAGCCGGGCCACCAGGCACTTGGTGAGAGAACACCCCTTTTTCTCTACTTAGTTTAACTACAACTCTTGGATTGTTCTCTTAATTAGTAGAAGATTAAAGTAAAGAATATACTATCTTCGTCTAGACTCTTTGTTTTTATTAATGTTATCGTAAGTTATAGATTAAAGAAGACGCTAAAATCAAATGCTCTTGGTTTTCTTCCGCCTAAATTTTCAGGTTCAAGAGTCTATGCCGGCACTCATGAGTTACTTACCTAAGTAAGACCAACAACTGAGGGGAAGCCTGTTTCATGCATCTGCAGATGGGGAAGCTTTCTTCCTTCCCCGAGAAAACCCCTCAAGTTGTAAGTATGGTATGTTGAGCCCCATTTAAGCTTACACACGAGGTCACGCCTTCTAATGGCCTTCAAAGTCTCATGATGTAATTCCTTAAAAGATGAATTCTTTGTTCCCTGCTTCCAAGTGGTGGCAACGAGTACACAATATCCCAATTAATTTTGATTCTACTCATGACAAGTCCCGATGTCATGTCTGGTCTTATTAACTTTGCGTATTATGTTTTTTTAGCAATCGCGATGTTTGATGTTTCGCCACAAGATCGACCTGGAAATCAACCGGAACAATCCTTACCTGCACAAACTTTCTTCATTAGGCTCTTTTCACTGAAAACCCCTCTTTGATTCTTACATAGGTACGACTTCAAATGTAGTCAGACGAAACGAGCTGACTGATGTATGCTGCATTAGGCAGCTAGTACAAGAATGCGCAGTTAATTGACGTTACCTGCATGTTTATCTACACAACTATATTATATTATAGCGACAATCAAAGTGCCAAGACAAATGACAGAGATCTTAGTAACTACGATGCTACTTTATATCAATATGTAGTACATTTTATCAGATACCTTTAACTACATCGAGCAGTAGTCTTCTATTTCTTCCCTAAAAGAAGCCTTCAAAGCGACCATACCTACTAAATACTATGCCCTGAAACATCGTGTCCATCTTCTTTAAAACCATTCAATACATAGATTTTATGAGATAATATGTTCAGCCAGCGAGTTATTCGCGCTTGGGTAGCCTTTCCTGGTAAAGAGTATTTACTTTTTGATCTAGTGAATGTGATTTTATTAATTGTATATTTAGTTAATAAATTCTTCTTATGCCAATTAGCGCTTCGTAGCCATATTTGATGAAATACGGGAAATCCTCTGGTTTAAAAGCGTCTGAATAGTTTCTTTACTTTGATTCTAGATATGGACGGTAAATGTTTGCCATTTAAGTGTGCAATGTAGTAAATTGTTGATGGATTAATATACAGCAAAAGCGCCAGCTCCAGCCACGTACACGATTGTCACTTGGTGGCCAAAGAAGAACCTAACAGACATATGGTCTATTCACAACAAGGATCTTGATGTAAATATAAGATACTGAAATGCTGAGCACATTATTCTCGTCTTACACCGACTTTATCTACATATGCAACCAGGGAGGGATTTATCAGAGAAGGTTGGGATTTGCAGTCACGGAAGTTGTTGGATTTCGACTCCGTAACAAATTCCAAGCCTTTGTCCTTCTAGATAGTCCCGGTCATGGTAATCTCGTATGAGCTTTGGAGTACTACTAGGACCACATGAGGGGCACCACTCAGAATCCTTGACCATGGATCCTGCAAGCTGTACACCAGCTATTTAAGATAGAGAAGAAGCCTTTTCATCAACACAGATCCCAAGTATCTTCTTCTCTGCCACTTCGCTACCTTTTCGAATATACAGCAACTACTCTCTATCACACATTTACATACCTGTCAATATTCAAGATGCAATTCGTCAAGCTCATGCTAGTGGCCGCTGCTTCCATCCTCTCAGTGGAAGCTTGCAAATGCGTCAACCCTAACGGAGGTGCGAACAATATCGGCGTAACACGCTCCTGCTGCAGTCAGAATAAGGGAACCTTCGTGAATGGCAACGATTGCAACGCCGGCTCAATCTCAAACAGACTGAGCAACTTCAAGAACTGCTGTCGTGGCAGCGGACTCAACTCCGATTGCAGTTGCCCAACTTGCCGTGAAGAAACTGGCATCGAGTCGGTCACCAATATCACGACCGTTTTGTCCTAGGGTATGACATCTGCACTTTTCTTTCAATTACCAGTCGCTCTTTTTTTCTACTGCTTTCTTACTTAGTACAAAATCACAAGTGTTTCAGCTAATGGTTTATAGGACTTCGCTGCAGTTTCCCCGTTAGACTGTTTATTTTTCTCGTTATTGGTGAATCTTTATTCGAGCTTCATCTTGAACTCCTGGATCGACATACCATCTTGACGGGTTTATGAATATATAGGCTATTAAGGCGACAGATAGGGCGAAGGTTGATCTGAAGAAGCTTTGAGTACTAGGAACGAATTCAACTTCGTCCCAACTGGAATTGCTTTGTTTACACCTCACACTTGATAAGGGTAATATCCACTCATTTTAAGTCATTAAAATCGAGCAATTTATTGGATCTTATGTGTCATTTGCCTACTTATAACATGAGAGTGGTAGTAATTAATCGTGATTGAATCAGAGTAACAATACCGTAATACCATGCAGAAAAGTAAAGAAATATATAAAACTCCGTTTCCGATGTTCTATTTACGGACCAATGTTGACACCTCAAAGTGCAAAGCGTCTCTGCCTAATGCAATAAAAATTAGCCACGTTATCAAGATACTGCTGCAGTATGCACATGGTTTGCTTACAACCCCGTAGGAGCCCGGAGGTAATACAGCATAATTTTCGCAGTTTCCCGTTGATTATAGGCGAGGCAATTGAGTCAGACCTATATATACGAAATGAGACGCGCCATCTTGGCCGAACTTTGTTCTTCGACATGATCGCATAGCTTTTAATCCCCGCCTCTTGAAATAGCTGTGATAATTAAATATATGCTCATGAGTTTCTTTCCCAGGATACTCTGGCTGCGCCGTACTTGGCTTAGACTTGTTGTCCCTCTTCTGTTTTTCGTGCTGTCTATTGACCTTTTCCTTACCGTCGCAGTCCATCCTCAGCCAAAACGAGTGTCTGCAATAGAAACTGTTCTAACAAACATATCTAACCCTCGCATATTCATCGCCAGCATTCATTGGAACAACGAAGTCGCAATACGTTCTCACTGGGGTGTTGCCGTCCTGGACCTTGTGAGGTATTTGGGGCCTGAAAATGTCTATATCTCTATTTTAGAAAGTTGTAGTTGGGATGGCTCAAAAGACGCTTTGAGAGAGTTGGACCTCCAACTGGAAGAGCTAGGAGTGCAGAGAAGTATTGAGTTACTCGAATCGACGCACAAAGATGATATTGAGCGTACGCCAAAACCTGGGGAAGAAGGCTGGATTTGGACAAAAAGGGGGAGAAAGGAGCTCCGGCGAATACCATACTTGGCGGGGATGCGAAACCAATTGATGAAAAAATTGAATGACTTGGCGGAAGATTCGAAGGAGCGGAAGGGACAGAGGTTCGAAAGGGTCTTATGGTTGAACGATGTTGTTTTCACGGTACATCGCCCTCTACTTTGTTTAGTTGTCTTTGTACGATGAACTAATACCCATTGCAACTTTTAGACGGAAGATGTTATCACTTTGATTGCGACAAGAAATGGCAACTATGCCGCGGCCTGTTCACTTGACTTTTTGAAACCGCCCTCATATTACGATACCTTTGCTCTACGCGACATCTTTGGCGACAAAACCGTCACTCGAAACTGGCCATATTTTCTCGCTTCTCAATCGCGGAAAGAGTTGATCTCGAATGATCCAGTGCCCGTGAAATCGTGCTGGAACGGAATAGCTGTCTTCAAGACAGATCCATTTTACGATAATCCACCTTTACGCTTCCGAGGAATTTCTGATAGTCTTGCTACTTATCGTTTGGAAGGCTCGGAGTGCTGTCTTATTCACATTGACAATAGATTGAGCTCGAAGCTAGGCGTATGGCTGAATCCAAATGTAAAAGTGGCATATAATACTAAAGCCTACATGACTGTGAATCCGGAAATAGGTTCATGGCCGAAAAATATTGAGAGGGTGCAAGGAATTTGGCACAATAGATTAGCACGATGGAGTGGCTTCCCGGGGAGATTCCTAGAGGAATTTACAATCGGAAGGAAAATACGACTGTGGCGCGATGTGGAGGGGCGTAAGGAAAAAGACGAGCTCCATAACGATGAGCATTACTGTATGGTTAGCGAGACCCAAGTGGTCGTTGAGAATGGGTGGGCACACCTATGAAATTTGACGAAGTAACCTCAGTCGTTCGCTTCCCGATATTAAATTTCCACTGCAAAGAAGAGAGGAAGGAATTGCGAGTGTAGAGTAAGTAGAAAAAACAGCATGAATTATACTAGGTTAAGCATCAGGTGTCGACTGAAGATAATTTGACCCCAAGGCGACTCTGGTCAATCTTTACGCGAGATCCGGAATTGCTGAAGTCTCGATCGCTACATGAAATTGGGTTTTTTGAGCTATGATCGGGTAGCCTCTAATTAGTAGTAGGAAAAATAAGAATTCCTTCTGTGTACTTCATTGACTCATTGATCCTCCCCTTTTCTGTTCGCTTCTACACCCAAGGCACCCATTATAAAATCAGCAACGCTAGTTCCACACAATACGCAGCATATTGATGTCCGATTTGAAGGCACGATTTACATTTGAGAGCAGGGAAGATCTTGAAGATCGCATCTAGAACGCTGCATCAGCATTTCACCCGCTGTCATCTAATATGCCGCTGGATGTCTCCTCCCGCTTTTGACCGCAAGTCGTCATCTCTCGAGTTTGGAACCACGTAACAATTTTGTACGCTTCACTACATATCTAACCTCTTTCACATTCCCCAGAATGTCAATCGGTATGTATGAGTCCATACTTCGGGGCCTCCAGGTGATGGTGTATCCAAAGCTCTTGGCACACATGACTCCTGTACTTTAGCACTAGTACACCGCAAGTTGACACACCGCTCAACTTACGACGTCACAAATGCATCAGTCTAGCTAGACTATTGGCAAAATAAAGCTGATACAAATGGATGATTGTAGGAATTGTAAAGAGGGTCGGGATATGAGTGGGGTTGAGACGAATGTATGGGATACCGGGGTAAACAAAAAGGACTGGGGAGGGGGATCGCTCGGGATTTAGGAGGGTTCTTTTTGTTATTATTCCGAGCTCTGAACCCGGTAGTTGAGAAGTTTTTGTCGCAAATAAGTGAATTTGCCAATTGCTATTAAAAGTTGTTCTGCTTGTTATCGAGGAGACAATCCCATGCGTGGGTGGTGTTATTCCCATTTCTTCCGGGCAGCAAGGCGAACACTTCCATTGCGATGCTCGACCATGCCATTTAACGACTTTTGTCAACTTCTGAGTACCCACGAATGAATTAGGGTAGATTGAAACATAACTAATCGCATTTTAGAGGTGATTAGAAAATATCTCGTTCCAAGGCGTGTCTTTCGTACCACAAGGGAAACAGGAAGTGGATTATCCAACCACTACATCGATATACTAAAACAGAAACCCCGTATTTATCGCACAGTCAGCATTTTCAATTGATTTTAATGTTTTTGACAACAGAAAATTCACCCCTTTACCGTTTGTTGTTTCGCCCAACATCAAACCGCGCTTTAACTAACCTCGTTTAAACAACAACGAAGTCCCCTGCATCCACAATATCCACAACCACCTAATGCGCATCCACCTCAGCCAAATCCACAAGGCATGAATAAAAGATTCCAGGAACATCCCACGATTTCGATAAGTACCATGAGTATTATGATTGAGAAATCTCGCGGGACGATGCCGCTGCCGCTGCCGCTACCGCTGCCACGTATCCACTTGGCTTCGCTCATCTCACCTCGAACGTACTTCTACTCCAGTCTCCTGATCTAAAAAGCTGTCTAGACTTTGTCAAATATGGTGAAGTTGGCATTTATTTCTTTCTTGTCCTGAACATAATATAAAGTTTCAAACGAACATCGGTTGCACAGTACGATTCGAATCACTTCTGAGGAAAGCACTATAAATTCCCTCGTCGCCTGTGAACACCGTCTGAATCTTCTTGAGAAAGGGAAGGCAAAGTTATTATTGTTCTATCAACAACACGTCCAGTTTATCTCTGGCCATAGTTCGCTACGCTTTACGCAAGATATCAACTTCCACTTGAAGATTTCGCAAATCCAACCCCAGCAGAAAAAGATGAAAGAGTATAGTGAAGAAGCAAAGCCCCGTTATGGGGTCGTTGGCAAGAATATGGAAGATCATGTAACTGCAGGAGAGGTTGTCGGCGGAAGACATAGGAGAAGGCGGCCGTCAAGTTACGAACCCAGTGACAGCTCCCTCTCGAGGACGATTTCACCGGATTCTGGCTATGCCGCAAGGAGTTCGCCTCCTGTTTCTGACAGAAGAAGGAAGAAACGAGATTCGACCGGACAGTATTCGGGATCTCAACACGGAACCACTCAGCGGTCTTCTGACACGTCCCGTCGTTCCCTTCCCATATATATGGATGCCCGCACACAACCACCACAAAGAATATCGCCGGAATCGTCTGTAATGGAGGAACCAAGAACATTCAGACAATCTTTCGGCCCAAAGGAGCAATCAGAATCGAAACGACACTGTCGAGATTCATCACAACCTTCCCGTAGCTCGTCTCTCAGGGAGTCACGACAACACATCCGCCGCGAAAGATCCCCTGTGCCATCTAAGCTCGGATCCGCCCGAGACGACGACATAAAACAGTATCATCGGAGAAGTATGGGCGATGATTTGTCTATCAGAGCAGAACGTGAAGCAAGATCAAAAAGACGGGAGAATATGGGTTATGAGGAGTATCCGCCACGCAGGTAAGCGAAGAAATCGATAGTACCCAGGTATTTGCTAAGCAGGAATCGACAGATATCCCTCACCTCAGCAATCTTCTGAAACTAACAGAGAAAAGGGGGTAAGATTTTTAGAAAAGGCAAAGTGGCTTGCACTACTCCCACTAGCTTTGCGTGCAATTCATATTGTCGCGGAGCCGAGCGGTGGGTGGGAGCAGTATTTTCAAGGGGATGAGAAAATGCCAAAAGCGCCACGGTCGAGAAAATAGATGGGGGCGCGTGATAGGTCGTCCAACTTACCTTTTGATCTAGAATGAGTTTGGAATATTTGACAAGATGTGCCATTTGGGCCAATTGCATAGACGAAATGACATCTTGGGATTGTTCGGCAGTGAGTTTCGGCGAGATCGTGCTAAGTGTTTCTCTTGATGATCCATTTGATGAATAATGATGGGAAGATGAAAACGGGGGTGTCGTTGGCGTTTCGTAGCATCTGAGTGTAATATGAGCGATTTGAAACTTATGTTTGGTCATTGATTTACATTCTTTTGTGTCTATTGTGATACATTGGTTTTTGGCAACTTTGTTGAAACGGCCTTCAATAGTCTAGTGCGATAGTTGAGGTTTGAAGTCAACAAACACCTTCAGTCGGAAAGATGCGTCTTTCAAGATCATCTCTCACAGATAATCTGCATCGACATACCACTCGCCTTTCCAATTGTCGCCCAATACCGTTTCTGGGGTAATAGGCGCATCCAGCTGCAATCCAAATGCTGCCCTCGGACCCGACCCGCCACTTACACTCCCAGGTCCGGTATTGTTATATTCCGCCAATGTAGAATTGACAGTATTCTCACTCCCAGGAACCGTAGACCAAGGTTTCCAGCCCTCCTTAGCAATCACATCTGTCAAATACGTATATTGAAAAACAACTCTCGCGAAAGCCTTCCAAGGTCTACCAAGAGCGTTACTTCCGGCAGGGATACTGCTATCAATGCCCGCAACTGTGGAGTTGTTAATGACGAACCAAGCGTTGGTAGCAGCGTCGAGTCTTCCAGAGGCTGTTACCCAACCTTCGGCTATCGTGCGGATATCAACTTGTTCGAACCAAGCTGTGGAGTATTGGCCGAAGATGAAATCGATGGCGCCTACGATGAGGGACTTGGCGTATAGTTGGTTCCCGCGATTTGCGAGAACGGTGTCCTGATAACCCCAAAGTTGAACGCCATAATAGCCTTGATTTGTCACTTGAGCTGAGAGTGCGAGATTCTGTCCATTGGTATTTACGTGCCCGAAGGTGTTTTTGATGTTCAGGTTGTAGAATTTTGTATTTGGGTTCCAATTACGTACAGTGGCTGTGAGGTCGTTGTTTGTTGCATTGAGGCGTGAGAGATTGAAGGTTATTGTGGCGGTGTTAGCGTGGTAGCTTCGAGCATCAGTTGTCCAGCCTTGGATCGTGAGGTTTGATTTAAGCAGTGGGATGTAAACTTGTTCGGTGTATGTGCCTGGATAGATGAAGATTGTTTGTGGGGTTGTAGTGGTGAAGGATAGTGCAAGTACTGCAGCCTGAAATGATGGGTAGGAGCCGTAGGAGTACGGCTTACTATTGTCGACAATGATTGCTCCTGATGGCGGTGTGACTCGTGCATAAGGACCTGGAGTAGGTGCTGCTGTGTTGATGCATGTACATGCACTTGATATTCTCGATGGAAGATTTGAGCATGCAGAAGCCCAAGTTGGAAGTGCAACTGATGTTATTGCAACTGTGTATGTTGTACAAAACTCGCTCGCTGGAGTAGGACGGGCGAGCATAGCGCGCTGAATCATGTTAGTGGAACAGATCAATTCCAAGATTTAAAGAGACTCACCAAACAATTATCGGAATTGCAGGCCGCTCTCTCACCGAGTCCAGGACTGGCTGAGACGACCCCCAGAAACACCGCAACTGAAATCAAAAGTCTCATATTTGGTCTTGGATATCATCAACTAATCACCGAGAACTGAAGTGAAACCTTAGAAGTGAGTAGACTACAATCTTCCAAATTCTGGCCAGCCGCCGCCGTTTTATTCATAGTGACTTCGGATAAACTCGCATCACCCCTCATCTTGCCCAGATATTGCCTTGGACAGCTGGGATGAGATCAATCGCATGGGCAATTGAAATTAAAATTTTCCGGATATCATAGTCCACTAAGAACATAGCACGGGGTCATCAAAGACTACAAATCCTGCACTCCACAGGACCGTGCTTATGGTAGCATAGCCAAAACCAGGTAGGATATCTAGGGTACAGCTGGAAATCTTGTTGTAAAACTTTCAATAATATTTCGATGCATGGTATAGTAGGCGATGAGGTAGCTAAAAGTTCCGGTAGACCCATGGACTTGGGAAGAATAAAAACTCCTCCAATTGCAGCTTGCGGGGACCTGGGGTACGCGGGGTAGCAATGCCACTAACGATTTCTATCCCAACATCGATGCATCTGGATTTTGAAGAATACGATGCATTACTGGTCTTGAAAAGAAAAACCTGACCACGGTACAGATAGGAAACTCGTTATCGCTGGTCTTCATTCAAGTAAAACAGCAACGCAACATAATCATACCCATCAAGACGGGATTTCCAACGTGTGAAGATATTTTACAAGCTCACTCTCAGAATATCACCATCCATGACTTACTTCTCTTCTCCGCTCCATGAAATATAACTTCAATATTCTAGCAGCAAGATAAAGCCCTGTGCCAATTTCAAAAAGTTTATCGCATCGACGACCCACTAAGAACATCCTCTAATGCTAAAACGGACACGAAAAGGCCAGTAGAGCTATGTCTATGCATGAAAATGCATAGACATAGGTTTAGAAACTGCTCGGTATAGCTTCGTTTCTATCCGATGCTTCAGAATGTGTGCTTGCGGTTCGAATACTTGTCTTTTATAGTGTCGATGCCGACAAAAGATCTTGGCGACCTCGGTCCTTGCTCAGTGCCAAAAGACTCTTATATACCTCATTCGAATTATTCTCAAACATTCCCTACCGTACAATTTAAAGTTTTGCATTCATCTATCATCCATTTTCACTCGAATTCCACATGGTAGTGATTGTGTCTCGTCAGAACTTAGAAGTATTACTCTGTAGCACCGAAACTCTTGGCAAGAAGCTTTTCCTATTTCAGATGTTAAGTAGACCTTGAAGTGTGAGATAATGAGAATTAATGAATCTCATACCAATCCAGTGGCCTTGAAGCAAAATCAGCTAATTTGTATGTTTAAGATTGACTGAGGTCCCACTTCGCGATCATGGAAAACAGGAGAAACGTCAACTCGAGGAAATGTCTGCAAAATAACAAATTATCATAATTTGATTCTAACATTAAATATTATACTCATGCAACTATAGTCAGAGACCAAAAAACGACAAAACACTGAAGCTGCGAAATAAATCTAGGGCAAAAATAGTAGATCCGAAACATAAAACCCACCCAGACAGCCTATATGTTCCCTCGTCGGCGTAAACTCCGTTGCCAATAATTTCCGAGACTAAAGGCTCCTATCCGTTGACTCGTGCTAGTTGCTTATTCGAATCGCGCGAGCTCGCTGCTTGCGGACTCGATGTGTAGCAATGGACGAAAACACCGTAAGAACAAGATACAACAAAAGCAACGCTACGGAAAGAGCAACTCTCACAAAGACAAGTTTCTCGTCACGTTTTGGGAGGTTGTTTCCCTGCCAGTTTATACCGCAATCACCCGCTGTATCACAGACGCCCCAGAATATCCCCTGCGGAATCCAACATCCAAAAAGTACCAACGATATGACGAAGAAAACGATTGGATTGGCGAGCGAGAAGTGAAATGCCAACAACTTTCCAATCGCGATGAAGAATGTCGCTATCGGAGAGGAGAATTCGTAGAAAAACATTGTCCTGTCTCTGTTAGTTAGGTTCGTCTTGTGGTTTCTGGAAACAGCTGCTTACGCAAGACTAGCACGATAGCGATCGTTTTTCAACGTCGACAACATATCGTGCATCAATACTGAGCTGATAATAATCATCACTACAAGTGCTAAAAGCTCAGCATATATTAAGTGCAATGAGTGTCGAATCGCTCCTTTCCAACGCGCATCGATCCTGAAATCTGAGAAATGCATCACGGTTCTCGAGCCGCGACTACTTTGTTTTAACAGTGGTCGTTTGTTCAGTGGTCTTTGGTGAAAGTATAGATGTGAAGGGAAAATAGGTCCAAAAGAAAGTAGCTGGAAGGTTTTCGCGAAAGACTGCTCGGAATGTGAAAATTAAAAATTGGCTAGAAGAGAATAATTATCGCGTATTGAAATTTCAGAAAGGATTTTACAAAAACAGAAATCACCTGTTTATACTATGGTAGAATTCTACTGTTGATATTGTCTGCCTACTGAAGTGGCTGTGTTGTTGGTTGGTAGGTGGCTGCGACAGTTTGACAGTCGAAGAACGCCTTGGGGTGGTGAAGCTAAGCGAAAACACGTACGGAAGGTACCTTCTGTTGGACGTGTGGCGACAGAAACCTTTCACTTGATGGAGAAAACAATGTTATCGCACAGCAATTTGGTTTTTTTAGCATGATGCGGCCCTCACTCAATCCTGACTTTACCCACAGTATAGGGCATGCTGATAAGATAAGTTGGAACGGTCAGTTGCTTAATGGCTATGACTTACCAGAAACCCATCTCCATATTTCCTTTAACATTCTTCAGAAAGAAGTCATTTATTCTTGTCCTCTCAAATGCGAGTGAAAATGTATCGCGATCTTCAATGTTCGGGGTTCGCTGGACTCTTTTTATTTTCAAGGTATGCTACAGTCTGTAAAGATATCTGGAAGAAATGAATTAATAATGGAGAACATTAACGTCAAGTATAGAGAAGCCAAACATGATCAGCTGGAAGATTCATTAGCATATATCGCAGTGCTGACTGTCCGAATTGGGAAAGTCCTGCCGCACTGCTTGGGTTATAGTGTAGGGTCCGATGAGACGCCTAACTCTTGGAATCGAACGCCTCTATTTAGTCCATGTTGTGAAATATAACACCCCAAAGTCCTGGAGTGTTTTCGGTAAATTGCGATGTACGGATCAATTTCAGCTTTCGATTCTGACTTCACGAGGTTGTCAAAATCCGTCTCAAAGCCTTACATTCACTACACAACCTCCAATCCCCCAAACTCACCACCGGTTTTTTCTATATATCTTCTGTTATGCTAGTTGACTTCTACAAATCAAAACGGTTCGACATATCGACACTGCTTGAAAACGACGCAGGTTTCATTCCGTTCGTTCCGTCTTGTTACTTACTCCAGATTAGAGTTACAGCATTGAGCGGGAAAAATTCGTTCGATGCTCAGTATTTGACTTGAGAGTAAGCGTTGGTGTTCCATCTTTTGTCGACAGAAAAACAACTGTCATTAGTGTTTAATCATGCTCCTAGTGCTGCTAGAATCTCGACTGATAAATATTTGATGGACTTTATTACTACTTGTCGGAAGAGTGAGGCCAGCTGGTAATTCTTGAGCTGATAAGAATTCATTGCACACCTACCAACTTCATTACTCCTAAAACATGCTCCGAAGTCAAAGGTGAGTTTCACTGAATTGCTTTTCATGGTATACGCTCCTGCAAAAAAAGCTATCTTGGGAACCAGGGAATAAATTGAATGGTTGAGTCATCGAGGACGACAAACTTTGAGTCGGGCAGCGGATATAGTGTACGAGAAAAGAAAAGAAAAATATCTAGAGATGTGAGCATCATTCAAGAAAAAAGAAACCCTTGAAAATAGTTATTTCAGGGGCTCGGCTCCCCTCGTTCCCACATCACGTGACTCAGTATTTCGAAATGCTCATTAGCTTTCCTTGACGTTATACATACTTCTTGTTAATATTGATACTTTTGAATGCACAGAGTATAATCACCACCAGCTTTCAAGAAATATTCTTGCTTTTGGTGCTACTTATATTCAGTCACATGGTTGTGGCACTGTCTATATGCTTCAAGCTTTGACCGAATTGTGGAGAACCTTGCCGCCCCATGCAAAGATGAAGATCTAGACGCTCGCAATCTTAATTTCGCCTGCAAAATGGTTTAGCTCTCAGCCTCAAACTCCTCTTTTAGCAACTCTCCACGAATGCATCCACTTCTCCTGTTTTGTTTTCCCCGAAATATTGAAGCTAGGTACGAATGCGGCAATAATCATTTCTACCCGCCTCGAGAGAAGAGCTGAGGATGTACTCCACTATGTCACGGACTTTGAGGATATACTTCGACTGCCCGTGAGAATTTCTCTTGTTCTTGTTTTTACTCTTTCAACCATTCACTCTTTCATGGTCGTTGTGTTGAGATTGCTGCTATCCTAGTCTGCTTCTCTAGTCATTCGTTTTTGCTCTTTCGTCTAGTCATTCATTAATTTTTCGACAATGAGAGTTTTAATTGTTCTTGCTGCGGTGGCAGAGTTGAGTCTGGCAGCCGTCTACCCTCGACAAACTATCAGTCCGTCGTTGGTTACCTCAACCTACGCCAGCACCATCACCAACGCAGTAACACGTACTACCGCTGTTCCTGTCACTTCAACAACGTGCGTGGCAGACACCAAGATCCCTTCAGGTCTTGTTTGCACAAACGCTGTCTACTCCTTGACTGGCGGTAATTACTACTCACAACAATGCTCTGGTAAGCAATCAGCTTCCTCTTTCCATCCACTGATAAATTACGAGAAGCAAGAAACTGACTCAACATTTTCATCTAGCATCCTTAGTTGGCGGAGTTAATATCCGTGCCTATGTCGAACCCGTCGGAGCTGGTAAGTCTTTCTCCTTTCGTATGTTCAAGGAACTTCCACTCATGTTCTATAGCTGCCACCAGTATTTGTGCTTCCTTCTGCAATGCGCTAAACAACCTTAACGTCCCCGCAAGCTCGTGTAACGGAATTGTTTTCACAACCATCGGTGCCCTCTACCAATGCTTTTTGCGAAATGGACCTGTGACGGTTGTTCCAGGTCCTGCAAATGTGTTTGCTCTCCAGCAATTCACAACCAACCCTTGCGTGGGAGTCGTGACTTCCGCTTCGGTAGAGACGATTTATGTTACAACCACAACAGCGTACGAGGTTGTTTATACTGTGACACCTTTATCGTCATCTACAATCTCCTCAAGCTCGTCTTCATCAAGTGCTAGCTCGTCGGTCCCCACAACTTCCAGCTCGAGTGTCGTCAGTTCAAGCTCAAGCTCCTCTAGCTCGTCTTCCTCAATAAGCAGCTCAACGATTTCTACAACTTCTAGCTCGAGTGTAGAGAGCTCCACGTCAAGCTCCACAAGCTCTTCTTCCTCTGCTTCAAGCTCGTCCTCGTCGAGCAGCAGCTCATCGCTGTTCACATCATCCAGTTCGAGTGTCGCAAGCTCAACTTCAAGCTCCACAAGTTCCTCTTCCTCATCTACGAGCTCCTCCCTGCCAACTACCACCAGCTCGACAATATCTAGCAGCAGCTCATCAAGCACTCCAACCTCCGCGTCCACAGCCTCGCTGAATACGACATCTTCTGCATCGACTACTTCCCCGTCTTCGACATTGTCGAGCTTGGTGTCTACAACCCTCGCGAGTTCCGGATCATCGACTGTCTTGAGCGCCAATACCACAATTATATCTTCGCTTCCTTCTTCCACAAGCTACCCGTTCACGAACTCGACAATCACAATTCCTTCGACAATTACTCCTGCATCCTCAATGATTCTCTCTACCGGGTTCATGACTACCGTTTCTCCGCCTGTTGTCACGGTGACTGTGACGCGTATGCCGGATGACGGAGGGGATTGGACTGCGGGAGAAGATGAATGTGTGTGGGTGCACTGAGAAGTATAAATAATGGATCACTCCGTAGAAGTTTTGAATAGATTTGAGGTGTAAATAATTAGAGGAATGTAATGGAGCTATGCTATGTATATACTTAATGTGTAATGTAAATACAACGACATTGTAGAAAATACTTCTAACTCTAAGAAAGAGTGACCACTCTGCTAAAAGCTACAGCGGAATCCTTCTAAAGTCTGCAAGCGAGAACTACAATTGACACACACTTTCCGGCCAAATATTAAGCTGGCGATGATTGAAGAGTACCCGACCTCCCCGGAATCTCATTGTACGCAAAGATGAACTGCTTTCAATGGCATGAACCGCCACCCCATCAAAAGATATACTGATCTAAATGTTAGCACACCAGTTTCAGGTACCAGTCAGCGTACTCACCGGAACAAACAACCAAGGAACCATCTTCTTATACTCAACCCAACTATCCCCATACTTAACCTCACACCTCCTAACATCCCTCCTCGCCCGATGCGCAATCATACACGTAAAGAAAACCGGATAAAACCAAGGAAACGGGCTCTTGAACCCCGCCAACACAGCCCAAGCAACCGCAAAATAGACGTCGCAGGTATAATGTATCTTACGCGCATACTTGTACCATCCATCAACCAACAGATTATCTCCAGTGGTGGTTTTAATGAATTTTGGATTTTTTAGGGTTTGCCATGGGAGTTGTGGGAATGCGCTCCGGGGGACGAATGTCCCGGCTTGATGGGCGCGGAAGTTGTTTTTTTGGCTGTTGATCGTGTCCCAGATCCAGTAGACTATCAGATAAGATGTAAAAAGGCAAGTGAGGAGGAGGGTGCGGAGAGAGGGATATGTCCATGAAGTTATGGTGGAGAGATGGTTTGCAGTGTAGAGGATTGCGTGGCAGTAGCTTAGGGGGACGCCGGCGAGGTTCCAGAAGATGAGCATGAAGCCCCACTTTTCGTAGTAGATGTCCCTGAGATATGTTAGTTTGTTGTTTATTGAGTTGATTCAACACGTGCGGATTTCATACCACGTCGTGGTAGTGCACTCCTCCCCCTTCGCACACGCATTCGTGTACAGGAAATGCGCCATCACCAAGAACCACAACTCCGCAGACACATATCCATATTGATCATACTGTCTAGCAGCAGCCGCACAAGAAAGAGCTAAAAGAATATTCCACGGCAACCTGAGCATGAAAAACATCTTCAGGTCGAGGATACCGAACAAGCGAGGATTGAGCTCCGCACCCATCCAGAAATCATAGATAAAGTTCCCACTCATGCGGTGTTGAGCACCTCGAATGATCGCTGAGAAGTATGCGATAAAAGCTACGACGAAGCCTGAAATGATGGCTACTGACATAATGGGTCCGAATTCGTCGAGGAGTGTGTGTAACTTGAACAGGCCTGTGAGGTGAAGCGTGCCAGCTGTGATGATAGTGACCCATAGTGACCAAACTCCACTGCAATAGTACTTCAGCTGGACACCCCCTAAATGATGAAGTGGCTTTCCCGTGCTCCAGACACCGGGGAGGAGGCAATAGCATGCTGCTTCGAAGACGATAAATGACCAATAGATCTTCCACGCTCGGAAGGATGGGAATGCTTCTTCATATACTAAACTTCCGAGACTGCTAACAAACTCCGTGATAGACTGCTGTGACCGAGGGAGTGGGAGTTTTCCATCGTAAAAGGTTGCGCCAATCCACATGTAATACATGAGGAGAGGAAAGAAGATCATCATAGCACTTACGCCCCATGGCCCGCCAAATTCGTAGTGGGATGCAAGATCGACTTCAAGAGCTGACTGGGCTCCGGGCTTTTCTGAGTCGGTCGAGCCAACGGTTGGAGATTTAGATAGGCCATTATATGCAGCTCTAGCTCTGAGTGTGCTGGTTTCATCGTTGTCTCGACCAGAATACCTATGGCAGTATTAGACATCTGGTAACCATTTTGTAACGACGATGACCTTACCACAATTTCTGATCTCCTTTTGGATGATCCTCTAACATGGCGGGTTTTATTTATGTAAATTTGGAAGAAATAAAACTAAATGTAACTGGACAAACGGAGTTAGAAAAGTTGGGTTTAGTCACTAAGTATTTAAAAATATCACCCACGACGCCACGCCACATCAAGCCAACGGTGATTAATTTTCCATGGATTTCCGCTTTTCCGATCCACTTGTCAAAAGAATCAAGGACTAGTGACGCTGAAAGTGTTCATTTACCCTAAACTTGTGTCGACAACCAATTTGGTTGGAATGGGTGGACCGTCCCACGGACGCCGTGGAAATCCGTGGCGTTGCTCCCAGGAGTGTCGAATTATGCGGAGTTACAACGCTTACCTATAAGGTTATGCACAGTATGAAACCAGACTTGTTTTCACGATAGAGAAAGATCTGAGCCGATATGGCAGAAGATACGAAGAATGTATGCGCTGTTCTGTTTTCATAATTTGGTTTTCGCCTATAATTTAGTCGGGGTGAAATTTCGTCGCTTAACTGCATCAACCAGTGAGCTTTGCGAAGTTATGGAATTGTTCTCCACCATAGTCAAGTCAAACTTAAGAAAACAATCAGTCGCAGACTAACATGATCATCTCATTACTTTTCATTCATATACCGGGGAAATGTTCGCTAATTCTACATCTTCCCTCTAACACCCCTTTACTCAACTCTCCCCTCAATAACCCTCCCACCACCTCCATCCCTCCCCCTCCCATCCCCCTTCCCTCCCGCCTCCCTAGGAAGCACCAAATTCAAGAACACCCCAACAACAGCTCCAACAATAAACGGTGTCTGCACAATCAAATTGATACCCTGCTCAAAACCTTGCAACCTAACATTATCGCCCTGATAATCCAGAACCGAGGAGAACCACGCTGGCTGCACGATATCCATAAATCCGACGCCCAAACTCGCTGTGAGAACGAAACGATTACGGCGGTTCCACTCGATGAGTCCGAGGACACGGATACCGGCGACGGCGATGGTGCTGTATAGGAATACTTGCATTCCTCCTAAGACAGACGGAGGCATAGATCCAAATACGGCACCAAATTTGCCGAAGATTCCCATAAGTATCAAGAAGGCGGAGGCGCACCATCCGGCGCGTCGAGAAGCGCAGCCGGTAAGGGAGATGACGCCATTATTTCCAGCTTGAGAGACCATGGGCAGTCCAGTGCCGAAGGCAGACAGAAGGGAGCCGAGACCATCGCAGAGAATACCGCCCTGGATGCGTGAGTTGAATTGGGTGCCTTCGATGTCGACGGAGGAGATTTCAGCTGTGGCGAGGATGTCGGGCATGCAAGAGACAGCTTCGCAGATGAACATTATGAGAAAGGGGAGGATGAGGGCGCCGTCAACTGAGAGTTTGAAGGTGTGAACCCAGAGGAATGTGACGGCGGGGGCGGCGTTGATGTTGGTTACGGACCACTGGGGAGTGTTAGTCGTGGGTTTGGTGTGGGATTTCACGAGAAGTGAGGATGGAAAGCTGAATTGCTGCCGACTAGGAGTGGAGAAGGTGGGGAAGAAAAACTTAATGAAAGTTTACGTACGTAGCCTGTTGCACCTGAGATGATACAGCCCATGGCGAGGCCTAGAACTACAGACGCAGATTTCATAAGCGGGGAGCCAAATTGTTCGACAAAAATTACGGTTATGAAAACACTGAAACCGAGGCCAATAAGTTTTGGATCGCCCCTATGGTATGTTAACATCTTCATCGCTTAATTGGACAGGACCAGACATACCAAGGAAGTGGTTTAGGAGCCGAGATACTAGGGCAAAGTTCATAGAAGCCAGAGCCGCCGTTACAATTTGAACTCCCACCCCAGTTTTGCATGCCACTATTGATAAGGTAGACACCGACGAGAAGGAGTAGACTGCCGGTTACTGTCTTGGGGAAGATTTTGTTAAGCTTCTTGGGTGGGACAAGGGACATCCCGATTTGGATCCACACAGTGCAGAGCATGCTTCCTAGAATTGCACCCCAGGCGTCGGGACATGGCAGTTGGGTTCCATCGTCTGCAGTCGGACAGGTGCCATTTTTGTAGCGCATGGATGTGTAATTTATGGCGATGGGAATGATGTCGAAGGTAGGTCCGACAACAGAGAGAAGCCCGGTTCCAATGTAGAAGGGGGTTTTGGCAATGTGTACTCGGGTAACTTGGAGGGCTGTTGAGATTCCAGTCGTGATGAAAGCGGCAGAAACGAGGTATTGTGTGATAGTCGGATCGAAGTTGAAAGCGCCACCTGCGATTGCGAGAGGAGGTGACACGATGGAACCGATCATTGTAAGGGCATGTTGGAGACCGAGAAGTATCGTAAGAAGAATCGGGATTTCATCATTGAGGCCATAGAAAGGAGCGACATAGTCTTTGTATTTGCGATTGAGAGGCCAGATATTTGGGGTGATCAGATAGACGTAGTCCTGTGAAGAGTCAGTAATGTTTGAATATGGCAATGAGCATAATTGCACTAACATAGTCACCAATCCATCCTTCCCGACTTGTAAAATAGTGTTTCAAGTGTTGCCACTTGTTTTGCTTCAATTGCTGGCCGCTCTCCTCAAAAGAAGGAGCATATTGAGCAATAATCTGCTCTTGCCCGAGCTTTTCATCGCTAGCGGAAGAATTCATGGTCAGTCGGTGGCCAAAAAAGAATGATGCCAAAGTGTGATGATTGATCTACTTACTTTCAACGTGGAAATTTGTCTCCTATTAACGTTTTCACATTTCTCATCAAAATCAACATAATTGACAAACATCATCCGCGAAGAAGCTGATGATAGATAGAAGAAGAAGTGGGAGTGATAAGCTCCAGGAGTTCTCCGTAGCCAATCAGCAGTCTGGGATTGGAGGTTATCAGAGTCGGAGTCGCCCGAACCACCAAGATATCTGGGGAACCCCTGAGCTTGGGCCTCGCTTCCATCTTGCCCTGAGATGGCGTCTGCAGGTGGAAAGTTTGAACATCATGGATGAACCCGAAACTCTTCGTATCTTTTGATAATTGAGATACTCGGTGGATTCCTATCCACAAATAATTCCTGCATTTCCGGGGTTTAGGTACGACAGTATAGTAAGTTGGGCAGTGCAGAATGCTTTAGCGAGCAAGGACTTTTTTCCAACACAGCTGAAGCCTTTCTATTGCGTCGAAACACGAATGAATAGCTGGAAGAAAACAACACTTTAGGTTTCATCTTCGAGTAATCCCAATAAAATCAATCTGTCAGGATGTCGTCAGCAAGGTCAACCCTTTACACAAACGCAACAATCCTCACAATCAATTCATCACGGGACATAATCCTCGACGGAGCCATTCTCGTCACTGGAAATCGAATCTCAGCAATTGGCAAGACAACTCAACTTTCCGAATCACCCCCTAAGGATACCAAAGTCATCTCGCTTGCAGGTCGCATCATTCTCCCTGGACTCATCAATACACATTCTCACCTCGCTCAGTCCCTGTTGCGTGGTTTAGCAGAGGATCTCCCTCTTCACTCCTGGCTATGCGATGCCGTATGGCCTCTTGAAGCATGCTACGATGCCGATGATGGATACGTGGCTGCTCGGTTGACGATTGCAGAGATGTTGAAGTCTGGGACAACCACCTTCCTAGAGAGCATGCTGACCCATCGATCCGGGTTTGAAAACGTTGTGAGAGCTGTTAGTGAGAGTGGAATTAGAAGTTGTCTTGTGAGCAGTGCGATGCCTTTGAGATAAAACTTGACTGATTTTAACAGGGAAAATTGGTGAAATTCGAGGAAAGCAACAAGAAATTAGGTATCAAAGACCCTCGGGATAAGGATGTCGATGCAATGTCTATTTCCTCAATGCTTGCTGCGCACTCGAAACATCATGACTCCTGCAACGGCCGCTTGCAAGTCTGGGCAGCTGCTGGAACACCCCGTGGATCTCCTCTCACATCGCATCGTGCTATTGGCGAAGCCTGCAGAGAGCATGACATTGGACTTACGATGCATTGCGCTGAAGCTCCCAAAGATCTCACCATCTATAGAGACAGTTACGACTGCACGCCAATGGAGTTCTGTGAAGCAGCTAAACTCACGGGTCCGAAAACTGTACTCGCACACATGGTTCATCTTGAACTAGATAAAGATCTTCCGATACTAGCGAAAACAGGCACGACAGTCGCACATAACCCGAATAGCAATCTGAAACTTGCGTCTGGGATTGCAAAGATTCCCGAGATGTTGGCAGCAAACGTAAATGTCAGTCTTGGGACCGATGGAGCTCCTTGCGGGAATACATACGATATGTTTCGCGAGATGCATCTTGCCGGTATCCTTCATAAGGGCGCCAATCTTGATGCTTCCATAGTAGGCGCGGAAGAAGCTTTGGAAATGGCAACTATCAACGGCGCTAAAGCCCTTGGCTTGGAGAATGAAATTGGAAGTTTAGAAGTAGGAAAGAAGGCTGATTTCGTGGGTTTGAATCCTCAGAAGCTCCACACAGCTCCGTACAACGCAGATCAGATCTTGAAAGGCGGCATGAGTCCTGTTACTACAGTAGTATATAGCTGCACTGGCGCAGATGTGGAGCTTGTGGTTGTCGATGGAGATATATTGGTAGAAGCTGGAGAGCTGGTGAAGATGAATGAAATGGTGATCAGAGAAGCGGCTGAAAAATCCATTGAAGGTATCCGAAGCAGATCTGGGATTAAAGCTGTGAATAGGAAGGGGTGGAAATATATATAATCTGAGGCAAAATATTTTTTAATTCAAGATCATTGACCATGGGTCGACTGTAATCTTTGGTGACTTCGCAGGTGCTTGTTGTAAGCAGTAGCTCGACGTTAAGATAAGCTCTATATGATTGAATGCTGAGACATTGAATACCAAGAAATCAGACGACGGAGCGATAGCAAACGGAGCGGAAGCTGAATTTTGTTGTTCTTGCGATGCAGAATGGCGACACCGAGGTGGAACTCACGATGGAGTTTATACACTTCTCGTATGTATATCATGCAGCTATGAGCGATCACAAGCCTTGGATGTTGATGAAGTTTTGTAAATTGATGTGTTCTGGTCGAAGAGGTTGGGGAAATAATTACTGACGCAATCTCGCCGACAGGGGTAGTTCCTTAGCGCCTCCACTGAGCAAGCTGCCACATATTGCCTTTGGCCGCACAACGAACACCTCCTCAAAGCTCTCGAGAATCAGTAATTGCTCTTCAATTCTCGCACTCGTCCCTTCGAAACAGCTCTGCTTCGACTGTCTCATCTATTCTTCATCATGACAATGTACAGATACGCAGCTTTTGCCTTGCTGGCGCTCCGTGCTGTTGGCGTGCTTGCTGCAGAAGAGGTATGACATAGCATGCTAATACATCTTTAAAATCGCTAACAGCTTGACTTGTAGGCAGAAGTACCCGTCGATACACCAGCACAGACTCCAAACCTCGCAGTCTCGGTGTCTGCATCCTTCCCATCTGCCGAAGTCTTTGGTGTGAAATTGATCAATGGGCACGCAACCCAAGCTCTCCTAGACTTCACCAACAGCGAGCCAGAGCCCGTACAAATTGCTCTGGTCGGCGGCGCATTATCTACTCTGCGACCATTAGCAAAGGGAGCTCATCCAAGCGCTTTGATTGTAAAGAATATCACGGCTACGAAATATGATTTGGAGTTGCCAGCCGGAGAGAAGGCTAGCTTGCCATTTACTTTCACGACCGATTTACACCCGGCGGATTTGAGATTGAATTTGATCGCAGTGGTGACGAGCAAGGCGGGGACTGTTTACCAAGTTCAGGCTTTCAACGAGACTGTTACTGTTGTCGATGCTGCTACCAGCATTTTCGATCCTCAGATGCAAGTACACCGACTCCTGCTTTGCCATGTTCCGTGCTAACTGTATCAGTATCTTCTTGTACCTCGTTCTCCTCAGCGGATTTGGCGGAACCCTTTACTTCGTCTACAAGACCTGGATCGAGACTCTCTTCCCACAAACAAAGCGGGGCGGTAAGGGTGGAGAGAGAGCTAAGCGTTCATCTGGTGGCTCTAAAAAGGCTGTTGATCCCAAGGACCAGGTCTCAGTTATTGGCGCCGATGGACCAGCTGTTACTACCGGTGCTCTCGCCCAGAAGGCTTATGATGAGAGCTGGATTCCAGAGGGACATCTTAACAGACCAGCTGCCAAGCGCGTCAAGAGTGGCGCTTCTTCCAAGATGAAGTAAATCATCCATTACGAATGAAGATTTTTCCAATTGAATTGGCAATTTTGGAGATAAGAAGCGGAGAGTCAGATAGTGGTTGAGATGTACGGGATTTATGAAAAGCATGGGTGGCGCTGGCTGGGTGATGGGCTTGAAAGCGATGTATTATACAACAAAAGTCAAACAAATAGCTGTGGAAAATGGTAAACATTTGTCCCCACGCCTGAGATCCTTTCCCTGCTTGTTTTTCATTTTGACCGATTCGCAGGGAGCCCACTTTCCTGCGAAAGAACTTGCCCCTTCCACCTTTCGAATGCTTGTTTGATATCAAAACCCATATTCCTTATATCACTTTGGTCGCTGACAGACATTTTGGACATGTTCTTGTGAGAATTGGAAGATACAAATTGAAAGCAGCTTTGCGGACGGTGTTCAGGAGAAGTTGAATATTTCTTGTAGCTTGTTTTTCCACTTTGGAACATATACTCGCATTGACGTATGAAGCAGAATCTCGTTTTTTCTGTTACTGTAAGTTACACGGTCAATTATATTTTCGAGGTGGACCCTAAATGACTTTCCAAAATCCTCTTTGTCTCCGACACGTGCCCAAGCTATATTGTCACGTTAATATCCCACTCCAGATTTCCCCACATCGGAGCCATCCGCTCTGATAAGCGATATCTCCACTTCCGGTATCCAATCATTTGGGATGAGATACGAACGGAGACAGCCGCTGATACTGTTTGATAGCATCGATACGAGGAGGTTGTTGTATTTTGCGTTTGAAATTTTGAGCTTGGGAGAAAAGGGAACATGTTAGATTGATCTTATGTGAGTTAAGCGAGGCGAGAGATATATAGAGTGAGTTCCTCGTCTTTCAGAAGTTTGTATTTGCTGATCAAGTCACAGTGAAGAAGCAACTACACTGTCAATCACTTGATATCAAGATATTCAAACATCACCAATATTGCAGTCAAAATTACTGTAAACCCTTAGCACAACAATATCATCCTCAAAATGGCTCCAACAAAATACACCACCCGCACCATCCCCAAAATCTCCCTCCACGACTTCCCCAACCGCATAGAAGAAATCACCCACTCCCTCATCACCGCCGCCCAAACCGACGGTTTCTTCACCCTCACAAATCACACTATCAGCACCCCCGAAATCGAATCGCAATTCGCCCTCTCTGAATCCTTCTTCTCCCTCCCCTCCGACACCAAATCCCTCGTCCCCTTCTCCCACTCCAACACCGGCTGGGAAGCCAACGCCCAAGTGCGACCCTCAACCGGCTTCGCCGACCGCAAAGAAAGCTACCAAATGCAATTCGGATCCGCCATGGAAGGCTCGTGGCTCCCGGAATCTGTCCTCCCGGGCTTCAAAGTCCAAAGTCTGGAGTTCATGCGCAAATGCCAGTCCGTATCCGAGAAACTCATGCTCTGCTTCGCCCGCGGTCTCGGCTTCGAAGACGACTACTTCATCAAAGCCCACGACATCTCGCGTCCCGAATCCCAAACCGTCCTCCGTCTCCTGCACTACTTCCCCGTCGACCCTAGCGTCCCCGTCCCAGATACCTACTACCGCGCCGGCGCACACGTCGACTGGGACTTCCTCACCCTCCTCTTCCAACGCCCGCACCAATCCGGTCTTGAAATCTGTCCCGGCCGCGAAGCATCCACCGCTTTCGCCATGGGCGATACCTGGACGAAAGTCGAACCCGCCGAAGGAGAAATCGTGTGTAACATCGGTGATCTACTGATGAGTTGGAGCGACGACCGGTTTAAGAGTACGTTTCATAGAGTCAAGACGCCGCAAGAAGTCGGGGATTGGTTTGGGGGGAGGTATAGTATGGCGTATTTTAATCAGCCGTGTACGGATGTGGTGATTCAGGGACCGGGGAAGAAGTATCCTGCTGTTACCGGACGCGAGTTTACGAAGAGGGCGATGGAGAGGAATTTTAGGGCGTTGGATGAGAAGAAGAGGGGGTTGGCGGAGGTTAGGGTGGAGGAGGTTGTTGTTCCTGAGGGTGTGGCTGTTTGAGGTGATTAGGGATGGATGCGTGTTGATTTTGTATGTATGTTTAAAAGTTTAGGTGTTTTATTATTAGTTTTATTCGAGTATTGGTGATATATTCCTGTATTCTTGAGTGATGGGACATTACTGAAAGTTGCTTTGACTACTTACATATCACATATTAAAACATAAGGTTATTTCCCGTACTAACTCTTCTCATCGATTCTTTCCCTACCATACCAAACCGGCATCTTCCCCGCCTCACATGAACGCCAACACCAAAGCCGAAACTCCCGGCCCCTACAATGACGGAATATCAAAAGAATCTTTCGATACACGTAGTCCCTTGTATATCTCATGAATTTGGGTCAACCTAACTGGCTCACCGTAAAATGCAACCTCGTATACGCCATAATACGCGGTTAAACGCGTTATTTCCGGTGCAAATGTAAGGGGAGTCTGGGCTATGGCAACCCTTGTCTATATATCTGCTTACATCTGGTAATTCGAGATAATTTACTTTATTTTTACGATCGATTCTTCCATTTGCTTCATGTTTGAAAATTTATGGAAATTGGGTATAACATGGATTCTGGAATGATGAGGTATTCATACCACCCACCATATCACGTGCAAGTCTAGATGCGTCCATCCACATGCCATCATCACCATCACTTTTAGCTTCCTTCCAAAACCCCGCAATCCATCAATTGAACAAAACGAATCCAAATCTCAATCCTCCCACTCCATATAAAATACCAGTTATATAAAACCCCCAAACTTCCCCTAGCCTAATCTCGTAATCATCAACCCCAACATTCCAACCCCCAATCAACCCACCCTTCCAACATGCAGTGTAACCACCCTAACCCCAGGTACCTCCGTCGCATTTCACCCGGCGTCACTGGTGAATGCCCCTAACCCGATAAAGGTCTGGCCCAACTAAAGTACGTCGTCGCGTCTTTCTCTAAATTTTGCGCGCGATTCTCTCACAACGTTTTTTGTTTAAATGTGATGTATACTGGCAATGTCACGGATTGGCCTGCAAGGCGTCGTTCTTTGGTAAGCTCTATCCATACCCACCTGCATTTCTTCGCTCTCGAGTCTGTGGTTGGGTTCGGACTTTTGCGCAAGGCTGATGATTGGACTAGGAATTTGGTTTTAACGACTACCTGGATTGCGCTTGGTTTTGAGGGGAGTGCTGCGGTTGGTGAGTGCGCTCTATGATGGTTTGAGGTTGTTTGCTGATTGTGGGAGAACGGCCGGTGCATCTTGGGGTGTTGGTGCTTGGGGCTTGTGGGGGGTTTTGGTGGGTTAGAGGACGGGTGAGAAATGATGCTGTGGATGGACATGCGAAAGATCAGGATGTTGCGAATGGGCTTTTGAAAGATCGTGAAGAGGAGGTTGAAGAGCCAGGAACTGGTCGGTTTGAGCGGGGTGGGAGGGGTTGGCTGAGGGGTTTGAGGGCGGTTCGATACCGATTGCGAAATTTTAGATGGGGGAATCTATTACCAGGAGCTTTGGTGGTAGCTGTGGATCTGCGAATATTGCTATCCCGGAGTATCGTACAGCATGTGGAATGTTCTTGGGATGGAGTTAAGGTATTGTGTTTGGCAATTTGGAGTAGAGGGGATCAAACTAATAATTATCCAGATCTTCCTTCCACTCCTCCTCTCCCTCCTCGAATTGCTTCGCACAGGCACGACCCCTCGATCGCGATTTTCTTCTTCCTCCAGCCGATCGCACCCTTTTCGATACGTATTTTTGGTTGCGCTTTGGGCGTTGTCAGCATATGGGACTATTTCAATGTCTGCCCAACGTTCAACATACATATGCCCGAGACGAGACCCATGGACTTCTGCTACCCCGGTATTCCAATGCCTAGAGTTGCTGATAGACGCGGGAATTATCACTGGTGTCGCCAAACTCGTACAAGACGCTGGATCCTTGCGCAAGTCGTCGAAAGCACTAAGTCGATCTGCCTTGGCATCTTGTTCAATTCTCGGCATCCTCACAACCGCCTTTCTCTGGAAATATCCTGAAAATATGGACTGGTCGCTGGATCTCAGTCATAAGGTCATCTTTGATTTGATTTTTGCTGCCATGTTATGTACTAATTTTATCGGCTCTGTAGCTTATTTAATGGCTGAGCTTCGACCTACGACAATCTTCAGTATTGCGAGTTTTGTGTCGCTCTATGTTTACAATTTTTCTATAAAAAATCAAATCGCCATTTTTCCAACGAGCACTCAAAGATATCTTATGAATATGGGCATGATTGGATTTGTGTCTATAATTGGCGTTGTTCATATGGAAAGTTCCGCTTCAAGATCTCAACAACATTTAGCTTTGAATCGCAACTCATTGAGGACGGTGATAGTGTTATGTATCTTCATGTTGATAGCCACAGCACTTTCAGTGGTCAACTTGGCGTTGTATCCTGGAAATATTTGGCAGAAACATCCCGTTGAGGTCCTGATGGCCAATGCTCGTGCTTCCTCAGATCAATGGATAAGTCAAGCTTCATCGAGCAAATCATTGAAAGAGGCCGTCGTGGAGTATGAGGCAAGATATGGCATTCCACCTCCACCAAATTTTGATAAGTGGTACGAATTTGCAACTGCCAAAGGATCTTTGATCATCGACGATTTCAACCAAATACACAACGATCTGCTGCCATTTTGGGGTATCAAACCCTCACAAATCCGACAAATGACCAGCCATGTCGTTGAAAGACCATGGACAGAATTGGCAGGATTACGTATATCCAATGGCACCGCACTTATTGGACCACATGTTCCAGGCACACATCGCTGGATGTTGGATGGCACCTCAGGGATGATTAATGTCTTCGCCAAATGGCTTCCCGATATGGATCTGGCCTTCAACATCAACGATGAATGCCGCGTCGCTATTCCATGTGGAGGAATGCAAGATCACCAGAAAGCCGCAAAGCTAGCGAGAGAACAGTTTGACAAATCTCGGCTTCTCAAAACGTTTACCACGAATGAATGGTCGAACCGATTCATGGCAACCGATCCACCATTTCCACCTGATATGCCTTCTGAGCACTTCATCCAAGCATCATTCAAATCCGCCTTTGAAGACTACAGCATAATATCCTGTCTACCTCAATCCTCCGCCCGCACCGTCACGCACTGGAACAAGAAATCCATTCACGCCCCGTCAGTGAACCCTCATACCTACGGCCCGTTTCTAAGCAACTGGACCCTCTCCGCCTCTCCCTGCCACCAACCCTCCCTCGCCCACCTCCACGGCTTTCATCTCTCACCATCCGCCTTCAAACCCACGACCTCCCTCTTCCCTGTCTTCTCACAGTCAAAAATGCAATCTTTCTCCGACATCCTCTTCCCCAGCCCATGGAATTACATGGACAAAGTCTCGCACGACCCCGCTACCGACATCGCTTTCAACGAAAAGAACAATACGCTATTCTGGCGTGGCGCCACAAGTGAAGGCTACGCCATTCACAGCAGTTGGAGAGGCATGGTTCGTCAACGCTTCGTCCATCTCGTAACATCCATCACAAACTCCACCGCCATCCAACTCCTCCTCCCCTCAACCCACGGCTTCTCACCCTTTAACATCCCCTTTTCCTCAATCGTCACGAAAATGAACGTCTCCTTCGTCAACGAACCCACCCGCTGTCACCACCCCGATTGCGTCTCTCAATCCATCAACCTCCCATTCGACAAACCCGTCGACTTCCAAAACCATTGGCAGTATCGCTACCTTTTTGACACCGATGGAGCGGGCTTCAGTGGTCGCTTTTTACCGTTTTTGAGGTCCAACAGCGTGGTGATTAGGAGTGCGGGATTTCGACAGTGGTTCGAGGAGAGGGTGGAGCCGTGGAGGCATTACGTGCCTGTTGATGGGGGACTAGACGGGTTGTGGGGTGTGCTGGGCTGGTTTGGTGGTGTGAGGGGAGGGGAAGGAACGGAAGGGGGTTTTGTGGGGGAAAAAGATGGCGGAAAGCAGATTGCGGAGGAGGGAAAAGAGTGGGGTGGGAAGGTGCTGAGGAAGGTTGATATGGAGGTTTATATGTTTCGGTTGTTGCTTGAGTGGGGGCGGATTGTGGATGATGAGAGGGGGAGGTTGGGGTTTGCGCTTTAAATTTGTGGATTGATTGTAATTTTGGGAAGTCGTTGACATTTTTGAAAAGGCGTGTTGGATATGTAGGACTTTGGAGTTTATACTGGATGGAAATGGGGTGTTTGTATAATGAGAGACTGGAGTTTTAATAGAAAAGATATAAAACTGTGGTTGCTGATAGGGAGACCACGGAGGGCAAAGCTCAGTAGCAGAATCTTTTTCTTACTGAGCATTTGCTTGAACTTTCGGTCGAAGAGACCCTCGATCACGCCACCGAGAGCATTTCTACAGAGACAGATGTACGGCAGAACTATACGAAAATTGTTAAATGTGCCAAGGTATCAATGTAGTGTGAGTACAAGTCAAACACTACTATATTTCGTAAGCAAAAGGCACACTCCTTCTCACTTTGAATATTGGCTAACGAATAAGTACCTACTCATGCTCTGCTATCAGTGTGCTACCAGCTTCATATGTCGAATAGGTATGTTTCGAGCAATTCAGAATTGGTATCAGAATAAGCAATTCAGCTGTTCAAATCGTTAATTGATGACTAGGAAGCCTCTTGGGGTCTCTCTTTGTAGCAAGATAACATTACATCCCTTCCATTCTCAAGAACATGACTGACATAATACTTTGCGTTAACATGAGATATGACCTGCTCTATCATACCTATCTTGATGATCAGCGTCTTCTCAGTTCTTCTCTCAACGGATTACAACCAGTCGTTCGTCCGGTTAACCTTATCAATGCTGTGTAACCATGCAGCCGACCCCGCTTATAAACTGACCATTGCTTTTGTCACCATCCCGATCTATCCTTCATCAAAAAACACAATGGCCAACAACTCAATATGGCAGCAGCCCGGCCTGAATCAGAATCAATTCGTCGCTCTGACAAATCTCCTTTCCCTTCGCAATAATGGCCAAGTTGAACCAACATCCATATACGAGGAGCCTGGTCTCGACGAGAAGGCCCACGATGGCGACGATGCTGAGAGTGTCGATACATCATTTGCCCAGCAATTGTTTAGCTCAGGCAATGACACGCTTAAGAGGCAATTCCTGGACGATATCGCTGAATTTGCTGCAAAAGAGCATGGTGCGCGATTTGTTGCTTGTACCGCGATGAGAGAGCGTGAAGATGATGTTACGATCTTGATCGCGAGGAACACCGCGTTTGAAGCTTGTGATTTTGAGTTCTTTGATGGATTTAGTGATCTGGTGAGTCGTTGGTCGAAGCATCTGAATGCGCCACCAGTAGCAGAAAAGAGGTCGTGGGTTCAAAACTGGATGACTTACTTCTGGGATGTTCTCTCGCCAACAAAGAACGGTAGGAGCAAACTTCATATATCAGATCTGAGTTAACTCTTGTAGTCTCAACGCCAATATCCAATGAGGATGCTGTTTGGGACGAAATCTTGAAATATCACGCCACTCGAATAACGAGCGCATATATTCCGCAACTGAGACGGAATTTCAGAGAATGTCCTATGATTCTTGTAAGATCCGACGACATCGATGGGAAAGGGTCGCTCGCACGAATTGAGAATCTGCGTCGAGTCGTATTTTCCATCAGCGACGCAGACCTTTCGCATGTTGATAACTTGAGCCGGTTAGTTCTCGAGGCAAACCAAGTGCGAAGGTCGAATCATGCAAAAGTCATACTGGTGGACTCACAGCTCGCAAGCAATGAAACTAGAAAACTGTGGGAAAGCATTTATTTTCTTGGCAGACTTCGGAGTGCGTTTAAGAGAATGGAGAGAGTGTTCTTAACTTTTCCGAGCTTCGAAAAAATCAGATTCGTCCCTCTTCCGAAACCTAATATCAAACCAAACTCATTCAATAGCCCTCTTGGCCTAGAGAAAGCACTTGAACTATTGGGACTAAATATGACCGCAACAACCGTACACACTCTTCTAGGGCCCAACTGGACCATCAAAGGCGCAAAAAAGAGGTTTGCTGAGATTGGGGGACAACAGGGTCATATCCATGCCGAAGTTCAGATGCTGCTTCATCTGTGCTCGGCTGGTTTCTTGCACAGCGCCCCCTACGAATATATTGGCTGTAGTAAAAGAAGCTGCTTCATGTGCTGGACTCTGCTCCGTTCGCATGGTAGATATTCGACTCGAGGCTGTCATGGACGTCTTTATAGCCGTTGGACGGTTCCTGAAATTGCAGATTTCGCAACAGATCAAACAAAAGCTCTCGGGACGGCTTTGATAAAAACGCAAGACTCATTGGTAAGGAAGCTTGGGGATGATTTTGAAAACCTTGGTCGCCTGCAGAAAACCTCGGTGGTTGGTGGGAGCAGTGTAATTAGTGAAAGCCTGAGTACAAATGAGTCCAGAAGCTCGGAGCTTTCACAACGAGATGATGCTTTGACACAACAAAGAGTTCAGTTGTCGTTTGAACGGTAAGTTTGTTATCTCAAAATGTTTTACACATCCTGCGAAACGCGGTAAACTGAAACAGATTAGACTCGAAAGGGAGCAAGCAAACTCCGCACTCTCAAATGCAACAAATCTTCTATGGGGCGCAGCCGGACGAGCTAGTGCAGATTTAATGTATCATCCAGATTGGCGTGATCGACTATCTGGAGGTCCTCGAGGCGGTACCGCAACATATCTTGACACTCTTTCTCGTGCCCTCACGCCAGGAGACTATCTGTACCAGGACTGTATGGATGACAGGATGCCCGATGATCCAGATGTACTTCAGAAGTTTGGTTTTGGAAACCTACCATCCTACCACGATCGAACTAAGCTATTGGGACTCTACATAGGATTGACGAAGTATTTGCGAGTTACAGCCGAACAATTGAACATCTGGCAAGAAGAACGATCGCTCACCGCCAACATTATCCGTGAGTATACTGAACAAACCTCATTTACAGGAGGAGCTTATTTCCCGTGGTTTCTTGAAAATACACATATCCTAGACGATCCACAAGAATCGAACCACATTGAGGGAGCTATGAAATTCATCAAGATAGCACAAACATTCTTGGAGCCTAATGACCAGAAGAGAAACTGGAGAGAGCTAGAGCCCGGAGCAAAACAATACTCCTTCGAGATTCTCTGGATGGCGCTAATGGGCGCACGACCACGTCCCGAACAAGAGACATGGATGAAGTTCGGATTCTGTGCTTGTAGAAACGACAGTGAAGAGAATATACTGGGCTCAATATATACCAGTCTTCTTACCGACCAGCAGCCAGGATGTCTAGTGCCAGAGCATCTTAGGGCCAAACCTTGTACTTTCACCGAGTTCTGGTGCGCATATGAGTCTGGCAGACTTGTTCCACTGATGGAGGATAGAATCCGAAATGGATTCGCAGATATCAAAAGGCTGCCTCTCGTGAGAGACTATCTAAGTCGACCACCAAGCGTCATGAACCCATCGGTTTGGGACCTCAAACAGTTTTTGGAGATAAACAAGTACACGAAATACCCTCCTGTCGAGTCTGTGAAAGTTGATTACGGATTCCTGAATTGTCGAGGATTCGAAGAGACCTGTACTCTAGCGGAGATATATAAGAGGCTTCTTCGGATTGCGAACCCGTTAGAGTTGCACGAGGCGTGCTTAAAGAATCGGTTGTTTGAGTTGGCAAAGAAATATCATAGAATGGATGAGGGGCATCGGAGGTTGATGAATAATAAGTATTCTAGGGAAGTGATGTTGGGACAGTGAGTTTTACATTGAGTGTAATGAATAATGGCTGATCATCTTTGTTAGTTTGGCGCAGAGGAAATTCTTTGTTGAAGATGGTGGAAAGAGTCGCGAGGTGTCGTTTGCAGAGTTTCGTGAGTTGGCGGGTCTGAAAAACTTTCTACGTTAAGTCTGGCCGGCTTAATATCAGCGGTTGTCTTGATCATCTTCAAAAATAAGGAGTTAGGAGGATGTAACAGTATACGGCTCGTTTCGACTAGAAACAGAAGTGGAGTTTGGAAAGGTTCGGATTCGGTGTACTGTTCTGTTGGTGATACGCCTACGGCTCACGTGACCAAAACACCCACGGACATTTCGGAGGCCGTGGATCTCCGCGGGAAACCCTTTTCATTTGCACCTTTGGCATGGAAACTTCGCCTTGTTATCTTCTAATAAATTGTTAAATTAATTGAATAAAAATCAGGCATGGACGAGTCAGCGGGACCACAGCAGACACATATTTCCGATTACAATTCTGTTCAACCACGAGCGGTAAGCTCCCTTGGATAAAAGAAGACTCCGACTTCCTGGTAAACTGATCATTCATTCTAGTGTGAACAATGCCATCGACGAAAAGTGTGTTGTTTCCTTGAGACTAAGACTCGGAGGTGTAACAAGTTGCACACAGATTCGATGTGACAGGCGCTTGCCGTGTTCGAACTGCCGAATTGCAGATTTGCAATGCAAAGCTTCCGCTCGCCGAGCTGTTATAACAAGAATTCAACCAAGCAGTCCCAGCCAAGAGTCAGTGTATAATAGTTCATCTTGTTACTTGGCCAATATGTTTATAGTGACAATCGACTGGACCGAATAGAAGAACAGCTATCCGCCATTCAGCAGACCCTGGGAACCCTACAAGACCAACTTGCAGGTTTCATAACATCTCAAAATGTTCTAAAGGTGCAAACAGAATCTGTTTTACGAGCTGTGTCCGACAAAGATGGAGATACAAACACTTTGGGGGGTGTGGCGGTAAGCACGAACGAAAAAAGAAAAGCTGCAACGGCATACGAAGGCGAGTCGGCTTTGAGCGTTCAATCACGATATGCAAATCGTATCTTCAAAGAGGTATTGGAACGTAGCCCCCGCGAAAACTCGCAACTGGCGGTTGATGCGGACGTCTCGCAACTTGACAATGCCTTAAATCGTGATAATCCGACGTCGGCTTTTCATGAGAATCCATTTCCAACTCGGATTGTGCAAAACTCAACGCTAGCAAGGATCGAACTGCCGCCTTTGGATGCAGTTGTATCACTGCTGAAATGGGCGAAAGGTGAGAGAGGTTGTTTGTGTTTTGGCCAATACTGACGATCTCATACAGGTCCCGTATCCCCAACATTGTTGTCTTTTCTTCCTCTTGTCACTGCATCTGACTTGGCGGAACTCTGCAAAAAGGCTTATTTTGCAATTGAAGAATGCTCTACATCCGAGCTCATAATTATCAATTCATGTCTCGTATTCTTGATACCTGAGTTTTTGATAACAAGCCCGGCCGATGGATCGACAAATGAGGCTTATGGCCGACATGCTTCCCTTTGCCATCGAAATATAGAAATTCTTCTCGCCAGTTTGAACTTGTTCATGGCTCTGACGCTCGAAAATTCCAAAGCACTGGTGTTAGGGGTAAGCGCGCGACTTGTGTACTGATGAGCACCCAACTATTAGCTAACTCATACAGTCAGTGTATGCTGTGGGGGTTTCTTCCCTCAGCATGGCTTGGACTTTGATTTCTACAGCAGCAAGACTTTGTCAAAGCCTAGGATACCACCGTCTGGTGGCAGCAAAAGAAAGCAGCACTGACGACTTTAATGTCAAGAAAGCCATCTTTGGATACGTGTATATTTTGGATAAGACGCTCTCTCTGCGTCTCGGTCGACCGTCGAGTATTCCTGATGTTGATCTCGCGGTAGATCCGATAGTAGCCATATCCATGACAGAACCACAGCCGTGGAACTTCATATGGTGCTTGTGGATTGAAGCAGCTACTATTCATGGACGGACCTTCGAACAGCTTTATAGCCCCCAGGCGATGGGTATGTCGCATCAAGCACGCTTGGAAGCAGTTCAAAGACTCTCCAATGCGACCATTGCTGCCAAAGAAAAGAATGCGAAGGTACAGTTTTTCTTCTCACACGATTGACTGAGGTCACGGATTGCTTGCTAATCCGCCAAAGTTTGGCCAACAATTTGCCAATACAGACAATTTCCGCAATCAACACCTCAAATTTGTCAAGCAAGCCAACGACGTAGTATATTTCTCGCTTCTGACCTTGATACATCGTGCAATTCCTAATAACGAGCCCGGTATCTCTTCCCCATTCAACCACGAATGCCTAGCTGCTGCTCGAGCTGCGCTTGCCGCACATCATTTGTGTTTTACAAATTATAAGGACCAACATAAATACATTTGGACCATTTATCTCCAGTGGTAAGCATTCTTCTCTGATGGCGCTAGCCAAAAGTTCGGCCTTCTTATTTCGGAGAGTTAACCAGAAACTTAGGACCATCCTGGCGTGCCCGTTTATTCCATTCCTCGTAATATTCTGCCACGCCGTAACGACTCTATCTCTCGACACTATCAACGATCTGGAATTATTTGTTACTTCTCTACTACCGCCTTCCCGGACACATACCACAAGCCAAAAGATGCACGACCTCTGCCAAAAGTTCTACCAGGTTGGGAAATCATATATCGAGGATCAACTTTCCACCCGACAGAATAAGATTCAACCGGACAATCCATTCAGACAAGGCCAAACTGCGGGATTCAATGCATTCAATCTCATGCCCGAACTTCGTCAGACCTCTGAGCTTAATTTTGAGTCTGGAAACTTCTTTGAGCAGAATTTAGGAATAGATGATGGGGCATGGTCGTTTGGAGATCCTCATATCTTGGGAATTTTGGATGATGGATTGGAACTCAATGATAGGTCCTGGCCAAATTTCTGACAAGTCAAGGAAGAAGAGATCTTGGATATTGCTTCCACTCAGCTGGAATTGTCTCAATGTTGAGAATTCAATTGCAATCGCCAATTTGTGGTACCTGGATTTCGAAACTTACGGACGTAGTTCATGGACACAAGATCAGTGACAGCCCTCGTACAAGACAGACGGAAGAGGACGTTGACAGAAAGCTTATTTTATCAGCAACCGCACGTCCAAGGGGCAAATATACAAGGATAAGAGAGGGGTACCAGTGGCAAAATAGATATGATTGCGCGATTCCAAACCCAAGAACTTCATATCCTCTGTATATTTCCATTTGACCCTGCAAACCTATCAATTGTCCTCGCTTGACTCGCCATACCCCCAGTTGAAAGATTCGACGCTTTCTCAAGGGGTTATCTGCAACCCACAATCTTGGATATGTCCCAACTATCAGTGTACTCACCAGTATGCAATTCCGGTTCAATCGCCTTGCCCATTCACATAACCCAGGCAATCTGCAGCCAAGCACGATTTAATTGTTGGGTTCGCTTGGCGACTCGTGATCTTCGGGTCCGCTGAGATCAAAGAGGAAGGTGTGGCACGGATAGAGAAAGAGACAAGCAACTTGGCACCTAATCACGATTTTCTGAAAATCAGTTACCCGATTACAGGCAGACGTATATAAAAGGGGGGAATGGGAATGTTTGTTGAGGGGTTTGTGGACTTTTTCGTGTTCAACTTCTGAGTTTCTTGTTAAGATGCGGGGTTTTCAGGTAATACAAAGCAGGACTCTTGTTTCATTTGGAAGGCAAAACTGACTGGAATATAGATCGGAAGTGTAGCGTTCGCGCTCTTCTCCCTCGCTCTCTCTACGCCATTGGCAAAGAGACAAGGTGGTTCGAAACTCGTCACTTTTGCGGATGCATTCGGCGGACAATTTGGTGTCCGTAGAACAACTCTTCAATGGACTTCCCAAGGCGAGGACGGTTCATACATTGATGTCGACTCCTCCACTGGAGACTTGGTGATTGCAAATATCGTCACTGGTAACTCTTCGACTTTCGTGAAAGCCAGTGATGTGGCTCCTGAAGCCCAAGGTCCTGACGACTATTCAATTCAGCCAAGTGGTGATCACGTGCTGTACACCACCAACTACAAGAAGCAGTACCGTCATTCTTTCTTTGCGGATTACTTTGTCTACAATGTAGCATCCAAGACGACTGTTCCTCTTGCTGCGGATCAGAGCGGAGGTGAGTGCAATTGGAGTCGAGATTGGGCATGACTGACGAATTCAGATATCCAATACGCTGGTTGGTCTCCAGTTGGTAACACAATTGCCTATGTCCGAGGAAATAACTTGTTTATCTGGGTCAACGGTACCACGACACAAATCACTAAAGATGGAGGACCTGATGTTTTCAACGCTGTCCCCGACTGGGTTTATGAGGAGGAGATCTTTGGTGATTACAAGACCCTCTGGTTCTCGCCTGATGGAGAGCAGATTGCTTTCTTGAGATTCGACGAGACTGGTGTAAGCTCTTTTGTCTTACGTCCTGAGTCAAGCTGATAGTTCTAGGTTCCAACTTACAGTATTCCATACTACATGGCTGGAAAGACCGTCGCACCACCATATCCAGAATTCTTGGATCTCCGTTATCCAAAAGTAGGCGAGACCAACCCAACTGCCACGATCCATCTTCTGTCACTTTCAGATCTTGCCGCAGGACCAAAGAAGATCGAGTATCAATCTTTCGCTGCTGACGACTTGATCATTGGTGAAGTCGCATGGGTTACCGATGACCACTCCAACCTCATTTTCAAGACATACAACAGAGTTCAAGATCAAGAGAAGCTTCTCTTGGTTGATACTGCAACCGGTGCTGCCAAGGTAGTAAGAGAACGTAGCGAGGAAACCGGATGGATTGAGAACAACATGGCCATCACTTATGTCGGAAATGGAACATACTTGGATTTATCCGATACCTCTGGCTACCTCCACATTTACCTTTACGAAATTGGAGCTTCCACGCCAACCGCAGTCACCTCTGGTAAATGGGAAGTCACCACTATTCTCAACGTCGATGCCGAGAGAAGAAAGGTCTACTACCAATCTACTGAGCGTGACTCCACTGAGAGACACATCTACTCTGTCAACTTTGACGGAACCGGCAAAAAGGCTCTTGTAAATGACAAGGTGGAGGGATACTGGACTGCCAGTTTCTCTGCTGGAGGAGGTTACTACATCCTCTCGTACAACGGCCCCAACCTTCCAAACCAGAAGCTCTATGCTTCTAACCCAGGAAACAGCACTAACAGCACCGTTGCCGTCCGTGGCAATGTCCCAATCAAGACCATCAATGACAACGCAGCACTTGCTGCCAAGCTTGCCCAGTACACCTTACCAAAGGTGTCATGGAGCACCATCAACCATCCTGATGGATACAGCTTCAACGTCATGGAGCGTCTACCAGCCAAATTCGACCCAAGCAAGAAGTACCCCGTGATCTTCGACCCATACGGAGGACCCAACGCTCAACAAACCGCTAAAACATTCCGACAAGTTGATTTCCGCGCCTACCTCGCTTCCGATCCCGAGCTAGAGTACATCGTCCTCTCTGTCGACAACCGCGGAACCGGATTCAAAGGTCGCGAATTCCGCAACCCAGTAACGCAACAACTCGGCAAACTCGAAGCCCAAGACCAAGTCTACGCCGCCAAGGAGTGGGCAAAGAAGAGCTACGTCGACGCCGAACACATCGCTATTATGGGCTGGTCATACGGAGGCTACCTCGCCGCGAAGGTCGTCGAGACCAACACCGACGCTTTCTCCTTCGCCATCATCACCGCGCCCGTTTCCGACTGGCGATTCTACGACTCCATGTACACGGAGCGCTACATGAAGAACATCACCAACTCCGACGGCACCAACGGCACGGCATCTTACTACGAGACTTCCGTGCACGACGCGACTGGTTTCAAGGCCATCCGTGGTGGGTTCCTCATCCAACATGGTACCGGAGATGATAACGTGCATTTCCAGCATTCAGCTGTTTTGGTTGATACCTTGACCAGAGGCGGTGTTGGGCCGATGAAGATGAATACGCAGTGGTTTACGGATAGTGATCATAGTATTAATTTCCATGGTGCTACTGCGTTGGTGTATAAGCAGATGGCGAAGTATCTTTGGTTGGAGAAGAATCGCAAGGCTGGGGAGTCGGTACATCAGTTTTCGAAGAGGGGACTGGAGATGCCTGGATTGGAGTGAGGGTGAGATGATTGTTAAATAAAAAGTCTTTCGCTGTTAATATTAATTGATTCAAAATTCGTATCACATGCTATGTTGTTCATTTTATTCGGTGAATGGGTTGATTCCAGCGATTTACAGCATAGTTGCCTGCCTTCGGCTCCGGTCAAGAAGCCCAATTCGTCGAGGTCGCACCTAATCAGCATACTATAGATGTTGACGGGATTGCGCGTGATCTAAAGTAACTGGGTTTAGTTATCCTCCTCCCATTCATGAATCATAGATGTTCAAATAGATGATCTTACCATTGGCAATAGCCCAACGATACCTGAGTGTTTCCTGCCTTGAGTTATCCATCTTGGCACAATAATGCCTGATCACCCACGACAAGCGCTCTTGTACCTCTTGTCAAACTAGAGTATATTGGTGAGATTTATCTGTATCTTTGTATATTGCGGGTGTCAATAAGGTAAGCATCGTTAAATCCATGAATCTTTCACAACAATATCCTGTAACGAGTGCCACAGCACTTCAGGTTTGAATTCTAGGTCACATAAGAGATCTCCTTTAGTTGGAGAATAAGAAAGCGAGGGGCAACTGGATGAGGAAATTAAGTCCAAGATAAATCTTTGAGCTCATCTTGCAAATGTCTAGAGCTCTTGATGGTGCAAGTTGCAATATGCATACTCTTCGGAACACAACCTTGTGAACTTTCGATAGCTACTGCCCACTTTACTCCCTCTTCAAACAGCTAGAGTCCACTACAATCTTGACCAAATTACCTTCAAACCTTCAAAATGGAAGAAGCAGTCTTCAGCTCTGAGCTTATACAGCTTACTCCTGACTCCAGCTAGCGAGCTGTTCAGATTCCCGACGCCTTCTCAATATCTGAACATATGATCCCTCTCTACCCTTCTCCTTGCCACAATCAGGAACGTAACATACTCAATTAGTGTGATACAAGGGAACACCCTCCGAACTGCCAGGGCGGCCATTCGGCCCTAACAAGCTTCCAAATTTGCTTTGCTTTTCCTTTGGAATGTAACGCAGGTCGTGCGATCCTTTTCATCATCGAATCTATTATTCGTAAGTGGTCCAATAGTATCATGCTTCTCCAAGACACCCCAACCATTGTCTTCAATCTCCCTAGCCTTTAGCTCAAACTGCGACTTGAAGAACGTGGTTTTCCATTGCACGTCGACCCTAGGCCCATCTCCATTTGGACACTTGGTAAATTGTCTTCTCATTTGTTCAACGTGATCAACAACTTCCTCGCTCCATCCATATCGGTAGCCGTAGTCGTAGTCGTTGTACATTCCATCCCCCATAAGAAGGGGGGTAAATCCCTTTTGTAGTAACAATTGTAACCTCGATCCTTCAGAACCAAGAATGCGGAAAACAGCTTCAATAGCAGGAGAAACATAGTCGAACGATGTGCCCCTCTGGTCCACCATTGGGGGATATGTTCGAGGATGTTGTTCTCGTGCACATACTTTGCGCATCCAGGATGAACAATGGACAGGCAACGAGTTTGACCCAGCGAAATCCTTCCAAACTCCCTGTGGTCTTGAAATTTCCGCTTCAATGTATTGGAGGTGTGATCGGTTTCTGCGTCCAATAACACGGAGAAAGGAGTAGAGAGGGTCCCAGGGGTCTTTTACATACAGGTGGGAGGGTGGACCGCGGAAACAGAAGACGTTGTGATGATAGAAGACAGCTGCGGCTTCGATGGAAATCATTCTATTCACAGGAAGTAATCCGAATGTCACAGCAGCTACTTTGGAGCTCGACTGAGGCCCATAGGTCTCTCGATGATATTCTTCTGGTAAGGGTTCGGTGTAGACGACAATTGGCTCGGAGTCAATCAAAAGCAGGTCATAGACCATGTTGCGAACCTCAAATGGGAGAGAGGCGAAGTTTGGCGCAGGATATATCGTGAGTCCCAGAGGTTCGCCTTTGCGGTATCTTAGTCTACAGACCTTTTTGACCATTATCGACATGGGCCTTTTCGGTTTGACAGACAGAAGTGTAAATTGTCAAAATTCAAGCGCGAGAGCTTGAAGGGAAAAGAACAAAGTGGAGGTTGTGCCAAATTTGCGACCTTCCGAACAAGTCGAGAGAAGGTTCTCGGAACAAGTGCGTTGTTTATGTGACAACAGGCAGGAAGTATTGACCCACCTCACGTGCAGCTCGATCATGTGATAATCAACTCCAGATAATAATAAAGGTTCTTTGCTACTTACCATCAAGAGCATTGGAAGCCATTCAATTCCGATAATGTAAAGTAACCGTAATAGTGATTGTGATACCACAAATAGTCGAAAATGTACGTATAGTTGAGATGTTTATGTTAGCTTAACAGCACCAGTGCTTTACAACACAATGGTGCAGTGAACTGAATTGTCTCAGTGTCAGTGAGACTAAAAATCTTAAGGTAGGGAAATGTCGTGTTGCTGCAATATCTCACTTGAGCGTGACATGCATGACCCGACAACAAAGAGGTAGACCATTCATGGTTGTGAAGCTCTATTGATAATAATTAGCCTACTGGTCCACAACAACCATGTTTGGTGTTATTATGTTATCGTAGAGAGTTTTATCGACCGCATAAATACGATATGTCGAATAAATGAGATTGTTGGTTGGAATAAGCAGTCGTGAAAGGGTCCGAAAGTGAGAAGATCATTTGACGTTGTGACAGGCGACCAACAAGTGAGATGCGGCTCGTTATGCCATATCGGAATCTACAGACTACAATAATTTAGGTGTGTGCGTGTCTTTGAACTTTAATCAAAGACAATACGCATAACGTTCGTTTTCGGATTCCTCGGCATGTCGATTCTGGGACGGCGGCGACGGTTCATACGTAAATGACAATTTCGAATTCGTTTTTGCTGCTCGCAAAATTTGGCCTCATGTAATTCAGATAGCCCGTCGTGTCGACATGTAAGAAATCTTTTCTGTTACGTGACAACCCAGCAACCTGGCAGGGCGCTGAATACTGGGCCGTTGTGTTTCCGTTCATGATCCCCCCGAGGACACAATTCTGTGCTAAGAATTCTTCGTGTTACCATCGAACCAGTTTATACTTTTACCACTATGAGCAAGATGGTGTACGTCGCATTGAATTTCTACTTTTTGATGTTGGGCTTGCGAAGTATTGCTGACAAGTCGCTCAAAATAGGCTTTGGCATGGCGAGCCGTTATGCATCCGCTGCAGAACATGGTATCAGGCATCCGTTCCGACGAATATATTCACAGACCAGACTCGCATTACCAAAGTATAAAGAATCCTTCGAGTCGCACATTCAGTGCTCAGTGTTCGAGATGTTGGAAAGTGAAGTTCCGGTCTCGAGGTGACGTTTCGACAAGTGAGAAAGTAAGCTCGTGAGCCCAAAGAGGAGGTGACACGAAAACCTTCGCAGCAGACAAGCTATGGAAATGTAAGCCTTCAACTTGGCGTAGTCGTGAGGTTTAGGCAACCCAGTAATGCTGGAGATTTCGTATGGAATGATAGTTGAGCCGAGGAGGTGAGCCACGTGACACAGTTCTAGAAGAGCATGAACAACAACACGGGAAGTTCCCAACTTTTCCAACAGCACCGCGGGGAACACAAAGATGATGAGAATGTGCCTCCGGGCAACCCCCACCTGTCTCTGAGTCCAACAATCGTCGCCAATCAAAATCGGTCTGCGCCGCTAGAGAACGTCTCAAGACCAAGCCAATGGAAGGCCACGGCCCATCGTCCTTGTTCTTCAGAGCAAAATGAGCTGCACTCCCCACACATATTTTCTTCAGAAAGGTCTCCTGCATATGCATGGAATGCTTCACAGACTGATTCCTGGTGCTCGCTTGAGAAGTTCAGAGGAAACCTTTGAAATGTTAATTAGTTTTCGGGGCGTGCCGCGCTGACATACTTTATTTTAATTCAAATAATGGCTGCACTGCATGATCGCTTCAGGGGGAAGATGGGGCTTGCAGGCCGAGTGTGACAGCAGCTGGGAGGAGTTGAAAACGCTGAACAGTCAACCTTTGGATATGAAACATGGGGCGCTGAATCTCCGTGCGCTGCTTTGTGCTATTGATAATTGGCTACTTTCCCATTCGAGATGACCAGATTTTGAAGAATGGCTTGTGATATTGTATTTCGTCGTACAGATTTACACAATGGCTTTCTGTTGGCGAGGTCTGTCCGCGATGGGAACCAACCAGAGATGAATGTCGGAATAGTTTTTCTGACAGCATAACAGCCGTTTGTTGTGTAACTATTGATAATATACACTAATAAAAGGGTAAACTATTTTTCTTGACGTTTAGATGGAAGGATTCGTTGAGTGCTTCGAACTGGTATCGAAGTTCCATCACCCATGTTGTTTACCAATTTGCAAGCACACGACCTCTGTCATCTGTCGGTCTATTCGACAAATTGGGAACCAAGTCCCTGAGACAAGCCTACCCACGGACGATTTCCCCGCAAAGGGTTCACGATATCTTCAAAATAGCCGTACGAATGGGTAGATCTACATGTCTGGATGCAATCCCCATACGATGGACATCTATAAATCAAGGTTTGCTCAAGTGGGGAGCCACGATGTTGCAATTGACTTCGACTGTTCCAGCACTACTCCTTTATCTCTGGACTGCAGGGGCCCTGTCGGTCCCAAGCTGTCAGTACCGGCATGATACGGGCTAGCCAATAGTTGGTCAGTCGGAGGTATGAAATAATGCCTCTCACAAGGTTGCATATGTATCGCTCGGTAGCCCGAACCGTAAATAAGGTGCACATGAAATGTTCTCTTCACACCGTTCACACACATCCACCAACGGAAGAGAGCAATGCCCAGAATCCAGAGGCGATCTGTTCTACATATGCTCTCGAGCCGCATGCATTGCTGATAAGGTTGCTGATACTGAACGATATCTTGTTCTGTCGAAAGCAACTGTCGTCCCCGTACCGGTAGAATGTTGAAATGTTCTCGAAACTTGACATTACCGCTGGCATGGTTAAGGTTGATTCGACAATATATTTCCCGTCTATCGTACAACACGAGGTTGTGACAATGTCGGGATGGCCATCAGCCCCAGGTGGGACAAAGCCAAGCATGGAGAGAGCGGAAGCGTGGATCATATTCCCCCCGCCGAATTATTGCTAGGATTCTCCACGCATGAAAGTGGACTCACGAGGTGCGTCCCAGGGAAGCCAACTTTGAAAGACGGCGCTGCAGCATTTACACCCTCTGAATGGCCAGAGCGGCGAAATATGTTCTTTGACATGTCTGAATTGGGAGTCTGTGTGTAACAGTTGGGAGGAAATGAGAGTGGCCAGGGACACTGACCAGGTCGGGGGGAGTAGAACGCCATCAATACCCCAGCCCTTTGTGGTGAATTGTTGCGCTCTCTGGATTCATAAAGCCAGCCCTGTCTGATCTTGACCAGATGGCTTTGACACAGGTGCAGCGTTTGATGTCAAGCCTCCCGGTGTCAAACCTTCAACCTCTTAACAGGAGCGTATTCCTGTTATGATCGAGCAACAATTATCAGACCAAACGCTTAAAGTCGACTGCACGGGATTTGCAACTCCATCTTCGGCGGCTCGACTTGAAGTTTTATCGACAACATGACCGTAATCAATGGCATAGATTTGACTGAGGATAGGAGAGACTTGCTGCTGATATCGACCTGGCTATGGACTGCAATAGCTGCAGTTTTTGTTGCCGGACGGTACTATTGTCGGATAAAGCTGATGAGGGCTGTATGGTGGGACGACTGGATGATTCTTGTCTCTGTAGTAAGTTTAAACCAGCCAGGCAATTGATTTAACGGTCGAGGTCAGATTCTGATAGATAGCTTCAGTGCTGCTCAGTAGCCGTCAGTGTTATTTGGACCATGTACGCCAACGCAGGTGGCTGTCGACATCAACAGTCACTCACCAAGCCAGAACAAGTTATAGTTTTTCGGCTGAACTTCCTCTCTCATCCATGGTGCATTATTGGTCTCTTGACTGGGAAGCTTTCCGTAGCTTTCCTGATCTTGAGATTCCAATCACCTACAAGATGGCGTACCCGCCTCATCATCGGGCTTTGTGCACCTCTAGTCTTGATGGTTATGGTAAATGTGACGGTCATATTCACCCAGTGCCGGCCGGTCCAGTTTCTATGGGATAAGGACAAAGGAGGAAAATGCATCGATCCCATAATCTCCCCTACAATAGGAAAGGTAGTCGGTAGTAAGTTACAAGTACCTGGTTGATTCGAGTCCCATGCTTACCACAGCAATAGGCTATATGGCGTTTCTTGATTTAGCTTTAGCAGCCATTCCAGTACAGATGATTTGGAACTTGCAAATGGTAAAAAGCAAGAAGATTGCAATATGTTGCTTGTTGAGCACGGGCGTGTCGTATGTGTCTCTGCTGAACATTTCGAGTTCTTACTAACCATTTCTTCAGTGCTTTTGGATTCGCTGTTGTAAAAGTTACTTCTCTGGGACATATCGCAAACCGTACAGACCTTACCTGTAATTACCCATAAACTTGTTGAGCCTGCAATTTCTTCTAACACGTTCTAGGGGCTACTGTACTACTGTTTGTGTGGAATGTATACGAAATGAACGTCGTTATTATCGCCGCGTGCATTCCCACACTTGTACCTCTTTTCCACATCATGATAGGGCGGAAGACAAAGTCGGACTTTGCACAAAACCAAAGTGGGGGGAGCGCTGGATACAACGGCTATCATCCAGAATATTCCGTTCGTATGCGTGATCGTATTGAGCGAAACAGTAAATCACAAAGACTTGAGAGCATTAAGAGCATGGATGGCGAGTCAATTCAAGCTTTGGGCCAAAAGACAAAAATAACCGTTGAGCCACCGTCGCCTGTCGTTTCTCCGGTCGATACATGGTATGATGACGATGAGTCGGATAGGAAGATATCTGTTACGAAACAATGGTCGGTTCAGCGTTGATATGATGATTTTAATAAGGATATCGCTGGCGATGATTGTCCTATAATTTCCTGTGTGGAAATCTGTATTGATGTCAGTTAGTTACAAAAGTTTCTGACTATACAAGTGAATGAGATACACAGAGTCCTTGAAATTCTAACAGGATACTATGATCATGTCACTATGATTTTCACTATGTTGATTAATCGGGCAACTTTACCGAATGTACCAAAACTTACCTCATATGTCAGCATCACTTCAGTCATACTTCATTTATGGCACCCAATACTCCAAGTTTCCTTTGCTCAATATCGTATGTCATCACCGGATTATCAAACATCACAATGATATAACATGGCATCCTGTCGTCGGGAGATTTTGCTTGGCTGGAGAAACACAACTCGACCATCTGTAGAATCGAGGTAGCTAGCCAATTGAAGAGATAACTAGAAAGATAAATGAAAGAAATGCTGTCTTATCTCCCACAGGAGTCACAAAGATAAGCTACCTCTGTGAATCCTGAGTAAATTTGTTGATGTGAATCAAGTGACAGCGTCAGTAGAGACTAAGTGGATAAAAGTGAGTAATAAGGGGAGACTGACTTAACTACTTTATCTCAGGACATCTGAAGTATAACGTCGTATCAGCGTCTCTTCGAGGTTATCGCACCGAACTTTGTCGCATTTCGATTTCATTGTCTCCTCTGTTGAGTTCCTCTTTGATAAAAAGCCGATTAACTCGACAGAGATGGCTCTCGTCGCCGCCGCGGTCTTGTTGTGCGTTACCACAAGTTTTATATTAACCATCCGAAAGATTTATGTTCATCTTACCTCACCACTTAGACGTATTCCTGGTCCGTTTTTCGCAAGATATACCAACCTATGGCGTTTCTTTGACCATCTCGAACGACGCTCAGAACTGACACAACAGACACTCCACGAAAAGTATGGATCAGTGGTTCGTCTTGGTCCGGACCTAGTCAGCTTAAGTGACCCAGAATTGATTCGTGTTGTTTACGATGCCAGGGGCAATTTCAAAAAGGGGATTCCAACAACCTTGACCTTTACTTGAAGTTGACAACGCCTTAGTCAAACTTTCACGAAGTCGCTGATACGAAGATGGGCAATCGAACTATATCTGACGTCTTTAGCGCCAGGGACAAAGAAGACCACAGTATGAAAAGAAACATCATCATAAATTTCTATAAGCTGTCGAGCATTCTTCGATCGGAATACTTGGTCGACGAAACCATCAACGCGCTCTGCGAGCAAATTGAACCCCGATTTATTGACGGACCTAATGCAGACAGTGTCTGTGAACTGGACAAATGGCTGTACTTTTACGCTTGGGAAATCGTCGGCCAGTTGAGTTTGAGTAAGCCTATGGGCTTCACCAAGGCGGGTGCTGATCACTCGGGGATGATGGATACCGCAGAGAAGGCCATGGACTACTTTGCAGTTGTCGGACAAATTCCTGCCCTAGACAAAATCTTGGCGAAGAACCCTCTTTTTTCAGTTGGTCCACCAAGCTGGGAAGCTGCCACTAGATTCTGCTTTCAACACACAATGGCAAGACAACAAGATGTTGACCAGAAGTCTTCTGAGAAGAGGGATATGCTCGACAACTTTCTGGAATTGAAGAAAACTGTAGGTCTCGACGATTATGGTGTTGTTGGATCTCTCATGGTAAATATCGTTGCTGGAGCTGATACTGTTGGTATCTTGTCGCGCGCAATAGTGTATCATGTTCTGAAGAACGCCAATATCCTCGCCAAACTTCGAGATGAGCTTGACAACGCTAACCTTCAAACACCAATATCATTCGCAACTGCCACCAAGCTCCCATATCTTGAAGCCATCATTCTAGAGTCCTGTCGTATGCATCCGGGCGTTACATTGCTGCTTGAACGTGTCGTGCCTGAGCCTGGTTTACAGCTTCCAAATGGTACATTTCTCCCCCCCGGAACCAAAGTCGGCATGAACGCATGGGTTGTCCACCAGAATAAAGCCGTATTTGGACAAGATGCTGCTTCCTTCGGACCAGAGAGATGGCTTCAGCAAGATTGGGAGAATGATCAGGAATTCGCCGGTCGCTTAGCTAACATGAAGAGGAGTGACTTGACATTTGGTGCAGGAAAACGTTCATGTCTCGGGAAAGATGTGGCGATGTTGGAGACGTACAAGCTGATTACGACATTGTTCTTGAAATACGATATATATCTGGTCGATCCACACAAGGAGTGGGAGATTCAGAACTCGTGGTTTATTAGGCAATCGGGTATAGATGTTAGGTTTCGCCGTCGTATTCCATCGTAACTGTAAAAGAATATTCTAAATTATAGTATGGATCACCTGTATGCGCAGAGAAAAATCGCTGAGTTTTGCGTTGTTTAGTTGTCCTGAATGGGACTCAGTTTGCTCTAGTCGTTCCGTCATATACAGGATTGTGATATTTTCTCTCCGTTTGAAGTCAAGAAGCCTGCACTTACTATATCTTGAACTCTGTTTCATTTGAAGTGCTATGGAAGCAGTTCCACAAGATTATATAACGATCGAGCATTAACGGTATTTTGAGATTATGAAGTTTCGAAATGAAAAGTTGTGATGTCTGTCGCGCAGCACGAAATATCGACATCATTGCATCACGTGACTCTTATCGACCCCCGCGCTAAGATACGAGAAAAAATTCCTAACCTCAAGTCCCAAAACTTGTGATAACTGTGGCGCAACCAAGCAATATCACAACAATGGCAAAAAAACGCAAGGCCTCATCGCGGGCGAAGGGAGAAGACAGTGTCTCAGGGTTTGAAGAAAGAGGTGGAAAGCATCGTGCGATTACCACATATGAGGATGTGGCAGATTCTGAGGATGAGTTTCATATCAATCGGGACAAGGTGATGTTGGATGATGGACCTGATGCGAAGAGAAGGAGGAAGTACGCGGAAGAAGGTCAGATTTATCCAACAGAAATGAGGTTGGTATTGTATTGACACCCAATTACAGATGCAGAACTCCAACCTTCAGACGATGAAATCCTGGGCTATTCAAGCGCATCCTCCGAGGACGAAGAACCAAGAGCCACAAAAGGCAAATCTTCCAAAAATACTGCCGATTCGGACGATGAGGCCTCCGATGAGGAAGAAGAGGAGGAGGAAGGCTGGGGCACATCTCGAAAAGACTACTACAATGCCGATGAAATCCAAACCGAAGCCGATGCTTTAGAGGAAGAAGCAGAAGCAAAACGGATCCAGCAGAAAAGACTTCAGAAAATGACGGAAGCAGATTTTGGGTTTGACGAGAATGACTGGGTCGACTCTACCAAGACTGGAGAGAACGATGACGGAGATGTGGTGACGGAGGTATTGAAAGATATAGAAATCACAGACGACATGGGAAGCGATGAACGATTACGAATCCTCCGAATGCGATATCCAGAATTCGAATTCCTCGCAGACGAATTCCTCACTCTACAACCACTACTGCTCTCCCTACAAAAAGAATCCGAGGAAGAAAACGCACCACTGGGCGTCACATCCCCAACGCTTATCAAATTCAGAGCATTATCAGCATACATAGCTTCACTAACAATGTACTTCGCCCTCCTCTCCTCCACGACCGGGAAACCCATGGACGCAGCTGAACTTCGCGATCACCCAGTCATGGAAAGTCTTCTCCAATGCAGAACCCTCTGGGCGCGCGTAAAAGCATTAAAAGCCCTCCCAACACCCACAGCAACAGAATCAGACTCCGACTCTTCCCCCGAAGAACTCACCACCACCACCGCCATCCAAGCATCACCCTCCCCCCCTACCTCCACCTCCAAACCCACAAAATCCAAATCCAAATCCACACCCCTTCCCCTCGACGACCTCTCCGCACTCCTCCCCTCAAAACGCCCCTCCAACCCCAAACCCAAATCAAAACCCACCACATACGACTCCTCATCCGACTTCGGCGAAGAAACCCACCTAACCGCCTCCGCCGCAGCAACGAAATTCGCAAAACGCAAGACCCTAAAATTCTACACCTCGCAAATAACCCAGAAAACCAGCAAACGGCTCGGCGCCGGCATGGCGGCGGGCGGCGACGAAGATCTACCGTATAGGGAACGGTTCCGGGATAGACAGACGCGGTTAAACGCCGAGGCGGCGAAGAGGGGGGAAGTGTTGAGTGCGAGTGGGCGGGGGAAGGGCGCTGGTGTGGAACTGGGCGGTGATGATGAAGAAGGGGACGGAGGGGAGAGGGAGGAAGGTGAAGATGACGAGTATTACAATCTCATCACCTCCAACCGCCGCTCAAAGAACGACGCAAAAGCATCCGCGCTCGCCACCACAGCGGCAGCAGCCTCCGCCGCAGCACTCGACCGCGTAGCCAACGCTTCGGATCTGAACCCCGATGAGAAGAGAGCGATCGGGTATACGATCGAGAAGAACAAGGGGCTGGCGCCGAAACGGAAGAAGGAGGTGCGGAATCCGCGTGTGAAGAAGCGGATGAAGTATGAGGAGAAGAAGAAGAAGTTGGGGAGCGTGCGGCAGGTGTATAAGGGTGGTGAGGAGCGGGGCGGGTATGGGGGTGAGAAGACGGGTATTAAGAGTGGGTTGGTTAAGAGTATTAAACTTTAGAGCGATGAGTGTAGGCAGTTGTGAATGTAGGACATTTGAATTTGTCATTTCTACCATCTCTCATTTTCTCATTCTCCATCTTTTGATATTTTTTGAGCCAGTGTTTAGCAATCCTCTGGTTTGTCGTTCATCATTACTCATCTTTACCGGACTTTCCATCAATCAAATTTTCAACCCATCAACCCGAAACTTTACACGAAACCCATCAAGTACAACTCCCCCACGCTTTTTGACACCCATTACTCACAGCACAATAGTCATCCGTCTTCCCGCACCACCCGTACGAACTACAACACTGATGACATCAAATTAGCAAAGCTTCAATGTATGGGCGAGAGCTGCATTCGTGGATCAAATTCTCTCTCGACTATCAAGATAGAAGCTTTGAGGGAACTAGACGAGGAAGGGTACTCACATCACCATAGACACTTCCTTTACAAGTCACTTTCTCCCCACAGCTTCCATCTACACTAATCTTGACCTCCGGAGTTGGAGCTGGCGGCGGGACTGCAATAGCTGCTGTGGAACAGGTTCCAAATGCAGACTGACAGTTGGCAGAATCGCAGTAATCACCAGAAGCTCCACAATAATTGTTTTTCGAACAGCACTACAAGTATATCAAGTCAGCATGAGATTCTCTCAAACGCTCTACGGATGAGAGCTTTGTCTAACGCCCAATCTCTCTTCTGACACCAAAAATAAAGCTCCAAAGGGCGGGGTAACCTACATTACCAAATACGGAACCCACACAAGTCACCCCATTACCACAAGATCCGTCAATACTGATTGTTAATGGTGGAGGTTGAACACCACAGCCACCAAAAGCAGTTTGGCAGCCGTTTTCCATCGCGCAATAATCTGACGAAGAGCCGCAATAATTATTTTTAGAGCAGCAATTCCCGAAAACCGAGTTTGAACAAGTTACATCATTGCCACATGAACCGTCGATACTGGTCTTCAGCGGGGCTGGAGGTAGTGGAGCAGGAATGTGCGGCGAGACTACCCCGTTACAAGATCCAAAGGCAACTTGACAACCAGAGGTCGTTGAACAATAATCGTCGGTTGACCCGCAGTATCCGTGAGATGAACAACAATTTCCGAACGGGGAGTTCTGACATGTGGTATCCCTTCCACATGATCCGTCCACGCTCACTCTGGTGGCACTGGGTAGAGGAGTACTGGTTGAACTAGGAATCGGTACAAGTGGCACATTATCCCCACATAGCCCAAAGTTCGTTTGGCATCCACCTGAAATAGAGCAGTATGCTGATGTTGATCCACAAAAGCCATGAGATGAACAGCCTAGAATAAGTTAGCAGAGACATTCTCCTTGTGTGTTCCAGAGCGGAAAGGCGATTTCTGAGAAAAGACTCTCTCATGACCACGATTGATAGGAGCTCAGAAGGAAGAACAACAGAGAGGGTACATACACTGGCCGAAGCTTGTCCCGAGACATGACAGCTGCCCACCACAAGACCCATCAACAGATGCGGTCACTGGCAGATTTGGATTGAACGGAAGAGCGGGAGGGGCCGCTGGCGCTGAAGCTGGCCCAGGACTAAAATACCTGTTGGTAAGTAATCCTTCAAATAGATCAGATACTACTAACTTTCCATTCCCAGCAATAAAATCCATGCTCCATGCTACTGTACCTCCAAGGCAGTGTTCGTTTGCCCAGATCTCCTTCATTGCCATGGTTTCCGCATCATCATATGCTATCCATTGGTTACCGTCGAATGTCACTTCTTTCTGCATTTGATCGGGAATCAGTATTGGGACCAGATTCTTCTGTTTGATGAGATCTTGAATCTCTTTGAGCGAGAGAATACCGGGCGAGTTTGTGCAAGCTCCAGCATTGGTGGGCCCTGAATAAGGACATCCAGGATCCGTACAGGAGGTATCCGAAAGCGCATATCCCCTACCATAATATGGAAGACCTAAATTTACTTTACTAGGATCTATACCATCAAACCATAAAGGAACTATCCTATCTTGGATGTCCAAGATTGAAGCCTGGGGCAGAGCCTTTGAACCGAGACTTGTAGCCTCCCAGGGACCATGAATATCATAGGCCATAAAATTGAAAAATTCGAGATATGGTTGCATTGCGATTAAGTCGAAAGTAGAAAGACCATAAAAATCAGTGGGACTAAGTGTGTCAGCTGATGTCACAGTACCCTCTTCCCAGAACTTACACTGCAATGCTAATACCATATTTTGTTCCGAAAGCAGCCCTCATCTCCTTGGTGAGTTGTACGATATTTACGAAATCAACCGGTCTGCCACCTCGATATGCCAACGTTGGCGTCTCCCAGTCAAGATCTACTCCTTGAAATCCATACTGCTCCATAAAAGCGATGATTGAGGTAATAAAAGCAGCTCTATTTTCCGGAGTCGAAGCCATGTCCGAAAATGTGGTATATGTTGGAGTATTTGGGTCATTCAGACCAGAACCGCCCACTGCGATCCATGTTTGCAATTTGTGGTTTTTGAGTCCTGTGAACTCGCGATATAACGGGATATCGACTCTTGAATCCACAGGCGTGACCTGGAACGTTTTCGGATCGATGAAAAGAAATGCAAATATCAAATGAGTCAGGGCCGTAGTATCAATTTGACAAGGCCACACTTTGTCACATCCTCTCCGCTGTACATTACTATCACGGGTCAGAAGACGACAGATAAGTAGGGTAATATCACGCACCCAGATTGCCAGTATGCTACTTTCCTCCCCTTGGAAGCTGTGTGTTTTCTTCTGTCGCATGTCGGTTGCGCCGGAACTTGACAACTTCCAAAGCCAGGCTGGCACGGTAGGCTTACTGATGGCTTGGCTGCAGAAGGAGGAGACGGAACACCAGTACAGAAGAGATCAGTTGTCTAGAGAAATGTAAGTTGTGCCACAATTGATTCCTTTGCACCAGACTTACACCGCAATAGCCAAAGTACGAGCAGCTTTATTCCCCCGTTAGCAAAATCCAGAATTGCAGACACCATCGGCAACACCACCAGCAGGTCTCTCACCAAATATTCAACGGACACTTCTGAGCTCCATCCAAAGAATCAACTCCACACTGAGCATGCGCATCACAATTCGAAATACAAGTCGTCGACGCAGTATTATTGCAATTATAGGGCGTAAACCCGCATTTTCCTTCCTGAACCTCTTAGCCGCTTCCTTGTCCACGTCTCTCTCATCAAACTTACAGAATTACAACAACTCCCATCCACACAAGCCTTTTGCGGTCCACATTCCGCCGGCGTAACCTTCTCTCTCAACGAGGTAAATCTTGAGATTCCAGGATGTTGCTGGTCGTTACTGAAAGATCTGTTTCCGGCAATGGTCATGTTCTCCCCGATCTGCCCGATGATATGTTGGTATCCGATCTCGAGAATGGGGATGGGTGGTGCGAGAGCGAGGTTTTGTTGGACTATGATGGAGCTGGCGGAGTCGTTGAACTGGGATGAGGGGGAGGGGATGGAGAATGCATGGCTAGGGAGAGTGATGAGGGTGGTGAGGAAAAGAATGGATGATGTGGGATACATCTTAGGGAGGTTCTAGGTACAAAGGGATTGTAGGGGAAAGAGGAGGAGATGAGGTGGATGAGAAAGGAGAGAGAGAGAGGAGAAGAGAGGAAAGGAAAGGTAATGGACATGAAGAGAAATCGTTGACCCGCAGACATCCACCGGTCAAAATGGCAATCCTCACAAAAAAGGCAAGAGCGACGCGACGCGACGCGACTCCATCGAAAGTGAAGGCCCGCGACATGAGGAAATCTGCATATCACCCAACAAATGAGCATTCTTTCTTGAAATCATTTGACCTGCATTACTCCTATATAATTGAAACCAGGTTATTCTCGATGCTTCTAGTCGTTCGAGAGTGAGTATGTACGAGGGGAGGTGACAGGTAGGACACTCGTATATACTTCCGAGACAGATCGAACGGCTGTCACGTTGTGACGTGCAACAAATGCCCGAATGTCGGCACTCGTAGACGTCAGGATATTTGCATGATGGAGAATCGTGTTGTACATTGGCTGACCGAGTGGTAGTCGAGGTGTTTGCTTGATTTGGATGTTGCAACTCACGGGAGACCCCTCCTTTTCTGCTACACCAAGACACGAAGACTTAGATGTATGATGAAATGACTGACATTCCTCAATAGAATTGCCCTCTTATCAAGCCATCCAGAAATCTGGACAGTAAAGATTTATGTCCTGATGTTTCAAGCGCAGCCTCGAAAGAGCATGGTGTCTGACAACAGGACCTAGGATATCCGGCAATGATAGCTCTGACCGCAGTTACCTCGACCTTGTTACCACAGTACCAAAGGGTGGGGAAGTGGTTGAATGAACTATACAGATGTTACTCTTTTTTGTCCGAGATAATACGGTGATTCTTCCAAGACAACACCCAAATTCCTTCATCCTACCAAAGGTAATGCCATGAACATCTCAGCGGAGATACCACTTGAACCTAAGTAGATGTTTGTATTTTATACTAGTTATGAAATTGTTAAAGTTAGCTCTTATATGGGAAGCTTCTGATAGGTGAGTCTTTCGTCTTAAAATATCCAGCTTCTTCTAAGAGGTACGCCATGGATTGCCATCTGGATATTGAACAAGCCGATTTCCGTTCTGAGCGAAGATCTATCTCAAATCCAGTTAATTCGGTTAGCAACGTCAGTTGAACAAGAACATTGGAACATAAAGTGGTTATTCACTGTCCAAGTACTTTGGGTGATGTGCTTACTTGACGATTGCCAAGCATAATCAATTCAGCTCCAGACCTTGATATTCTCATTCCAATCACCCCATTATTTGATTGATCCTACATCTCGAATATCTACAACTTACTCTTCTCCGCAATCAAACCCGCCGAACTCGGCAAACTCTCCACGCTATCTCTCTCAATCTGCTCCACATTCTGATACCCGGCAACATTCATCAAGATATCGAAATCCGCCAACAACGCCTTCATAACATGTCTGACGCCCAGCTCCCCCTTGATACTAAGACCCCACACCCACAAGCGGCCTACAAAGACGAATTTCGCGCCTAGGGCGAGCGCTTTGAAGACGTCGGCGGCGCCGCGGACGCCGGAGTCGAACATGATGTATGTTTTATCGCCGACGGCTGGGTTGCGTTAGTATGTAAAATGGGAAAATAAAGGGAGGAGGGAATAAAGGAGGAGGGGGGGGGGGAGGGAACAAACCATCCACGATCTTCTCCAACGCATCCAAACTAGCAACCGCCCCATCAACCTGCCTCCCGGCATGATTACTAACCACAATCCCATGGACCCCGAGTTCCACACACTTCTTCGCATCCCTCACACTCTGAATCCCCTTAATACAAAACGGCTTGCCCCCACTAATCCTGTCCCACTGCTGCATCAACCACGGCATCTTCTCCCAGCTCCACGCGCGGCCATGCCACACATTATCGATCCACGCGGCGCCCGCCTCGTTGGGCTGCGTCTTCGGATCAATCCCCATTTCCTTTAGTCTTTTTTGGAAGACCGGGTCGGAGAGCCCGAGGTCGGCGCCGATGCCGTGGTAGAATGCGTAGTTCGAGCCGGACTCGTCGTGGTGGCGCCATGCGAGCTGCCATGTATCGACCGTCAAAATACAGGCCGAAAAGCCCGAATCATGCGCGCGTTGCAGCAATGAAATTGTAAGTTCATCGTCATGCGGCATATACAGCTGAAAGAACCTCGGGCCCTCGCCGTTCGCTTTGCCTACATCTTCAATGGGCGTGGAGCCGGCGGTCGACAGACAATACGGTAAGTTCAGCTCTTTAGCGACTTTAGCGACAGGGAGTTCGCCCAGGGGGTTGTAGATTTTGTTGATGCCGATGGGGGCGAAGCCGATGGGGGCGCTGACTTTGTGGCCGAAGATGGTGGTTTTGGTGTCGCGGATGTTGGTGTCGACGAGCATGCGTGGGATGATGCGGTGGCGGTAGAAGGATTGGCGGTTTGCGAGGTGGGTGTGGGATTGGCCTGCGTTGGAGGAGGCGTAGTACCTGGATATGATTCAGTTGACATGTTGGAGTTGGAAAGGGGGAGGGGGATGGTACCATCCACCGCTTGAGAGAGCGTTTTTGGCGAGGTCTTCGAGATCAGATGGGTCGGTGCTGAAGGGTGGGACTTCGCCTGTGTTGTCTTTCCAGAATAATTCGCGTTGGTATAATGCCCATTGTGGTGTATTTCTGTTATTGATATTTGGGTTCTTTGGATCTGACATGGTGACTTGATAATAACAATAAACAACACCAACACAAATTGTACTGATAAAAGAAAGGACCTACAAAATCAACCAAACCTACCAGATGCTCAACTTATATTCAGCCCTAACACAATTGTTGACATTGACAATTCCAATTGCCGGTCTTTCCTGTCATGATCTCATGTCGATCTTCGGAGTTAAAGGCAAGTGACGTTGTGATAAACTACGAAGCTTGACGGGTGAGCTAAAACGACCCCAGATTTCTCCACATCAGGATTGTGCTTGGCAATCGGTTTCATTAAATCGGAGAAAACATTTTCGGGACGGGACGAAAGAAGCTTTTTAAGGTGGTCTGGACTGGGCTTTTTAGAGTTTTACGAATGTGCTTCGACATGAGCGTTGCTGGAACAATGATTGTCTATAAATTGGTAAGCTTGCATGATTCTTAATAGGTAGTTTTAGTCGTAATTGACGGCATCAGGACGGTTGGGTCCACGGAAATACTGTTATAGAGAGACAATGACTGGCTAACGGGTATTAACTATCTCACGTCAATAAAAGCATAGTTGGGTACCGCAGTCCTGTCAATTTTGAATGAGTCCACAACTCTTGAGTCGATCAAAACATACCTACGCCCCATCATTCAACTCATCGGCATTAGCCGACCTCTCCAATACATTTGAACCTCCCGTACAGATTTCCATCCAACTACCACTGTCACCCTCCCTTCCCACCTCTCCTCCCAGCCCATACCATCCCACCTATCTAATATTAACCCAATTCTGCCCCTTCTTATTGTCAATAAACTCATCAATACAAACCCCAATAATCTTATACTGACCCACCGGATTATTCCTACACACCAAGAGATTCCCCGACCCCCCCGTTTGCACATACCCATAATCCCTCAACGAATCCGTCATACCATGCGTAAACTCATCCCTGACCAACGCTCTCCCCCTTGGCCAAGGCATCTTCGGCTCCACAATACGATCCTGTTTCGTGCCGCGACAGGCGCTCGCGTAGGAAGTGTGGGAGTAAGGGTCACCGCCAAACGCCACGAGACTGAACGAGCGACCGATATCACCGACTTGAACCAGCCCGAGGCCATCTTTAGAGATGATGCGACCCTCAATGATTTCAGCAGACGAGCCGCCGAGTGAGCTGCCATGGACGGAGGTGATAGCCTCGAAGATGAGGGAGAAAGGTGCGACGATGGTGCAGCCGCAGGCGACGCGGACTTCGCAGGACATGTTCTCGGTGCTCTCGTTATGCAAACGTGATCCGCAGTCGTAGATGGATGCGAAGCGGTAGTTCATCGACCAGTTGTGGACACGGAGGGCCCAGGGATGGGGATTCTCCCAAGAGGTGCCGCTTACGCAGCGGTCTTTCCAGCCGGAGGGTTTGGCGTTGGGGTCGGTGACACGCCAGTGGGGTTGGAGGTTTGAGAGAAATCGGCGTCGGTAGTCGATTATGTTGTTGTGAGGGTCCATTATACTGCCTAGGATGGTTGCGCATTGTACTAGGATTCTTCCTGTCTCATCGCCCGCTACATTTATTGGATGGTCCTGGGTAGGTATCGCTTCGCTTTTGAAAAGACCTGTTTTCATCTTCTTTCCTGCGTTGCATCCTCGATAGGTAAAATAGAATCCTGGCCCCCCCTGGTTGATAGATATCCTCATATACTTTTGCGGATTCCCAAGAATGCCAGTGCATGCCAATGACTTTGCAATTCCCTTTGGCTTGAGGCGTCCCAGATTGACCACCCCCGCAAAACAGTCGGTAGTCATGGTTTGACTGGAATTCGAAACAGAGGGTATCCAGTCACACTCCCCTCGCTCCTTGCTACTGATTGCAAGTGTGGTCCACGCATGGCCCGTTTTGGTGGAAAGTTGCTTGAAAAAGGCAAAAGAGCTTTTCTCAATGTTATCACTATTCATCTCTGAATCTATCTCTGCTTGGGTGAATAAACCGTTGAAGATGCCTAGAAGTCCAATAAATAGGTCTTTCCTTTCCTTGCACTTTCGCGGTCTCAAGGAAATAGCTGAGAAGATGTTACTTATACCCTTGTGGTTTTCGTACCACCAGTAAGGGCCGCCATTGATGATATCCATCCTCGCGCTGCTGATTCCTGTGACCTGCTTTTGCAATGCGTCGAGAATGATGTAGTCATCCTCAATCTCTCCTAGTACTGCGTTGATTGATGCAGTCCTATGAACTCTGGAAGCAACAATCCACGCTAGTAATTTGACCGCTTTGTCCCTGGCGTCTGTCGCCAAGTCCATCCAGGTACCGAGTTCTCCGATACAAGAAATATTTTTGCCATTTATCCCGTACATCGTGATATTCTTTCCAAGAAGTATTTCTTGAAACGTCCATACTCTAGAAAAATAGTCATTGCTGAATAATGATCTGATTCGATTGATGCAAGTCGAGTAGCAATTTATCACACCCAAGTCGATTGCCGCGGCTCTTACAGTCGAGCTTGACATTCCAAAATTCCAATCAGCTTTTGCCCACATGTCCAAACGTTGTACTAAGCTAGGAGGCAACATAGCTTCCGAGGCAAGTGCTGCTCCACCCATATGAGTCAATACATGGTTGACAAATTGCAAGTTGTCGACGATGGTCTGTGGATCCCAAACTTCGATCATGTCCATCAGAACATAGCACTTGTAAGCGCACTTGTAGTAATCGTACATCTTAGGAAGCTCAATAAGCTTCTCTCGGCTATCAGTCTGGTTGATGCAAACGCAGTCAACCCACAGTAGCTGTATGTTATCCTCGATCATCAGGCGCTTAATATCGTCTAGCTTTTGTGGTGATATTGTTAATTCCCAAGTGACACCGTCTATTTTACAATCGTATGGTGTTGTTGGAGCCCCCCATGTATAGGTGATGATACTGTAATCCACCCCGTAGCCGATGTGGCGCGTATCTTTAACCTCGAAGTGGCCATTGTTGTAGCTGAGAAGCCTTAGAGGGACGACCGAGGCCATGGCCAAGTTTGTACAAAGGGATGGTGCTAGGCGTTGGACGACTGCGCAAACAGATGATGAGCTGGTTTCTCCTCGCTAGATAGGAACAGGTCATGAAGCTGAAATAAAGAAGATAAGTTCAGCCTCATATCTGCTCCATAAAATCGGACCATACTGGGGATGTAATTTTAGGGCGGTACGGCCCAGCCCGAAGTAGCATGTGGCGTTTTGAAACTTTCATGGCGTTCTGGGCCGTGCCATTGGAGCTGAAGTTAATAGGCTTGTCGCTGCTGCATCGTCGAATGAGGAGATGAAGTCGGCTTGGCATCGTCCAGTGACAGCCAGTAAACATTTTCTATTTCGGGGAAGACGAGGCTAGGGCCTGCAGAATAACCGCACCCACGATATCAAAGGTTCGATGAAGCTCTTGGTTCATGGAATACGTTCCACAGCGTGTGTGATTTTTGGTCAGATATATTGGTGGTATCGTCTTATGCGCGGTCAAGAGATAACGTTGCACTTCTCGTTGAACTAATCGCTGGACATACAGAATTGGCTGCTGCTATGATTCCAATGATCCCAGAGTGTGGCTCAATAACACAGTTCTCTGGGGTTTCCAAGCGTGGTTGCCTCTGCTCTCGCAGCCTCGTCTTCGATCCGACGTCTCGGTGAAGGAGACTCCAAGTTGATGGCGTATAGCAGCCTAATTATACAGTCGAGTCATCTATTCCCTAGTATCCGGTACAGCAAGGGTAGGCGGTCGCAAGCAATGATCTCTGGCAGGAAGGTGGTGGAGTTTCTGTTGTTGTGTTTCGTGGAAATCTGCCAAGATCACACATACGTATTTCCACATTCGATGCATGGAGAAGACGTGGGCTATTGCAACGGTAAGTTATGATGCATGTATTATACAGAAGCCGAATCAATTCTGTGACTGACTTACAATGACTTTAATGTATCCACCCTTTGAACGGCTCTGTGCTCTGAACATGCCTCAACATCCGACGCCAAGAATTTTTGACCGACGAGCTGAAGCCGACGTCGGAATATTTCAACATTCAGCTCTTTTCTTCGACACCTTTCATCGCCCAGAGATGTTGACGAAATCTATTAGGATCAGAACACCAACTCGTCTGCGAGGACCGCCGCGCATCGCCGTTGCCCATGAATCCACATCGTCTATTGACCTCCTGTTTGCACACACCATCGACCGAACTCTTGATCAGACAAGACGCGTTGCTCCCGATCAGATCCCGGTCGTCGCGGTCGTTCAAGGCATTTAAATAGAGATCAGCGACACCATGGAGCAAATCTGTACGGGCACTACGATGAGCGCATTCTCTGCGCTGAGCAATTGATATTGTGCGTGGCACGCGTGTGTTTGACATGAATTGAGGAAGACGAGGATGAAAATTGGAATGCTTAGGCCCTAGCTTGACTACGGTTTTCCCAGAACTTGGATCTCCCATCTTGCGACGCACTGCGGGTTCGATAATATTCCGAACGAAGACGTGTCGGTCGTTTGACGATAGAGTTGTTGGAATACAACCGATACGTGATACCTTGGTACATCTCGGTTCGGGTGGGCAATGGTGTGTTCTCGGGCCGATGTCAGAATTCGGAAATATTGGCCCGCAACTCCGCACCGAGCTTGATCAATCTTGGACGGGACGAAAGCTTTCGATAAGAAAAAACAACACGAAATCCACCAACAGATCTACGTAAAACAGCCGCTTTCGAATTCCGCGGCGAATAGCTACCTCATCAAATCAAAAAGCGACTCGACAGTTTGGAATTCGATGCCAGGTTAATCTATACAGACAATATATTCCTCGATCAGTGCTTCCCCGACTTTCGTCAAGCATCACGGCTGAACGATCAATACGCTCTGTTACGGATCAATCCCGAGATTTCATGAGGAGACCAGTATCGAGCACACGGATTAATCCAAGCTGGTTGAGGATCTATAGGTGTATCCTTGAGCCTCAAGTAGGTTGCGACTCCGTTTGAATGCTTCTATCTCCGGGACTACACTCCTTTCTCCAAGGATAACTTTCGACACGAGCCATCAAAACCTCTACGATCGAAATGCTTACCTTAGTGTTATGTTAGTTGAAGCTCTAAATGGGTTTTGCGGCTTCGACTCCCGCTGATACCTGTAGCCATCTGGAGATCGACATTCTCCATTAGTACCGCAGGGTTCACTGGGCAGACACGCATCTATAAATCCATGATTTGATCCAGTAGGTTGCATATCCGAGACGATTTGGGAAACCATCGGTCCTTCTAAGTTATGGAGATACGCAGCTATGCTAAAAGTATCATCTTCTCTCGTTCTATCAAATCCATGTTGAAGTAGAGAATACGGAGTATTCTCAGCACCTTCCCTATTCATTCACTAAGCACTATACAATTCCGCGTACAATTGATTGAAGCGTTGGCACCTAGTTTGGGCACTGTATTGTATTTTGTTCCGTCATTTGTATTCCTTGCCATGTTCATATTGCTTCTTTTATTTTTATGTCAATGTTCTGCTCCCCTGGCCACCATTATTGATTGGCAAGTGCTGACAAGTTACCTGAGTAATGATCACAGAGTTAGATTTACGGCTTTACTTTCCCGACTTGACTGTCAGTATCGCGCGGGGTTGTAATGTGGTAGTCCACAGAGGAAATGTGCATGGTACCATGGATACTCTTCTGCTCAACGTGTAACTGCTACATCCGTCGGATGCAAGTCATCCGTTGCACTGTGTGGTTGTATTATATTCGACTCGTACACGGAATGGATATCTGGAGCAGTCCGAATTTTCAACACGTGCACACAAGCAATTATCCTCTTCTTCCCCAAGCATATCCGGCAAAAAGGCAGAAACATCGCCACACATGTCATTTCAACCTCGAACAAACGTGGTACTGGGTTACAGTAATACTTTGAAAGTGGTCAATCGATATTTCTCGCCCTCGGTGGAGCTCTAATAAATTCACAGGAATCATTATTTCCTATTCAAGCCCGCCGAGGCGTCCAGCCTGCGAACGACTGCCGGGTACCTTGAAATAAGACCGTTATTCATGAACAGTTCCAACGCTTTCATTTTCCCAAAATGTCTATTTCCAGGATTCTCGGCGGTTCTTTGCTGTCATTGGCCGAGCCCGTTTGTTTTGGCAATATACATGGCGGTCCGCTCTCCGGCAAATATATCAAATTAACATATTAACCTTGGCTCTTCGCACATCACGCGGGAACAAAGTAATATCGACGTTGAGGTAGCGCATGATCGCAAAATGTGGGGAAGCCGGGGTAGTAGAATATGGGGTATAAAGGTTGTACAGGAACGTCTTTCGTTACAATTTCTCTTTTTCTTGTCTCATCCGCTTTACACATCTCCACCATGCATCTCACTTCTATCATCTCTGCTACGGCACTTCTTATTGCCCAGGCTTCGGCCCATGGTGCAGTCACCAGCTACGTTATCGATGGAAAGGCATATCCTGGGTAAGTCGCTCTCATACCAAACATCGCACCAAGTCTAACAATTATTCAGATATACTGGTTTCTCACCAGCCTCATCCCCAGACACCATCCAAAGACAATGGCCAGACTACAACCCAACCATGACCGTAACCGACAAGAAAGTCATGTGCAACGGCGGCACCTCCGCCAAACTCACCGCCACCGTAGCAGCCGGTGCAAAGGTGACCGCCAAATGGTCACAATGGACACACGCCCAAGGTCCCGTCATGGTATGGATGTACAAGTGCGCCGGAACAATCGCCGCCTGCGACGGCTCCGGAAAAGGCTGGTTCAAAATCGACCAAATGGGTATGTCCCCCAAATTCTGTCCCCTCACCCCCCTCTAACATCCTTTTCTCAGGCATGACCGCCCCCCCTCTCTCCGGCACAAACTGGGGCACCAACAAAGTCCTCAAAGAGCTGCAATGGACATCCACCATCCCCGCCAAGCTCGCCCCCGGAAACTACCTTATCCGCCACGAGCTCCTCGCCTTGCACCAGGCCAACACCCCACAGTTCTACGCTGAGTGTGCGCAGCTCGCCGTCACCGGCTCAGGCACGTCGAGTCCTTCGGGCGAGTTCCTGGCGACTATTCCGGGATACGCGCCGCAGAGTGATAAAGGGATTACAGTCGATACGTATGCGAATAATGCGCCGACTACTTATAGATGTCCGGGGCCGGAGGTGTGGTCGTAGAGTATCGCATCCTGAGGAACTGGGGAGATTGAGGGGAGGTTGTTATGTGGAAAGTAGGAAGGGGGTGGTGAAGAGAATCTTGTATAGCTTTATTCCTCGATCGAGTTTGAATTTGTAAATTATCTATAGTTCTCAAAACTTTCCTCGAAAATCTTTTACATCTCGATCTTTAATTTTCTCGTGAAAGATCTACAGTCCGCCTACTACATACAGATCACGAGTACTTTGTACCACAGTGCCTGAATTAAGCCTTGGTATCTGGAGTTGAGGCTGAATGTAGGTGCAGATCTCTGAGGTGCTGGTGTGGGGTCTGGGGTGGATAGGGAAGCCAGGGGAGGTTTTGGGGCAATCTGGTGGGATGGGTAAATGGGGGTGTGAGATAAGGTTAAGGTTTGGTATATCTGATACGGTAATCGTGGGGATTAGTGGTGATGACTCGTGTTTATTAATTGGTGTTGTTTGGTGAGGGGGTTGTGGTGGTGAGGTTGAGTGTGAGATGGAATGATTGGTTGGGTTGGTGATTTTGCTTGAGGTTTGGGGGTAGGGTGTTGGGGTACTTTGATTGGAGGTGTGAGATTAATGAAGAACTGCGTTTTGAATTTGATTATAGTGCAAGTGTAGAGGCTGTTTTCGAAGACTTGTTGTTGGTATGAATG